ATCCACTATTCTCATACCAAGATGTAAGGTGGTTTTTGCCTGCAACAATGATAAATGGTGGTACTGCCCAACCTTGAGAACTAACGCCTTGGATTACTGTAACCCATTCCCGATTACCAGGCTGTACCTTCTTTGCTTTTGCCCGCCCGTCTGAGCTTGTTACAACCATAGCAGTTGAGATAACGCCCATCATAAACCCAGTCTCATCAAAGTTGTAGATATCTGCTTCATCGATACCATATTTCGCAATTGTGTTACGCACAAGCTCAAACCAGCCATTAATAACTTCTGGATCTTTGCACTTAGCCCTCTGGTAGTCGTATTTGCGCTGAAAGCGTGTCTGGAGCTCTACACGCCGCTTAACAAAGTTTGAAGCCCAACGCGACCCAACGCGTGACGCGTCGCGTGTTGCAAGTAGTCGACTTGCCATATCTTCAACAACAGACAGCTGAGGAGGAAACCCTTTGGCAGCTAGGTCGAGTATATACTGAACAAGGACGGACTCCTCTAGGTTAGTTAATTTCCGTGAGTTGGCTTGGATATCGCGTCGTGAAGGTACACCTTCTAGACGACGACCTAGCTTGCGGTGGTCCACAGAATAGATCCTAGCAGCAACTCGAAAGCGTAACTTTGGGTCGCTTTGCATAGCCTGGATAGCTAGCACTAATTGGCTTTCATCGTTTTTATGGGGCATGTTTTGTTGTTGAGGAATTTAACATTTAGTTGGGGGGTTTGGTAACCGCATCATTTTGGCGCTTTCGCTTGTTTGGCGCTTTCGCTATACATGTACGTTAGTCGAAAAGAAAACCAAATATATATTAATCTATCTAAATACTTCTTAAAGTATTAATTTAGCTATAAATTCCTCTTCTATATCCTCTTTAAACAAGCTATTACTCTAAAAATGTCTTTAGAAGGCCTATTTCTAATCTTTGAAATAATAAGGCTACCTATACTAAAAAAGCTCTCTATAGGAGCACTAGTAGCAGGGATTTGTAAATAGCGCCTAGCTATAGTAGCTAGAATTGGAAATTGAGATTGATTTATTTTCCAATAGTCTAAAGGATTAATCTATATAATATTAGTAAGTTAATTATTAAAGAGGGTTAATAGCTTACCTTACAATGAGAAATAGGTTCTTGGAAATAGATAGAAGTTTCTGTTTCAAAGTCATCTACTATAGTTTGAGAATATAATGATCTTTCAAAGTCATCTAATAGATTATCTTCTTCATTCTCTTGTTGCTGTTGTTGTTGTAGTTAGTGTTGTGTTAGAGGTAATTCGTTATTAAATTCCTCTCTTAATACTCTATTAACATATTAGTATAACGTACATGTATAACGAACCGGCCAAACAAGCGAACCGGCCAAAATATCGCGACCACAATACGGGAATTGCAATAAATCCACCACAACACTAGAAATCAATTGAAACTACTCGGAGTCCTCTTCCTCAGATGTGTCTATTACAATCTGACAAGTGCGCGCATTATTTCCAGCCCACCACACTTGCTACAGCGACGTGCGCGGGTTTCTTCCCTTGGCTTCCGACCACTACTCGCCCTTATTTCTTGCTCCACTTGCTGTACAACATCCCTCTGGTCCTGTAGCTCCTGTGCTACTTGTTGACTAAGTGATCCTCCTTGCTGTAATCATGTTTTTTTAGTCCTCCGGCGCTTGCTTAGCACTTCATTTGCCTGTCGCAGGTTTTGGTTCTCCGCCTTCAACAATGCTAATTGATGCATTATTTGCGATGTACCCTTTGTAAACTGGTCAACAGCTGTATAGATTGAGGTTGGAGAGCTATTTTGATGATGCACAATTCGGTTTTTAATGAAGGTAGACTGTGATGAGGCTTCAATTGGGTTGTTTGGTGTTTGGGAAACCCAAGGTTGAGCAGTACCCGGCTGGGAGCTTGGAGGCGTTGGTGTCTTTAACTTAAGATCAAGTGTAGAGATCACACTCTCAGGGTCGAATGGGAGAAGTCCAGCACCCCGGAAGCCTCCTTGAATGTTGCTTTCTGTCATTGCAATGTTAAATGCAGCATAGAAGGCAGGAAAGAAGTCATCCTTAGTAATATGAGAAATATGAGCCCGCATCATATCTTCAATTTGCCGACCATAAGCCCTTTTTAATGGGCTAAAACAGCCAACATCAAGTGGTTGAAGTATATGGGAAGAGTGAGCAGGCATACAAAGCGTAATAATGTTGTGTTCTTTGCAGTACTCCTCAAACTTGTCTGAGTGGTGGCTCTCATGACCATCAAGGACTAACAAGCGATAACCACCAACACTCCGGGGCTTTGTGTGCTTCTCAAAATGCTGAATCCAATCCATACCTCTCTCGTTTGTAGTCCAGCCATTTGCAGTAACAGCGATTACCCAATCTGCTGTAAATCCGCTATTCTCATACCAAGATGCAAGGTGGTTTTTACCTGCCACAATGACAAATGGTGGCACTGCCCAACCTTGAGAACTAACGCCTTGGATTACTGTAACCCATTCCCGATTGCCAGGCTGCACCTTTTTTGCCTTTGCCCGCCCATCTGAGCTCGTTACTACCGTTGCGCTTGAGATGACGCCCATCATAAACCCAGTCTCATCAAAGTTGTAGATATCTGCATTGTTGATGCCATACTTTAGAATTGTGTTCCATACAAGCTCAAAAACCAGCCACGAATGACTTCTGGATCTTCGCACTTAGCCCTCTGGTAGTCGTATTTTCGCTGGAAGCATGTCCGGAGCTCTACATGGCGCTTAACAAAGTTTGAAGCCCAACGTGACCCGACGCGTGGCGCGTCGCGTGTTGCAAGTAGTCGATTTGCCATATCTTTAACAATAGACAACTGAGGAGGGAACCCTTTAGCAGCTAATTCAAGTATATACTGAACAAGAACTGATTCCTCTAGGTTACTTAATTTCCGTAAGTTGGCTTGGATATCGTGTCGTGAAGGTACGCCTTGTAAACGGTGACGTAGCTTGCGGTGGTCTACGGAATAGATCCTAGCTGCAACTCGAAGGCGCAAATTTGGGTCGCTTTGCATAGCTTGGATAGCTAGCACTAATTTGCTTTCATCATTTTTATGGCGCATGTTTTGTTGTGGAGGAATTTAACATTTAGTTGGGGGGGTTGGTCACCGCATGATTTTGGCACTTTCGCTTGTTTGGCACTTTCGTTATACATGCACGTTATCCTGCTCTATTAATATTTGCTCTTCTATTTCTGTTGAAATAGATATATTTTCATCCTTTAATAAGTTTAATAATAACGTGGTTTATCAGTACCCGGTTAACTTTTCGCGTTTTCTCTACCCCCTAGCTTCAATACGCGTTATTTCAATAATAAAGTATGTCTGTTCATACTCAAGAAGCTAGAATCATCTTAGCTATTGAGGCTATTCGTACGACTAAAAATGTTACTCGTCTTCGTGCAGCAAAGATCTATGACGTACCTTATTCTACACTTACCGGTAGAATGAACGGTCGTACGGATATTCGTGAGCGACGACCAGCTGTCTAAAAATTGACTGAACTTGAAGAGGAAGTAATTAGTCAACATATAATTGACTTAGATTCAAGAGGATTTGCACCCCGGTTGGCTGGTGTTGAAGATATGGCCAACTATCTCCTCGAAACGCGTCAGGAAAAGCGCGTTGGGAAGCTCTGGGCGCATCGATTCGTACGACGACGCCCAGAACTAAAGACGCATTTTAATCGTGTTTATGACTTCCAAAGGGCCTTATGCGAAGATCCTGTGCTTATTGGAGGGTGGTTTGAGCTCGTACGAAACATGAGAGCTAAATATGGCGTGTTGGATTGTGATTTCTACAACTTCGACGAGACAGGGTTTATGATGGGTGTGATCTGTCCTGGAATGGTAGTTATGCGCTCCGATCGACATGGCCGAGGCAAGGCAGTTCAGCCTGGCAATCGTGAATGGGCTACAGCAATCGTGTGCATTAATGGTGAGGGCAGAAGTGTGCCTCCATTTCTTGTCGTACAAGGGGTTAATCACCTTGCACATTGGTATACTGAAGGTGGCTTACCACACGGCTGGGCTATCAAACCAACAAGCAATGGATGACCGACAATGAGACGGGTCTTGAGTGGTTAAAGCACTTTGATAAGCACACTGCTCGTACGGCAAAGGGCCCTTATCGAATGTTGGTTCTTGATGGACACGAGAGTCATGATTCAGCTGCATTTCAAGCATATTGCAAGACCAACAACATTATACCCCTTTGTTTACCCGCTCATTCCTCTCACTTAACCCAGCCACTTGATGTCGGGTGCTTTAGTGTATTAAAACGGTCGTACGGTCTTCAAATTGAGCACTTTATTAAGGCTCATATTAATCATATCAGCAAGGTTGAGTTCTTTATCGCGTTCAAGGCAGTGTACGAGCAGTCACTTTCAGTCCAAAATGGTCAGGCTGGATTCTGCGGAGCTGGATTAATACCCTTTAATCCTCAAGTGGTATTATCAAAGCTTGATGTCAAGTTACGGACTCCAACGCCTACTAGACCCCCCTCTGCCGACACTGACCCTTGGATTTCTCAGACGCCTCATAACCCAACCGATGCTCTTTTGCTAACTCCGGTTTGTTTAATCCCATGCAATCTTCGTAAGGAGTTTTGTAGTATGATCTGAGTGTTGTTCATGCCATCGTGATAGCTTCCACCACTCAATGAATACATTGTGTGTATCCTTAGTCCATTTGATGAATTGGTTTAATTTGCCAATATATTCAAGGCCTGCAGGGACTTGATTTAATGAGGATAGTCGTTGAGAAGATGGAAAAGAGTCTGAGAATACATCTGCAATAGGATTGTCAGAATCAAACAACTCTGAGTATTGAGATGACATTTGGCAAATTGCTCGATTATCAGAAGGTTACCAGAAGTCTGGCTACGATGAAGTACTTAAATTTCTCTATAGCCCTTATTCGCGTTGGAAAACCAGGTACTCCGGCGCTATAACTTTAGCAAACTCAAGTTCTCCTCTACTCTAGCTCCAGGAACAACATATCCTGCGCAGCTGATACCTTAGTCCACTTTTCCTTATCAAACTTCTTAGAGTAGACAAGTAAGAATGCCTCTTTGAAGCTAGAACTATGAGTGGAGACTTGCAACCCATCCATTGTCGACAAGATTGTAAGACTTTGGGTACCACTGCGCAGGTCCTGGTCATTGGGCCCACTTTCCAAACTTCCAAGCTGTAAAGTTTGTCCAAACTGCCTGCTCGTACAAACAGAAATATTTATGTGGTGGGATAACCTCGTGAAAAGTGCTATAATAAACAATTAGTATTGCCAGAAGATTGCTAGGATGATCAGAGACGTACCCTTCCTCTACATCAATCCACGGCATATACTCAAATAGATGCTCAGGCTTCTTTCTCAGCTTTCCAGCCTTTCTTGTATATGAGCGGATACATCTATCCCAGAAATGTTGCCACTTGCAGAAATTGGACTCTTCATGGGCCTATCAACTATTAGTATTACCAGAAGATTACCAGACTATGAGGTAGCATACATCAATGCGCGCTTGAGTTAAGAGAGCCTGGATGCTAGCGATCTCTTCATCGGAAAGCTCATCTGGTAGAACAGCCTCATGATTTAAAATATCGTCGCGCCGTAACATAAGCTCCAACTCCAAATCGTCTTCAACCTCAGTATCCTCCCATTCGCTGTTATGATCGTCATCAATTGGGATACTTGAGATACCCTCAAATGCAGCAAGCTCAGACAGAAGTTGTGGCGGAGTAGATGGTGGTGCTTGTGGAGAAGAAGAGGCGCTAATATTCTTGACTTTCTGATTCGCAATGCAAGATGCATGGGTACCCTTCTCAGTCCTGTTTATAGTTAGATTGAGGCTACCAGAGATTACCAGAAGGAACTTACTGAACACGAATACGCTCATTTAATTCATTCTGTAGACGTGTCTTGTCTTCAGTAGAGGCAGCGATATACTTTGCAGACTTATATAACTTCTTTAAGTAGTAGCTCAGATCAGCATGATGTGCTAAGTGAACAGCCTTCTCATCTTCAGTAAGGTTGGAGACGCGGTTGCGAGCTTTGATAGTATTCACATTAGTGGAGAGTTCTTCAGGTGCCTTGCGTTTCGCCATACTAAACACGTGATTAGCAGAAGATCGCCAGAAGTTCTGGCTATAGAATCAAGATAATAAACTTACTTGAAGTCCTAGTGAAGAGGTGAAGGCGCAAAAGGGAAGAAGAATGTGTAGATCGGAGAGTAACCAAGGAAGGTGGTTCTAAGGTCGTGGTTATTTTAAAGTTGCAAACAAAAATATTCGTGAAGGGATATTCACCTACAAAGAATTACTGTTCCAAAAGCAACACCACAACGCGCACCTTCATATAAAACACATACCTTTCAACCTCTACCTCTTTTCTATACTCTTCTTCTGCAATATTCTTCCTACAAACTCACTGTAAGTACACATATCTTTTGATCTACTTCTTTGTCTTGTGTTTACTTCACTAACTCACCTTGATATTAGCAAATGGCTCGTACCAAGCAAACTGCTAGGAGATCAACTGGCGGCACAGCACCAAGGATGCCACTTGGATTACAGGCTGGCTCTGGGCTTGGTGGAAAGGGAAAGGAAAAGGCCGTGGGCACAGCAAGAAAAGCTCCAGTTCGCTCATCTCAAGCTAGCAACAATCATGCTCAGAAGGCCACGCGCCGCGCAAAGTCTGGTAAGAGGATTACCAGAGGATTACCAGAGGATTACCAGAACTCTCTAATAAACATATAGGCACCAAGGCTCTCCGCGATATCAGAAGACAGCAACTCGATACTAGCCTAATTATCCCAAAGCTCCCATTCCAGCGTCTTGTTAGGGAAATTGCAGCAGACTTCAAGTCCAATCTTCGCTTCCAGCAATCTGCTATCCTAGCTCTTCAGGAAGCTGCTGAATGCTTCCTCATTCGAGAATTTGAGAGTATGATGTTTAAACATAGTGACAGGGACATACTAACAGTTATAGTGACAAACCTTCTCGCTATTCATGCGAAGAGAGTGACAATTCAGGCAAAGGATATGATATTGGTTCGGCGTTTGCGGGATATGATGTTTAATCATGGAGCTGTGGGCTTAATCGATGGAAATGTGTCTCATCCAGGAATGAAGGTCAGATGAGTTCTGGCAACCTTCTGGTAACCTGGTACCTAAAGGCCAAAGGTTATAGTGTGGAATAGGACATCAACAATATGGGAATGGAGTTATGGAGTTATGGAGTTATGGCGTCTTGATCAATGAAGTCGCGCCCCGTTTTTAACATAAGTAATGGCACGTGATATAACTGAGTTGCCAAGTGAGTAATCCTCATTCAACAATACTCGGGACATGAGTGAGTAACTCAGCTGGGTGAGTAAAAAGTCTACTACTCGACTCGTGAGTACCCAGTGCGCAGCCTAAGGAAGTGATAGTTTTGTAGAATGGCGCATTTAGGTATCTTTACATATAAATTACTATGGCATGGTACATATAACATACAATTTGCGAAATCGCGCATCTCGCTTCTCCAACTTTCTCAATCACCCGACTCACTTCCTCCAACCTTGAGCGAAGCGAAAAGTTGGATACGACGATTATAGGATCTTCCATAGTTACAGTATCTATTTACTATGGGTTATCTATGGTTAGAGTTATATGTGACGATGGGTGAAGTGGCGGTGAGCACCGACCGCTTACCCCAACCTAGAGCGAAGAGATAGGTTGGTTCCGACGATTATATCGAACAACTAATAACAGGACCCATTTGTCTAGTCAAAAGCGAATAAGAACATTTATATTAATGACCGAAATAGCACAGTTTGATAAACTGCTGTTCTCACAGGACTAAATGCAGCAGGCGTTATAGGTTGGCCATAAGGATTCCGCGCTTGACGACCGTGATTGGCGGCGCAGTTTAACTCCAGGTGGTGTCAGCCAAGTCATCACGAGCCCGGTCACAGTTGGACTTTCCGGTATGAGTATAGCAAAGGCCTGCCACACCAGCAGCCCACATTGCCCCGCACTCCCACATGACGATAGCAAGGTCCCACATCTCTACAATCTTCTGCCCGTGGGGATAAGCCACTTCGGCAGCTAGAACAGCTCCCACGTATTCACTTTCAGCGGGTATGCTATCAGCCCCTCTCACGTAGGCGAGAACAGGGTCTACTAGAAGCTCAATGACGGCACGAGTTTCGGGCAATGGGTCAGAGGAAAGGACAGATTGGAGTCGTGCCTCGGCGTTGGCGAGGGGACGCTCCCCGCGCTCGACCTTAGTGCCGCTTGCTCGAAAGTGCTCCAACTCTGGCCGGCCATCCGGTATTGTGGCGGCGATTCCCGCGCCCGCACTGAGGTCTGTTCTACCGAGGAGTGTGATGGGTCGGTGTCGGCAGTTGGCGAGCTGCCACCAGTGCGTGAAGAGAATGCAGAGGGCTGCCGGGTTATAGGGATCGTTGTCCCGATACCATATCATAGAACCAAGCAACCGCGAGTAAACCTCGAGCAAGGGTTCCTCTTCCAAAGATCCCCGCGTCAAAGTAGGGATGATGTTGCTAACTTCTGCGCAAGCTATATCAGCTCCAAGATCAATCCAGTCATGCACAACGCAGCCAAGGCCGGCGATGGCAGCCATCTGTTCTCCGCCGCCTGCATCGTAATAGACATGACAGAACACGGCATCGGCTAGCTTGTAACGGGCAAGCCGCGCGAGATTGTCCCATACAACTATACACGGGCGAGAGGGGACAGGGTGGGCATCCTCGATGATGGTCTTCTGGCGCAAGCATGCATAATCGCAGCCCTTGACGACCCGTATATCGGTGATATGTGGGCCGGCGGAGACGGATTCTTCAGCAACAGCAGCTACCTCCGCAAATGCAGAAGAGAGGCTGTCCGCCATCGCAGCACTTTTGATGCCTATGGAGTAATCCAGGACGAAAGCCGAGTCCATAATAGCCCACAAGCCAGAGATCGAACCACCGTATACGCCCCGGTTATAGCCTAGCGCCATAGAGAAAATGCTGGTGTTGAGCAGCGGCCCCTCACAATCCTCTGCTGCGAGGAGATCCACAACGGCCTGGTCCGATGAGAGTGCCACGCCGCTCAGCTTGGGAGGGAGAGGCTTGCGAGCGGAGCACCATGCCGGTAGGTCAGACCCGCGGACTTCAGCGAACGGTAGGCGCTGCGTCACTCCAGTCGTGATCACCTTATCACGCGCTGCCAAGAGAGCCGCAGCATCTGCTAGCAGCCCAGTTGCACAATCGACGGCGTCTGCAACGCGTGCATTGCGCATCCAGGAGATGCTCATGGCTGCGCCAATAACTCCGCTGGTTTGAGTGGTGTCGTGACGACGCGCCAAGCTGACCGTCGTCACCAGCGTGTCGGTTTCAGGGAGGTATTGTTGAAAAAATTTACTTGACCCAGCCTCGACCGGACCTATGCCGTGAGTCCTGAGCGACCAGCAGGGAGCTCCAAGAGGGTAGCTCATGGTGGCCCCTTCTCCAATGACATGGGTGGTACCCCATGTCGAAGAAAGACGGACGGCGGCATCAGGGTCCTCTGCCGAAGACTCGTCGGTCCGGTCAGCCCAATGGGAAACGACAGGCAGGCAATCGAAAGCTGGTGAGCGACTGAGACCACCACTGATGACGAGCCCTGGTACGAGGTCTGACACGGGCAGGTCGGAATTCTTTCCTGCCCAAGGCATCTTAATATCCCTCGAATGGGTGAGGATCCTGTCGAGCTTGGCCTGGTACTCGCTAGCTGGCTTGTTGCACGCCGTACCCCCGTTAGTGTGCCTAGCACCAGCCCTTTTGTGTCTCAATTCTGAAGGCGAGGACTTGGTTGTGTTGGCAATGAAGTCGGTTACGTCCCGACAGACCATCCGTTTACCAAAAGAAGGCTGTTGACCAGCTCGGGGGTCAACGAGCCCCCCATTAAGAGCCAGCTCGGAGAGCGCACTTGTCCGGGCGATGTAAGGCATCTTGCATTCAATGAGAACGTTTGAGCGATGTGGTTCAGAGGTAGCAAGAGGGTGAGATGCTGACAACTACTATCAGCCTCTTAGCAGGGTCGTCTTGAATTAAATCGTGGGATGACTGCTGTGCGCACAGAAAAGTCGTTGAATGGAAAGAAGGTTGGAAGGGAAGCATTTATAAACTTTTGGTAGGTGACGTGGCAAGTGTTGAAAGTATAGGGGTAGAGGATCTACTTTCATGAAGCATGTAGATCACTCCCCTTACATCCTAAATTGTCTTATAGCACAGTACACCTTGGGAGAATGGTATCACCTGTCATAGCCTTAACACAACAACTGGCTTTTCAGGTGGTCATCTGCTATGTCGCCGACCAGTCTTGGCTACAGTGTATCAGTTAATCTGACCGCTGATTGGCGGAGTCTTGCGATAGCATATACTCGCCGAGACATTAACTCTCGTCTTGGCCGCCAGCTAATCACAGACATCAGTTGTATTTCACAAATTGCATTCATTTGCCGGACAGCCCGGTTGTCATGTTGCGATAGAGTCTCTTATAATTTTGAAAGCTATAGTCAGAAAGCGATAGTAGTTGACTGTCGCTGGCATTTCATGGCAAGCTACGACTATACGAAGATGTCAGAGATCCTACATCTCCAGAAACGGTAATTCTGGCGTCCCAAACTTGAGGGTCACCACCCGATGGTCTCACCCGATATTTCAATGAACCCACACCAGGTATCCACCGGCTTATCCTTGAAATCGGCTCTGCTTTTGAGGACCTTGGTAATGAAGGAGGATATTGCAGTTTGGATGGGCTGCACTTCCTATAGTACAATCAAGCGGCCTTCAAATATATAGAAACCGGGCTCTTCCCCGTCAGGAGCCTTATCGCAGGTTCCTCGTCCATCTCTTCGGCCAAATCGCGCGCCGTATGCCCGCCATTGTCCACCGCATCTACCACTGCCCCTCTGTCGACCAAGAGTGTCGTCACTGCCCCATGCCCTAGAAAAGCAGAACGGTGTAACGGTGTACGCCCGAGTTGGTCCACTGTGTCAACTTTGGCGTCCTTGTCAATCAAGAGGTCGATAATCTCCAGGTGTCCTGTGCTCTGTTTCTTTGCTATCACCATGGTCGCAAGATTTTCTGACTATCCTCTTAGATTCAACTTTCTGCCAATCTAGGACACGCCCCCGAGCAGGAGACCATGCCTCTGGCTCTATCTTTGCTTCGTCTTCTGCATTATAACCCGTTCGCTTCTCCGTTGGCCCTGGCGGGCAATACGTTTGCTGCGACGCACATCCTTTCAACTGGCCTTAGCTTCTCGATCACGAGCATGCCATCGGCAGTGCGAGTGTTTAGTTCCATTCAACCTCCACAACAGTTTCCGAGATCTTTTTCGAATCTGATGTTTATCCCCTGGGATGGCCCTGGCAATGTCCAGCAACTCTTTTACAACCATGTCAACCTTTGTCTCTAAAATATCATTGAGATCGAAACTTGCGAGCTCTTGCACTTTTGTGAGTCGAGCAGAGATGTCTTTTTGTTTGTGCTCAGCAAAAGAACCCCGACACTTGTTCAGCTCATATCTCAAACACCAAAATTGCTTCCAATTGTTAGCTTCGCAAATGCTTAATCAGGTTAAATATGAAGCTTACGTTACTCTGGTACGTGCCATCATTAAAACATGATAGTACCCTCGGGTCATACTGACTCGCCATATCTGTCATTGATTCCGCGTCAACTTTGAAGCAAGGGACATATGTCTCCATACTGAAAATACGTTATGTGTACTGTTTGAAAGGAGCGAACGAGTGAAAAAGTGAGAAGGGGGGGCGGGGCTCACGGCTTTATAGTCACCAAGGTTGGCGCAGCTCTATAGCGTTGTGGGTACTATCACAGGGTATCACGTCTCGGACTGGCCAATCATCGAGGCATTCACACGCAGGCAGAGGGGGCCTTCAGCTTGTTTATGAAATACTAATGGCCACAATCAAACAGTACAGTCCACTACTCGATTCAACTGAGATAAGCTATGCAGCCTCGATTGATCAATTGACAGATCAGGCGTAGGAGAGCATGTTTGCCATCTCTCCTGAACCCCTGAAATCATTCTCAAACTCCTTGCCAACCTCGAGGACGGTCTCTAAGTGAGAATAGCATAGGTGTGTTCCATCGCTGCTTGCTATGGCATGTGCTGAACGCACTGCGTTCTTAATCTGTGCGACAGTGTTAGCAAAGGAACCCCATTCGACGGTACTAGGGACACTTACCTGTCTACCGTTGAGGCTGTGCTTGGCCAGGACGTTCAACTGCTTGTCACTGTACACTGCATCCCCTGTCTCTGTTTTTGCCTTCTCAAGAAAGCTCCTCCAGATCACTTTTCTCGTATTAACGCCTAAGGGGCTGTACTTAATACCAACGTGTATTCTGCTCTGTACTGCTTCATCAAAGTCTCTGACCCGGTTCGTGGTAAGTAACATGATGCCCTTATAATACTCGAGCTTCCGTAAAAAGACTGAGACGAGAGAGTTGTGATTAGGGTCATAGGACCGCTTGCACAGAAAGTCATCAGCTTCATCGAGGAGAAGTAAAGCCTTCCACTTTTCGGCAACTTCAAACATCTCACACAATTGGGCCTCGAGAAGTTTCGCATCTTTGCTTAAGTTTCCCGCAGAGACCTTCCTAAGTTAGCACAAATGGGCGCTAGATTGAATATAGAGGCCTTTCGAGGTGTTCCGACAGTCCTTCTGCAGTCATTGTCTTTCCAACACCTGGCGGTCCACTATCGAGCGTGTCAGTCTTGTATATATCGATCGTCATTGCCATGGACATACTAGAGAAGCATAATCAAGCCACGGCCTTTGCCCTCCACAAAATCATCAAACGTATATTTAGTTTTCTCACCGGACTGGGACGTAGTCAGAGCTTCGATAAGCTTCTTTGACTTGTATGGTATAGCCAGTTGGTTGAAGAGCGACTCATTCCACGAAATTCCCGAAATATCCGCAACCGCGATCAGCAATGTCGCCAGTGGCGACCTGTGCACCTGCTGTAGCGACTCGCCACAGCAGGTGCACAGGTCTTACACCATAATTTGTCGTTCAAACAGAAACCCAGCACAGTCGGGCTACAAATTAGAAGATCTTCATCTGTCAGCGCATCAAGGTTTATACTGCTCTCCATAGTCGATTCATCTAGCTTGTTACTAGAAGTTATATCTCCAATCAGCCACAACTCGACTCGTGGAACTGCTGCTTAACCCTATTCTGTTTGACTTCTTCAGTACTGCTTGGCCAAAGACTGTTGAATACATTAAGATTCATACGTGGATCGCAAATTGTAGCTACCCCTGAATGACTCCATCGTTGATTCGTAGCAAGCGTATAGTACTCATTAAGCTTCTTATGAGCAGCGATACAAGCTAGGTGTAATGGTGGGTGCACCAGATGTGAGAATCTAGCCACCCAAGGGAGGGATGATTTTACTAAGACAACACACTGTCTTAGGAAACAGAGCCAACCTTTCTTAAGGAAAGGGTAATCCTATTTATGCTAAAGGAGTGTAGTTCTCTCATTTTCCAAGACTTTCCATGACTAACCAGGCTTGGTAACTGTAGTCGACGTAAGAGAATCCCATAGAACCATCTCTTAGGTTCTTAGCTTATAGGAAGTGAAAGGAGGTCTAAGGTCAGAGTACCTTTATAGACAAATTATGTCATAACTTAACTAATCTTGTGGGTAACTAAGGAGCGATGACGTGTAATGAATCATAGGTGGTTGTAGAAGCTTTTGGAGCTATCGTTCATGTTCCTAGGCCTCTAGTTCATAGAGATATGTCATGTGTAGTATTAGCCCAGTAACTAAGGAGTGATGTCATGTAATGAATCATAGAGGGTTGTAGAGATATGCTATGTGGTCATATCGGCCCAGTAACTAAGGAGCAATGACGTGTAATGAATCATTGTAGCAATCGTTGAGTAGTATTGCTCTTGTTGTTGGTGTGACAAGACAAAATATGTATAGTGACTTGTAGGTTTGAGGAGGAGATTTCTATTTTGCTCTTGAGTTTGATAGCAAACTGAGTGCAACGACTGTCAGTAAACCGTAGAAGAAACCTCCTGTAGGCAATGTTCGTATGCTGGCAAAGGACGAAGGACTGTCGTTGCGAGCTAAGGTCGCTTTTAAGGAGACGGTGATGGCAAAGTGCTGCTACCTTCTCTGAAACCTGCTCTAGGAACTCCACTTGGAGCATATCGACGATCTGTTTTGGCATCGTATCACGCATCACCTTCATGTGACGAGTGACAGCGCCATCGAGTGTTACGGCTACGGTAACGTGACGTCATGGTTACAGGACCAGGGCCTAGTAACGTGACGTGTGAGTCACAGGGGGCAAGCGGGGTAGGCTGCCATGTGACGGGGCTAATGGATAGTTGAGCTATCCACGAACTATCCTGAATATCTGTAAGGACACAGGGAATACGGCTCTCCGTAGGTGCATATGGGAGTGCGAGTCGGAGGTGATGCTGTATTCTATCCTATAGGTCTACTACGAAGGATACAAAAAAGATAAAGGGGGAGCTTACAGCTTCCTACCCCTTAAATATCCGTCTCGGGTCCGACTCTAATCAAGCTTAGCGTACCCTCGGTACTACTTAGTCGGTAATCCGAATCGACCCCGACTCCAACCCCTATGTTGCTGTACTACTATGTTATCTACTGCGCGTCCCCTTAGGGGTCCGAATGCACCCCGTGTAAGGAGGCATCCTTACATTACCCCCCGCCTTAAGGAAGTGCTTTGTCCTCAATGCACGTGGCATAGTATCGCGACCGAGGAGTGTCCGAGTGTAGGCCCTAACCGTAGTCTTTGTTATGGGAAACGTATGGCTGAATGCGTAAATTGGGAGTGGTGCTTTAATCGTAATAAAGGGTATTTAGGCAGGTCCGAATGCACCCCGTGAGGTGTCCGAGGGTAGCAGTAAGCGTCGCGAATTTCTCAGTTACTGTGCGCGCGCTAATCCGTCTCAGAGATTCATTGTTGTAAGCGGATGTTATGAAGCAACCGGTTCCGCCCACATTTCGAAGCTTCTTTTACCACAACAACGCTCACGAACCCCCCTCCCGAGAACAGTAAGTGGCCCCGTCTGTTCGAATATTGTATACTAACTGATTGTTTCATAGAAACAAAACCAATACCCAGACGATCGCGTAGGTGATGGTTGCGCGTCGACGCGCGGGTGATAACTCCTGTGGCTTGGCTGACGGTTCCGTAGGAACCCATTCCGCGACGATGCCGGTGCCCCCTCCTCCCAGGGCCCTTACTGCAGCCTTCCGCACTTTGTGCATGCGCTGCGTCCGCCGCAAGGTGAAGGTGGGAGCGGGCGAGCCCGCCCACGACTGTGTTTGGAGCGCCTCGAGCTCCAAATGCAACCACTGTGTGGGCCAAAAGGCCAATTGTGTTCCGGTGAGTTGTCGGGTGGCCTACGGCCTCGTGTTTTGGTTTCTGTGGCTGACCTTGTGGGGATAGATGGCCTGGTTCCTAGCCGACGAATACCAGGCGATTGTCGACGCCGAAACGTCAACCAACCCCGATCCCGCCGCCGCGAAGGCTGCTGCCGCGGAGGCAGTTCGGGTGGCCAACCTCACGGCCGCCAATATGCCGAAGTTTCGCTCTCCGGCCGAGGCTTCGGCCTACATGGAGAGCATGGCTCTCCGCAACGCCGTCGAGGACGGCCTGCGCGTAAGTCTACCCCTTGTGTTATGTCTTGTTTTGGAACTGACGCTGTGAAGCGTGTCCGCCAGGCGGTGATGGCGGTGGGGAGGGATACGGCCGCGCTCCTCGAGGGGCAGGGCTCCTTGCTGGAGGGCCTGGAGTCCTCCCTGAAGGGGGTGGGGAAGTCGGTGGTGGCGGCGGTGGACAAGGTGTCCGTGGCCGTGGCGGCGGGGCCCCGCGGCCAGAAGAGAAAGAGGGGGGAGGAAGATGGGGATGAGGCGGCGGAGGGGACGTTCTCCGCGCCCATTGGATGAGACTCTGTGTCGGAGGGAACTCGGGCTGGGCTCTTCGCGTGGGGTCGCTTCGACCCTTCATCTCACATGGTGGTAGCCGCTTGTTGCGACGCCGGTGGGACGTTTGGGAAGGGTGGCTCCCGCAAGAGCCCGGGACGAGTGTGCCCTGGCTCAGAGGGTATTTAAATTCGTGGGTAGCAACGAGTCTGTTTTTTCTGCTTTGCCGTGCCTTCCGTGACCGTAGCTTGGCCCGCCCGTCTCCCATGCCGTGATCCATCCGGGTAAGTCCTTCGGCGGTCCTGGTAGGTTGGGGTATTCCGTGTGGAACTCTCGAAGCTTGAGCGGAGAGTTCTCGAAATTGGCTGCCGGGTACCACTCCGGGTCGGGGTCAAATCCTACCCAGCTCACCTGGTATTGTAGCTGCCGGCGGCGAAGTCTCACGGCGAGGATCTTTTCCACTTGCCATTCTTCTAGGCCGTTAATGACTTCGCTGCTAGGCTCTGGTGGTGCTTGCCCAGGTAAGGGGTTACTCGGAGCTTTAATGAGTACGTCCGGCGAGAATACATCGTGTATTTGAGACCCAGTGGGTAGTCGTAATCGGAATGTGTGACCGACCTGTTTCAATACCGTATACGGTCCGACCCATTGTTGCCCTAGCTTACGGCTAGGACGGGTATTTTTGAGATTCTTCGTCGAGAGGTAGACCTTGTCTCCTACGCTCCAATCGACAGCTCTTCGGCGTCGATTAGCATGCCTTGACATCTCTTCTTGCGCTTTCGCCATATTTCTTTTGGCGTATTCCCAGGCGGTGTGCATACGAGTAGCCACCTCCTTAGCTTCATCTTGGTTCAGAGTTTCTCGGGGGGTGGTTCCCTTTGGTGTGTTCCAATCCCAACTGGTACGGGGATCCGTTCCGTACTTGAGTCGATACGGGGTCATCCCGATCGATGCGTGAGGGAGCGTCATCTGGACCCGATCCATGATAGGGATGAGCTCGCTCCAATTATCCTGGTAATAGGATACGAATGGGCGCAGTCTCTGATCGATATATCGGTTCATGATTTCCGTCTGTCCGTCGGTCTGCTTATGATAAGCCGTCGACAGCTTGATCTTGACGCCGATGATCCGGCAGAACTCGTGCCAGAAGGACGACACGAATTGGGGTCCGCGATCACTAATGATCGACACCGGGGTATGTCCGAATCGATAAATCCATTCGATGAATAGCTGCGCCATTTGCCGTGCATCCGTAGTCTTGTGGCACGGTATGGTTACCGAACTCTTCCCGAGGCGGTCCATGAACACTAGGATGCTGTCGTATCCGTGCTTGTCCCTGGGGAACTCCTTAAAGTCCATCGTAAGGTGTTGCATAGGGTAGTCGGGGACCGGTAGGGGGTGAAGGAAACCCTGTTGCTTCGTGACATTGGTGTGCGATAGGCGGCATGTCATGCAATTGCGTACGTACCGTGAGCAGTCCGCTTCCATACCGACCCAATGATACTTTGGGGCGAGCAACTGGTAGGTCTTCCTGCCACTTGGGTGTGCGGTCGACACTTGGTCGTGTGCCTCCCGGATGAGTTTCGTACAAAGCTCTGTGTGACGGTTCACACATAGGCGGTCTTTGTACAGGAGGAGTTGGTCGGCTAGGGCGTACCCATCCGGTAGGGGTTGTTTCGCGCGTGTCTCGGCGAACGACTTCCGGTTGCCTACGCATAGTGCCTCAATCAGATCGAAGGGCATCTGCGTTTTCAGGGGGTCGATGGCATTAATCGATGCTACATAACTGTCGGCCAACTCGGCACTGATACGGGGGTGTAGGCGGGCTGGGCCAAGTAACACCCTCGCACGACTGTCTAACTTGACTTTTTGCTGCATTACGAGGTCTTGGCCTCTTCGGCTTAGAATATCCGCCTTCTGGTTATTCTTACCTGCCGTATACGTAATGTGGAAGTTGAAGTCGGAGAGTAGCTCCATCCACCGTACCTGCTTCGCGGTGAGAACCTTCGTGGTCATGAAGTATTCCAGCGATCGGTGGTCCGTATAGACGTCCACCCGGTGTGTCACCGAAGCCAACTCGGGTCTCCATTTCGCGAACGCTTTCACGATTGCGAACAGTTCTTTGTCGTGGATCTCCCAGTTGATCTCGTGGCCGGTTAGTACGTGGCTATAGAAGCTTACTGGGTACCAGAGCTTGTCCGGGTGCTCCTGTGATAGCACGCCGGCGACGACTCCGTCTGAGGAATCGGTCTCCAGCTTCGTAGGCAATTCGGGGTCGAAGTGGTGAAGTGCCTGGACTGTTAAGAGTTGTCGTCGCAATTCCTCAAAAGCGTTCTCACACTCCTCAGTCCATAGGAACGGCTCCGAGGGGCTTGTGATAGTGGTTAGGGGCTTGGCTATTTTCCCGAAGTTCCGTATGAACTGGCGGTAGAAGCCACAGAAGCCTAGGTAAGACTTTACACCGGTGACGGTGGTTGGTCTGATCCAGTTACGGAGTGGTTCGATCTTATCAGGGTCCGCTTCCACCCCGGAAGTGGTCAGTATGTAACCCAGGTACTTCGTACGGGTAACGTCAAACTCGCATTTCTTAATGTCGGCTTGGAGTCCGGCTTCTCGTAGTCGCTGTAAGACTTTATGTACATGATCTACGTGTTCCGAAGGGTCTTCGGAGTATATTAGGATGTCGTCTAGGTAGGCAGTACAGAAATCATCCAAGTACGACATGAGAACGTCGTTCATGTACCTCTGATAGGTTGCGGGACCGTTGGTTAGGCCAAACGGTAGCACTTTACATTTGTAGGATCCGTAACGAGTCCGAAAGGTCGTGTACTCTTCAGAGTCGGGATGCATCCGTATACGATGGAAAGCTTGTCGGATGTCGAGCTTCGTGAAGATCTTCGCTTTTGACACCCGGCCGAGCAATTCATCGATGCGCGGAATGGGATATGGGTCGTTACGAGTGAGGCCATTCAGCTTCCGGTAGTCGATACAAAATCTCAGTTTCCCATCCGCTTTCTTAACGAATAGTATAGGCGACGCAAAGGGGCTATCGCTATTGGCGATGAAGCCCTTGTCGAGGTGCTCCAACAGGTATTGCTTAGTAGCCTTTAGCTCCTCGGTGCTTTGTCGGTAGAGCGGTGAAAAGGCGTTTGGTAAGGGGGCCTCGAGCTGTATCCTGTGATCGTATATGCGGTGTGGTGGAAGGCGATCTGATTCCGACTTCGAGAAGACGTCGGCATAGTTTCGATGCACAAACGGGAGCTTCTCCTGGATGAGTGATGTCGTCTCGTCGTCCTCTTCCGATTCTCTCTGCCGAAGGATCTGATCAATTTCATATATACTAGCCTGGAAGAACTCGGCGTCGCTCCGCATCATCTCATGATAGAAGGCATTCGCACTAATCTCGCAGATCTGCACCGGTGCAAACCCATGCGTTGGCGTCCTCTTCGGTGGTCGTGACGGAGGATCCTCCTCCTTCCGAGGTGTGCTCGGTGGGGAGTCGGTGATTTCTTCGTAGTCCGAAATTATCACTTTCATTTCCATCGGGCGTCCGCCTGCGCGGCGTCTGTCTTCGTGTTGGATGGCGGCATCCCTACGATTCGCATCCGACTGGTGTGCCGGATGTCGAATGGACGTTTCGCGCGAGTGGTAGGGCAAGGTGATCTCCTTGCTCCAGCTAGGAGTTGGCGGGTACTCCTTTGGCCATACTAGCCGGCTCTTTGCAGAGTCGAGTAGTATTCGGAAGCGGCTGAAAAGCTTCCTCCCAATTATCACATCTTGCGCTCCGAGGTCCAGGAGCACAAAGGGGCAGTTATATATTCGGCATCCTTCGACTGTTAAGTGCAACCGAATATACTCCGATACGTGACTTTGGATTTTTCGCTGAAAACCACGTATGGGTACAGAGTAGGGCAGTTTCCGTATGGGGCTCTGAAGCGCCTTCGACAGTCGTAGCGCGAAGGGCTTGTTGATGACGAGGTATCCGTTTGCTCCTGTGTCTGCGAGAGCCTTCGTTTGCACACCGAGTCCGTTCAGACTCAGCGTCGTGTCGACTAAGAACTGGGTTCCGCCCAAGAGTTCTTGTAGGTCGAAATCTCGCAGATCACATTTGCGTAGACCTAGGAAGGAGCCTTTCCCTAGGCCTCGTCGTTTTCCTCCAGGGACGCATCCGATTGGAGTTCGACTGCCTCCTCCCACTGCTCTTCGGGCTCAGGGGCTTCGCGGTCAATCTCTTTGACTGTGAGGTTGAGCGGGCACCTGTCCTGGAAATGACCGGGCTTCCCGCATTTGAAACAGTTTCCAGACGCAGCCGGCACGGCGGTCCGCACGCGACCTGTTATGTCCGGCTTGGGGGCGATGGGTATGAAAGGAGTCCTCTGGAAGGAACCCAACGGACTTCTTGTCGTCTTCGGTGGTTGGGTCTTGGTGGCCTCCACAGGCGGGAACCTGGATGAGCCGAGGCGGGCCCGTCCTGGGAAGCTCGACTCGCCGCTCTTGGACTGGGAGCTCAACTCGCCGTTCCTGCGTCGCTCTTGGTCGAAGGCGGTTAAGGCTCGGACCATGGTGAGGTAATCGCCTTTCCATTGGTCCTTCACGACCGCCACGCGGCTGCGGAATTGCGGTGTGAGCTTGTTCCACATATACCGAAACCACTCCGATTGTGATACTTGTCCCGTAATCGCCGCACTTTGGAAGCGGGCTTTGAACTCGGGGAAGGTTTCGTGTAAGTGACCCTTTTCGCCCATCTGCATATCGTCGAATTCGTTCCGGGCCTGTTCGGTCTCATTACCCGTAAGGTAATATGATCCTAATAGGTCCATCATTTCGTCTGCGCTCTGGAAGCCATGCGTATCCGATAGGTATTGGGGTTCCAGATATTTCTTTGCCAGGCCGGTCGTAGTTCCCCATATCAACGCTCTTCTCGAGACGTCGGTAGGGTAGTGGTCCTCATTGACTACAAGTCGGTCCCGAATGGACGCGCTCCATTGCATAAAGGTATGTTCTATCCCATCGCTGAGCGGCGTAATCTTCTCAGAGATGGTGGATTTCTTGTAACGGTTCGGAGGGTCCACGGTGTACTGTCGGGGTAGACCCGGGATTGAAGGAGAGCGCGCATTGTCGACAGGTGGCAGTCGAACGGTGCCGGGCGTGTTTCGCATTGTCGGTGCAGGCTGTTCGTCTTCGTCGGCCTCAATGTTGCGCACTGGGGCGTCGGCAGCCGGTGGTGGCGTAGACGGTATTCGGGTCTGGCTAGCTACGAGGCTGGCTACCATCGCCTTGAGCTCCCGCATCTCGTTCTCGAGTTCGCTATGCGATCCGGGGGGCTTTCGGATGGCCCTGCGGTCGTGCCCGCTGTGGCGGTTTGCCTAGTTGTCATTCGTAGCGGTTGACCGTCATTGTCGGGTGGTGGGTTTTGTGTCGTCTTGCGCGACATCTTGATTCGGGGGTGTATCGAGTCGCAGTCGATACGGAAGAGTTTGACTTCCGGTAGCTCGTAGCTATCAACACTCTTGTTCACAATTGCCTCTGTGCTTGAGGGGGTTCTTTAGGATCTCGTATCCTATTCGGCGCCAACGCGTCGGCGACTTTACCAGCTTGCTCTGCAGGATCAAACCCTGATCCACTGGCTGTCCGTGAGTTCTCTGGGGTCACGGCTATTTGGAGTCATCAGGTCTCTACTTCGAAATGTCACCGAGTCGCGGTCGGTGGTGTTTCGACAGTTCTCCTGAGTCGTTCCGGTTGTGGGATATTATTTAGGTACGGCCGTCCCCGGCAAGCGTGATCTTTTTTGTATAATGTAAGGACACAGGGAATACGGCTCTCCGTAGGTGCATATGGGAGTGCGAGTCGGAGGTGATGCTGTATTCTATCCTATAGGTCTACTACGAAGGATACAAAAAAGATAAAGGGGGAGCTTACAGCTTCCTACCCCTTAAATATCCGTCTCGGGTCCGACTCTAATCAAGCTTAGCGTACCCTCGGTACTACTTAGTCGGTAATCCGAATCGACCCCGACTCCAACCCCTATGTTGCTGTACTACTATGTTATCTACTGCGCGTCCCCTTAGGGGTCCGAATGCACCCCGTGTAAGGAGGCATCCTTACAATATCTAGCTATCCGCCAACTATCCAGATTACCCATGAGGCACGACACCACTATATAAGTAGATAGTATTTCCTTAGATAGGAGCTTCGTGCTCAACTCAATATAGTATTCTTTACAATACTGTAACGTGTTACTTGGAAAGCCTTTGTGTCTAATCCCCTGCCTCCTCTGTCAAGTCAACCTTACGCAAGAAACCTCTGTGTCTTCTATCGTTTAGAAGTCAGCGTTACATCGAGCCAGTCCTGGCAAGAGGACGAGCGGTGTGTTAGGACAGCGGCGCCAATACACTGATGGTTGCCATTAACAATCACTAGTGTCATCGTCCAGCTCCTCCGTTTCCGCCTCCCTGCTTGTTCCTCTCCCCCCGCTACCTCTGCCTCCGAGTCTGTGTCCCCCTCTGCGTTTATGTCCTGGTCATCCAACTCCTCATCTCCATCTCCCTCAATCCGCCAACCTTGAACCTTCCACGGACACTCTTTCTGGGCACAGCGCCAGCTGGCCCCCGATGACTTCGCCACACGGAAGGAGAACTTCTCCTTGATGGCCCAGTCATGGAGGGCAAAAACCAGGTCGCTTTTCGAGCTGTACTCGGTCCTATCGGCAGGAACCGAGAGCTTGGAGAGACCAGACATCTGGCCAAGAAAGAGAGGGAGAAAGAATCTCAATTGGCCTCACGACGAGGGTTTCTGAGGCAATGGCGGCGACGAGCCACCTCGCTGTTGCTGGTGACAGCGAGGCTGCCGGCGCGTGGGCTGGCAGGCTGGTCAGTGGGAGGGGCAAAATTGGGGTGGCAGGGGTAATTGGGGGCTTACAGGCATCACTTAGTGTAACAGGGTATATAATTCGATAGTTTAGTGTAACAGGGATTATAATTTTTGCCCTTTATTCTATATACTGTAGTCTACTGTCGAGTTTTCCTGCCCGTTGCGCAATCTCAGTCCTTCCTCCAACAGAAGGACTCTAGTCAATAGTCTGTATCTACGTAGACCTAGCTTATAATACGATCCTTTCCTGCCCCCTGACTTGGTTCCCTAGACTCCCGTGAGACCCTTAGGCCTACGCTTTACACGCTGCACATATAGCGACGACGCAGCCTGGGCCCAGCTCCTTTCACTTATGTAAAAAGAAGCCCAAGAGGGTATCAAAGAATTAGGACCAGGGCGTGACTGGTTAGGAGCGCATCTGGAATGGACAGTCTTCGAGGATCCGACGCTACATGGCGCCTACCCAGAAGCAGGTCAAGACGCGGTTTGATGGGTGGGCTGATGGTGTTGTAGAGGAGTATGAGCGCACAAGCACGGATAATATGAGGGGTTTGCCGCGGTTTAATTTTTGTGTGTTTGTAGATGAGAAGAATTTAGCAAGCTTGGAGAAATCAAAGGTGGTGGTAGATGGGAGGAAACCGCCTGTGTTTGTGTGTAACGGGTGCCGCCGTTACAGTACATGTGGTATATAAAGCGTGTTACGCGTATTCCGGGCGAGCCGGAATATTGTAGTCTTTTTGGCTCAGTGGGATGTAGCGCGAGCGTAACCGTACATCGTTACATTGTGATACTGATGAGGGTTAAGAGGGGAATACAGGCTTGGGTGCTTAAGGCGCAGGCGGCGGCGCCCGCGGAATGGCGTTGATTCTGAGGACGAGGAAGAAGAAATTTTCGAAGACGAGGATGAGGATGAGGATGAGGATGAGGATGAGGATGAGGATGAGGATGAGGATGAGGATGAGGATGAGGATGAGGATGAGGATGAGGATGAGGATGAGGATGAGGATGAGGATGAGGATGAGGATGAGGATGAGGATGAGGATGAGGATGAGGATGAGGATGAGGATGAGGATGAGGATGAGGATGAGGATGAGGATGAGGATGAGGATGAGGATGAGGATGAGGATGAGGATGAGGATGAGGATGAGGATGAGGATGAGGATGAGGATGAGGATGAGGATGAGGATGAGGATGAGGATGAGGATGAGGATGAGGATGAGGATGAGGATGAGGATGAGGATGAGGATGAGGAATGAGGATGAGGATGAGGATGAGGATGAGGATGAGGATGAGGATGAGGATGAGGATGAGGATGAGGATGAGGATGAGGATGAGGATGAGGATGAGGATGAGGATGAGGATGAGGATGAGGATGAGGATGAGGATGAGGATGAGGATGAGGATGAGGATGAGGATGAGGATGAGGATGAGGATGAGGATGAGGATGAGGATGAGGATGAGGATGAGGATGAGGATGAGGATGAGGATGAGGATGAGGATGAGGATGAGGATGAGGATGAGGATGAGGATGAGGATGAGGATGAGGATGAGGATGAGGATGAGGATGAGGGGGGGGGGGGGATGAGGAGGGATGAGGATGAGGGGGATGAGGATGAGGATGAGGATGAGGATGAGGATGAGGATGAGGATGAGGATGAGGATGAGGATGATATATCCCTTTACCGGCCCACAAGGCCACCTGGATGTATGTAGAGACGCAGCATCTGCTCTCGCTTTACAATTTCTTGCATGCTGATTCAGGCTGCACTTCTACGTCCGGCCGCTAGGGGGTTATGGGAGGAATGAGGTCCGAAGCCAATACGGAAGTTCTGGCATGGCAGAGCGGACGGGGTGCCTAATTCTCTCCAGTCTATGGTCGTATGTGATGGTTACTCAGTTGGTAGGCTATAAATGCAAGCATACGCCGATGGAGAATGAAAACTCAAAACTGTTGATTGGTATTTAGCGCTATGCAAAATGTAACTCCAGCCTATAATACCGCCCCTGAAAACATAAGATTAAACAGAACTATTAGCCCTATGCTCCCGCCTGTCCGTCCTAGCCATGTACTAGAAACGTTCAAAGTCCTCCCACATAGCCTCTAACGGCGTTATAATGCTTATATACCTCGTTGTGGTTGAATTGAACGTAATGGTTGTCATTAAGAGTTTTGTAATGTTACATAGTATTTGTTCCTGTGTTATGTAGTATACCGTGGGATAATTTCGTGTAGTCCTGTATTTATCGTAGCAGCTAGGGCGATGGAGGCGGCGACTCCACGACTGCGCCCATATTTGGGGTAGCTGCCTGTGCTGCAACTCTGTGTCCACCACTTCCATCAAAAATAAATGGTCCGGCGTCATTTCGAGGAGTCATGGGTCCGTCAGCCCCCGACAAAACATCCAGACTTCTATGTCCTGGGCTTGGCGTTCGTCGATCTCCACTTTCGTCATCGCTGCCACGTTTTGAAGCCGACCGGTTCGATCGTGCAATATCAATCGGGGCGCTCAATCCGGACTGTTCGCTCCTAGCTTCGGTTTCTCTACCCCGGTCGTTGATATCAAGATTGGCCATGAGTTCTTCCGATGAATAACCTCCCTGTGAACCATTCGAAACTGGCTCAACGTGGGTCGTCGGTACTTGACTCAAATTTCGGGGGTCGGGGATGCCTGGTGGGGAAATTGGTTGTGGTACTTCATCCTCTTCTGAAGAAACCTGGCGCTCGCGTGTAGTATTGGCCTCCAGGTCTGATGGTTTCAGCTCCTCCCACTCGCCTTCTGTCGGTTCATCCACGTCCGCGTCGAGGTCAGCAACTGCTCGACAGTTGGGGCACACAAAGTGAGGCCAATGTGGGCCATTGATAATTCGCCGGACGCATTTGTAGTGCCACGTGTGCGAGCATGGTGCAACAAAGAGAGATTGGCAGGGCTAGTGTAAGAGTTAGAAATCGGGTAGGTGTAAGGTAAGACATAAACTTACAGCAACTGCGCCCAAGCAGATGGAACAGTCCTGAGAGGACGTTCCAGTTGTGGACTGTATCTGTTTCGCCATGTTTTGCAAGCGTTGGTGGGATGCCACACTGTCTATATGTTAGCTGTAGTCCTTTGTTCAGCCAATTGTGTGACAAACTTGAAACTGTTTATTCCGGTCTGCCATGCCCTGTTAACTTCAATGCGAATCTTCACGCATCGGAATATCATTTCCTCGCCGCCCTTGAAATCGATCCCCAACTGAACAATATCTCCATTTTTCACTGGAAATGGCTTGCTCTCCGTCCCGGGGGAGCTCAACCTGACATGGTTCAGGAACGTTCCGGACGAGCTCTTGACGTCTTTGATAAACCATTCCCCATCTTGTGCCCAGAACTCGCAGTGCCTGCGGCTGACTACCTTGGACTTAAAGCCAACAGGCGCAGCAGTCGACAGATTGGCAGGTTGGTTGGGCTGTGTCTCTCGTTCTGAGTACCTCCCCACGCGTATAATCTCCTTCCCTGTTGGCAGTGTGCGGCCCATGGGGCTGAATATCAACGACGGTCTCGGGGCGCGAGCGTCCTGATGCTGGGAAAACCGTATCGTAGGCTTGCTCTCCAGGCCATGTAAAGGTCCTGACGGAGGCGGAGAGCCGTGAAGATGGGGGTCTGTCCCACCGTTTATTTGTGAAATATCAGACCCCGCTTCTCGCATTGTGGCGCTGCCAGAGCGTGTCCGGGCCATGGGTGGCTCTTCTCGATCTGCTCCCGGTTCTCGGTGAAGTATAGAGGAGGTCACACTTTGGCCGCCTACTGTTGTAGGCCAACCACTTCTTGCAAAGGCCGTATCGGGAGAGATTTGTATTGTAGGTGACTCGACTGTCGTTGTGGGCTGGGTTGAAAGGCCCTCGGAAGTCACAACAAGCGCCGCCGACTCAAATTCGGCAGTGTCAAATGAGGCTGAGGATTGAGAGGGGTTGCTTGTAGCTCGAGTCAACGGGGATTCAGATCTTGTGGCAGGTGATGATGCAGACGGGCTGTCTCGTGTGTAGAGGTGGCTATGGGTGTAGTTTCGAAGATAGCTTAGGCCGCGAAGTCGGCTGGATCGTGAGGGAGATGCTGTGGAAGACGGAGAGGTCGTCGTTGCCAGAGTTGATGATGACGGGGTCGCATGAGTAAACATAGTTGGTACTTGCCAAAACGAGCGGCTCCCCACAACGTCCACCACCCAGGTCAGTCGGAGGGACTTGGGTGTAAGCCCAAAAGGCGTTCAAACAAACCAAACCAAATCCTACTCTGAACAGAACAGGATACTAAGACTACGCCATGAAGCACTTTCAATATACTAGTACTTGCTGCAGTCGCAACGTCGTTCGTAGTGGCGATTTGGGGATTTGGGAGGGGTGGGACCGCGCACTCTGAATCGTCCAGCTCGGTCATCGGAACGGCCGATAGTAACGGCGGCAGGGGGCAGGGAAGTACTTCCAGTCGCACTGTGGGGGCTATATATACCGATTATACATACATATAAATTCTCAAAGAGATGGCAAAGGGACGCTCACGTAAACATGAAAGAAATAATGTTCTATTACTCGAGTATTACAAGGTGCTACCGTGACACGTCTGAAATTAAATCCACGCCTCTCGCCTCTCAATTTGTAACCTGGTCAGCCGTCTCTCTAATACTGTCCTGGTGTTCCTGCGACCCCGGAAGCCTGCTGGGCATATAAACCCTGCTCCTTTGCATAATCCGCCTTCCCCGTCCGACTATAGGCATAGCCTCCCGTTCCTCCTGGATTTGCCTCATTCACATAGGTATTCCCCGGTTTCCCGCTTAGTGGAAACACCGGTGGCTCATATGGCGGATTCATATCGAGTCCCGCATTCGCCTCTTTCCTTTTATTCCCAAGCTTCCAGAACTTCCACTTCACCGGCGCTGACCCGGTCGTGTAGTTGTTCGCTGGGGATGGCCCGAATCGCTTCTCACGCTTGTGGTGCTTCCATAGCAGAATCTCGGCGAATGCGCTGAGCAGGAAGAAGCCAATCGCGACAATCGACACAGCGAAGGAGACCTTCTCCAACGTGCAAACGGACCCGAGATCTGGGAGGGCTGTGACACCACCCTTGCCGCCGGGAGGCTTGCTGTTGGCGTCGCCGTTGCCGAAGGGTGTCTCTACCTGCCCAGTGCAGCTCGTGACGCCATGTCGCGTCTCCCAGGCGATGTAGGCGAAGGCACCAACGAAGGCGACGTCAAGGATGATGGCGAGGAAGGCGAACCAGCGGAAGCCACCGAGGCACCACAGTAGGATGAGCGAGGCGCCCGTGTAGAGCGCGCTAGCGCCAGAGATGCCCTCGACGGAGCGCAGGTAGCCAGAGATAGGTAGGGCGTGGTTGGAGAGTGTTGCGAGATAGTAGGAGTAAATCCCGAGAACGATGGCCGAGGAGCAGAATTGCACTGCGCGGAAGACCCACTGCAGGCTTTTGAGGGCGATGCCGGATTTCAAGCCCATAGTAGGGAGTGGTGAGAGGTGAGTCGATGTTCGTAATGAGGATTTAAGAGGTATTTGTTCAGGCGATGGTACAACTATAATGGTAATTGACGGCGGATATATATTTTGTACACATTCGTTTAGTTTAAGTTGTTTGATCGTACAAGGGAGTTCGTTGCCATGTTAAAAGAAGCTGCTCTTTCCCTCTAATGTAGGGAATAGAGTAAGAGCATCTTCGCCATTCACCCCACATCCTGTAGATGTTGCGCAAGCGTGTGTCGTATGGATAATCAGTCGACATCATAGCCACATAAATGGAGTCCAACCCCACTAGAACTACATCTCCCTCCTCCACCAACCTGACTAGTACCTGGTTGCGTATCGCTCTCCACATCTGGGCGAGACCTTGCCGCCCCGAGTTGCCCCATCAGTTTCGGCGAACCATTTAGCGGAGCGCTCGTGGGTTCGCCGCATCGTTGTTGTTTAGAGTGTTGCTAGTGCAAGTCTAGTGTAAAATGGTGGAGGTTCTAGGGGCTTTTCAAGGATGATATCATATTTCACCAGATCGCTGCCGATCGAGATCGGTAGAAACGCGTCAGCCAGTAGATCTGACACCCCACTTGGCGATCATTCATGTGACAATTTTTATGTGGCTGCCTTATACCTCCATGAAATTGGTTGTGCATACTCGTCCAATGCGTTCCACGCATTGGACGAGTATATATTTATATTTAACTCCGTGCAACAGATTCAAAATTAGAATATTATGTTTGCCAAGGCTACGAAATATGTTTAGCGTCTCCCGCCTGGCACAACCTCTAAAAGATAGTGATTCCAAACAGACCCAGGTGCACCAGGGGAATCACCTCTTTAATTGGGCAATCAGTCGCTCTACTTCTGTGGCATCGCCTGGCCTACTCGCCTTTCCCCGCAGCTCCTCCAATACCTTCAAGTCTTTCGCCTTAAACGCTTCTTCTGCTGCTTGCTTAATCATACCACACTTTGTCCACATCTCCACACGTTCTGCACCAGTTATCCCCGTGCACTTTGGGATAAAAACAGATGCCAACTTCGGATTTCCAGCCGACAGTAGAGAGTTGAAGAATGGTGTCCATCCAATTGGTGATTTCCGAGTGCTTGAAAGGGTCTCGATTTCCGACCATGCACGGGAAGCGATATGTGCACGCAGCCTTATCCACCAGAACGTCTTCTCGCCCAATTTAAATTCAGCCTGCACCTTCTTTGCGCGGCTGGAATAACCGGACCGTAGCAGTCTAAATACGGTCTCGTTGACTGATATCCCAGTATAAGTCTCTTCAAGGTCACGGTCGAATGCCTCCTGCATCTTCAAAAGAGTCTGTGCCTCTTGTATAGACTTGAGATCGAATACCGTGTCCTTGGAGTCACTCAACAACTTGCCAGCCAGGGTAAGCTTATCAATAGCCCCTCGTGCGTCACGCTGAGCGAGAGCATCATGAACAAAGACGTGCGCGCCATCGGTCCGACGGTCATCTTGATAGTACAGGTCCTTTAGTAGTTCCATGTCGTCTCCTTTTGCGGAGCTCTCAATCAACGCGGTTGCTATTGGCCGAGAACTGATCACACGGAAGAAAGAAGCTAGTGGCAGCTTATTCTTAAGCTGGAGGAGGACAAAGAATATCAGGTCCGAATCACCGCTTTCGATCGCCTTGTCGAGTGCGATTTCGTCTTCTTCCATGCTGAGAAGAAGAGGGACTTGCTTGCCAGCGCGTGGCTCGTAATTGAGTAATTCTGTAGCAAGACGGCCCCGACCCTCATCATAGGCAGCGCGTGCGATCTCTTCGAACGAGATGCCGCGCTTATTGGCCAGCTTCTCCACGATGAGGCGGCAGATGATAGCTTCGTCTTCGGAGGATACGCGGACTTTTTGGCTCGCCCAATGGACGTAGATACGGTCGGTGGGGAGACGAAGGTACGACGATATACGTAATGCTAGAAGGTACTCTCGGCGATTGATGAGTCGCTCAATAAGTTTCTCGGGCGTAAGGCGGATAAACTGTTCATAGGATAATGGAAGCCCCACCGAGTAGAATCGTACAGCGTTAAGGACGCGGAGGATCTCGCACATTTCGACGAATTCATCAGAGTTGTAAATATCGACGACTGATTTTCCAAACGACGCAGCCCGTAAAAGCTGCTTTTGCCAGTGAATGCTAAATTCATGCCCAGAAGCTTTAACCTGTAAAATGCGTTAGCCAACAACGCGTGAATGCCCAGTTTAGGGTGCTTACGCATGCATCGACAGCCTCTACAAGATTGGGCTTAATAAGTTGTATATTGTCGTCTGCTTTTGGTGATTCGTTTTCTAATTGTTGGACGGCGTCGAGTAAGATTGACGCGGGGGATACAGTTCCAAATCGGAAAACCTCGTCTGTAACTTCAGGTACTTTCTGGAGGAAATCGCATACATCGTTGGTTATCAAACGAACACCGTCGTGGTCTGGATATATTAGTTAGGGGTCATCACAAAATTCGGAGTATAGGGTTATAAATACCAGCTATTGCGTGAACACGGCCGTCGTAAAAAAACTTTGCAGCTGAGCCGTTTGGCCCTATCAGGTGGACTTCGTCTTCCCAAGCAATTACTACCGCGTCATTCCCGCACCACAGAAGATCCACTGGAAGTGTCTTTGCTTTCGAGTCATGCTCACTCAATCGGTTTTGGAAATCGCTAGTGATAACGTATGCCTTGCCGCTTTCTGTGTATAAGGCTGCAAACTTTCCGTTTGGTGATACGCTTATATGGATAAATGGACCAATATCAAGCATTCGATCATCAGATTCAGTGGCATCCACCACATATATCGTTTCGCCTATAGCCAGTAAAACTTCTACTGAGCGAGACAGCGTATATGCCGGTGGTACTAGGGTCCAAGAGTGGACGACACCGTCAGGTGGTACGGCCAAGAGTTTCGGCCGTGGCTCCTCATAACGAGAGACAGAGATTAGACGATTGTTTGATAGAAGAGCCACGAACCCGGTGGAATAGAACCTGCGTAAGTTTAGCATTTGCCAACACCATCTAGTCGACACACTTACCGGCAAGCAATTACACCAAATTCTTCCGCCCCGTGACCCAAAGAAAACTGAGAGAAGTCGCCTTGTAAGTTGTAGTAACAGCGAACCGTTCCATCCTGGGTAACTACTAATAGTTTCTCATCCTCCGACCACCCGAGGCCTTTGATGGAACCTTTGTCCCAGTTGATACGCCTAATGAGCTTTCCGGCACAACTACACACATCAATGCTTGATTTGGAAGCTTGACTGCCACGGAAAGTATGCAATTTTGCCTCATCATGGTATAGAGCTGTGATAATTGTTAGTGTACGGTGAAAGACGTGCGGCTGTCCAACTGCAGACGAGCCGTCAAAGGACGCTCAAGGTGTCTTGACAATAAAGGGTCAAATAGAAGCAGCATCATGAGGCAAGGCAAATGCCCCAAAACTGAGCATTTCAAAATAACATACCTATAGCTCCGCCATAAGGGGCTCCTGTCACAATGTGATTCTCAAGCTCAAGATCCTGGTCAAACACTTCAGTGTAGAGCTGGACCTTGCGATAGTACCTTTCCCCCAGCTTTTCCCAATCTGCAGTGGGATTCATCCTTGCAACATCAACCTCATTCTGTACATTAACAAATCAATAATTGTATATAGTCGATGTAGCATCCAAGCGCCCCGGATATCTACGCAAGTGGAAGGAAGGACGATGAATTCACGTGCCGTGTGAGTGGTATCTGGTTGTCTTTGTCCATGCGCTTATGGTGCCAGGATCCACCCTTTTTCCGCGCGGCTGTGCGGCCGCTCACCACCGAGGCCGACCACGATGGTGGCGCAACGCGAATTCACCGCTGGAACTCGTCATCAGAAACGCGTATTTGCAAATCCTCGATATTGCAAGACCCTACTTCATAATCGATATCTCCAATACGGGCAGTTCCCACCAAAAGTCTGAACCTCAGCAGCACGCAGCATATAAACCACTCGGGCACTGGAGACTCATTGTTTCAGTCATCACGAAGGGTCCAAGTGAAATCGCTCAGTCTTGCCTACATACCAACTGTAGCCGCATGTTTGCTTCAACCCAGACAAGGTGCAATATGCGTCGAGGCCTTTTAGATTACTGAAGTTGGATTGGAAATGAGCACGGGTGCAACCCTGGGCCGTCCACCAAACAGGCCGTTGTCTATGTATGGCGCCGGGCAAACTCCTCAAGGGGGGGGTTCGGATGCGAATGGCCATGGCGCAGCTGGCGACAATGGAAAGAAGTTACCTGCGCGAGTTTTCCAACACATCGATGACCTTCTAAAGGCGAAGCCCGAAGTCAATGTACACGCCCCAATACGACGACTTGTCCTCGATGTCGAATCATACTCTAAACAAGCCGATACTCACATCGACTTTCGCCGACCAGATCTGGCCTTGCAGGACTACATAAAGGCCTCGATTATTGCCATCGACATTATACCGAGGCACAAAGAATACCCCGATTTGAAGGCAGACCGTGGCGAGCTCCATCGTCTCTATGGTGCACTGCAGAAAAGGATATATTCTCAGTACACCCGCTTCGAAGAGGTCAAGGTGGCAATTAAAAAAAACAATGCCGAAAGTGGTATTCGACCTGGGTCCGCGAATGTGGTTGCAAATGGGATCGCTCGTGAAGATCAGCATTCACGGGAGCCTCCCGTTGTTCCCAAAAATGACGCCCAAGGCGTGAAACCCCCATCCGGCGGAGACAAGAAGAGCCCTGCACGTACAAAACCCGTGGTTCATCCCAAACCAAATGCCTTGCTTGGAAAGGCAATCGGCAATCACCAACGATCGCAAAGCGAGCAAATCAAGCGAGCCCCGAATCTTCATAACGAAGACCTCGAGGGCCGCTTTGCTAGATTGCGCGCGGTTGATACGCAGAGCCAAGATCAGCGGTCAAAGGTATACCCAACACGACCGTTTGTGAAGACAGGCGCAGAAGACTTTGATGGGCGGTCAGCATTACAGTCAAGCAAGTCTCCAGACAAACCGTCTGGACCTCGCGATATGCCAAAGGCTTCGTCAGGGCCACCCCGACCTTTAAAGTTGGCTATGGATGTTCTGATTCCCGATATGCCTAGACCGCCGGATGCTATCTACAGCCCTGACCGTACGAGTCTCGATGCACGAAGTTTCCCATCCCCCAGGATTGCCCCAAGGCCAAGCTTGAGAGAACCACGCAAGCCTGTCACTGCACCAACAACCAGCCATTCAACCCGCACAACCCCTAGTGTATCCACTGATACGCTTCCTAATGGACAGAAAGGATCCTCCCCAAGGCCGCCTTTGGACCGTAAATTGTTTAATTCGACCACTGTCGTAGCCGATGATCTTGTCAATTATATGAAGCAACATCGAATACTATTTGTCGACATTCGCTCACGTCCAGCATTCGACAGCGGTCATATCATGTCACAGTCTATTCTGTGCATTGAACCTATCGCTTTGGTAGAGGATATGTCGGCAAGCCAATTAGAAGAGAGGCTTGTTGTTTCGCCTGACAATGAAGCAGATTTGTTTCGAAAGCGTCAGGATTATGACTTCGTTGTATATTATGACCAGTCGTCGTCTTCAAACCTCTATGCTGACGAAACGAGCAATGTGGAAGAAATCCCATTACGAGACTTCAGCAAAGCTATTTTCGAATATGATTACAATAAAAAGTTAAAATGTCCACCTAAGCTATTGGTGGGCGGGTTAGATTCATGGGTGCAATTAATGGGACCCGGCGCTTTGGCTACTTCGAACACTTTACAAACTGTCACACCTCCAATTCCTCACCATGATTCACCTATGCGTGCTCCATCAACTTCTTTGAGTTTAGAAAAGCAGTATCAATCAAGGCCACTTACGCAAGATGAAGAATCGAAGTGGCAGAAAAAACTCATGGAACCATCAGATGACTTTGCGGGTCGCTTCCCAGATATCGACACATTCGAAAATACCGCCAGGGCTTCCCAAAACAAAAGTATTGCCGAACACAGCACTGATTATTCATATGTTGATGCGCATGAGGCTGAGCTTAATTCTTTGGAATTCAGGGAACCAGCACGTCCGGCCCTCGCCTTGTCCAAAAGGAGCTACCATGGCGTCTCGGAGAGTGTCTCTTCTTCTGCTTTCCCCCCCCAAAAATCCAGTTGGGGGTTGCCTGAGGTTGATTCTATCTCTCCTTCAGTTTCGGCAAGCGGAAGAACTGGCCTCGATAATTTCGGTAACACTTGTTACATGAATTCTATCTTGCAAGCCTTCAGTGCGACCCCATGGTTTGTAACGTATCTCCTAGACGGCTCGATAGACAAGGCTGGGGCACCTCCTCGGAAAAAGGGGGAAGTAAGTGACCCACCACAGTTGATGGTCAGAAACCTTGCTTTCTTGATACGACATCTTTGGAGCGGTCAATATAACTTTGTAAAACCCCAAACACTCAGGGTACGTTTCTCCTTTACATTCTTGTTCTCCGTTTAATTCTAACCTTCGATAGAATTACATATATAGAATTTGCAACCGTGGCCATTCGAATTCTGGGGTTCTTTTCGGCGGCCCGAACCAACAAGATGCCCAAGAGTTTCTTGACTTCCTCCTAAATATAATTGAAGATGAAACGAACCCTGGACGAGATAGGCCTGAGCCCGCGGCCTTAACAACAGCTCAGGAGCAGCAAATAAGAAACGAAGGCCATGCTGCAGAAATTAAGTTTCATCGGCTAAGATATGCGGCTGCACACCAGTCACCGATCACCGACAAACTCCTCATTTGCACGATGAAGATTTTCAAATGCCAAGAGTGTGGCTGGAAGACAACTAACCATAGTGACAACTCTCCATACCTTAACGTCAGCATCCCAGACGGGCGAGAGTCGAAATTGTCAGACTTGCTAGGTCGAAGGTTTAGCAAAGAAGGGAAAGTGAAGGAAGTTTATGATGATGTGAAATGCGATAAATGCTTCGCCGTTCATGGCCGCAAGACACGAAGGTCGGTGACGGAAGTTATTACTAGGCTTCCGGATACCCTTATTCTCGTTCTTGTCCGCCATACGGCGGATATTAGGAGGAACAATGCGCTTGTCACGTTCCCTCTCGACGACCTGAATATGGACGACTATTATTACGGCGTCCCAGACGCCGGCAGAGACAGGCGTGGCAAGAAATCTACCACACATTACCGTTGTTATGCCGTGGTGCAACATCTGGGTGAAAATTTGCACTCTGGGCACTATATTACTTTGGTTAGAGATCGAGAACGCACGAGCCAATGGTGGGAGTTCAGCGATCGAAGAATTCGTACGATTGATGCCGCATTAACCCAAACCAGTAATTCATATATCATGTTTTACCAGCGCGTGGAATAGTCGAAGCCTTTATTAGCGGATGACATGTGCATAGACGAGGATTATTGAATATTTGGAGTTCATTTTGTATGCATATATATAGCCGGGTGGAAACCAGCGATAGCATATGACGAGAGCAGGCGTTGATTGACAGTTAATGAGATACCAATACAATGATTCAAACCGAAACTGTAATCTAATTAGAGGCTGTCATGTACTACTATGATTCACTATTCAGAGTTGATGAAATATTTAGTTTTGTGGATAGGATGAGAATGCAATTATGATGCAAATAAATATTTCTAGATATTGCGTTTAATCGGGGTAAAAATCAATTACCTCCGCTCTTACGCTCTACACTTCCATACTTTTTACTACCACTATCCTCGGCCACCACCATCACCAACCACATTTTAATATCTCTCCAATGATGCCAGTGTTCGGCACGGATCGTGTATGATCTGAGCTGATCCGGATATGGATCCGGATTTATCCTATCTGCCATAATTATGATCTATCCGTACGATCTGAGGATATATCCGGATCTTACGGATAATGATGCCAAGAATAGCCAAGAGTAGCCAAGGCCACATAATAGACGTAGAATTGATTCTGCAATACTGGTTCAAATACCATTGTAATGTGACGATTACAGTAAAAATGAGCGACTCGGAATTATCAGATTTGCCGTCAGATCATGAGAGCTATTCTCAAATAGAAGAGCTATCGTTACCACATCTTCCACCTCAACCTACCCCTATTTAGCCTTCAGTTGAAGCAGTTGATGTATCGATAAATCTACCTCAACATCCAAGGGTAGTACTACCACCGACATCGTCGAAGCTCTTCACAAAGGGCTTATATCGTCGGGAATTACTTGATACTTGATGATATGCCTACAACCAGGCTGTGGATATTCACTACCGCCACAAGGATTAAAGCAATCGTCGACCAGTAATCTATGGAGGCATTATTCCTTAAAGCATCCAACAGTATCATACGCCCTTAAAAATGAGAAGAGACAGCCGTCTAGTGCGTCAAGCAGTACATCATCGTTCTTCAACCCACACCCATCAGCTCTACTAAAGCAACCTGGTAATCCTTCAAAGTATAAGGAGTTATTACTACAGTTCATTGTGTCGAATAATCTATCGATACGCCTTGTTGAAAGCTATTCATTCCGTGAATTAGTTCAATTCTTAAGCCCAACAACTATGGCAATATCAGCTCGTACGCTACACCGAGAACTACAGCGTCAGTTCTCATATCACCGAGGCCAGCTACCTTGAGCTCCATTCTCATATTAAGAGAGGAGGCCGGATATCAATAACGACAGATGCATGGTCTGCACGGAATTATACAGACTACGCTGCGATTACTGCACACTGGATCAACGATAAATGGCAACAGAAATCTAAAGTACTTGACATTGTACATCTTCAAGAGCCTATCCATAGCGGCGAATATCTAGCTCAACAATTAGCAATTGTAACGGGCGATATGGGTATTACAGGAGCTGTCTTTACCTGTACAAGGGATAACGCCTCAGCTAATACTGTTATGCTTGCGGAATATGAGAAAATAGCCAGAGACCAGGAAGTTACAACACAACAACCCTGGACGTTTAGAATCAAGGAAGGAGATGTACGATGCATAGCCCATATTATCAATATTGCTGTTCAAGATGCTCTTAAGACTTTAAAAGCAGCCCCTGCTGAGCAAGTTGAGAGTTATCAGTGTGAGCAGGGAGCTGCGCAGATTCCAGTAAGCTTCGATAGTAATATTGAAGTTAAGAATACTCTTGGTAAGCTACGAAGACATATCTATGTATTCAGAAATCGAAGGCAATGTGTAATGGTGGGTGCACCAGATGTGAGAATCTAGCCACCCAAGGAAGGGATGATTTTACTAAGACAACACACTGTCTTAGGAAACAGAGCCAAAGGGTTGTAGCTTAGACTATTCCACAACGCAGCAATCAGGTGTGTGATGTAGTGAAGTGGTTCAGACAAGTTGCAACAAATGTTGAGTCTGAGAACTCAGGGATAAGTCAGAGGTTAGCACCTCACTGATGTAATGGTGGGTGCACCAGATGTGAGAATCTAGCCACCCAAGGAAGGGATGATTTTACTAAGACAACACACTGTCTTAGGAAACAGAGCCAAAGGGTTGTAGCTTAGACTATTCCACAACGCAGCAATCAGGTGTGTGATGTAGTGAAGTGGTTCAGACAAGTTGCAACAAATGTTGAGTCTGGGAACTCAGGGGTAAGTCAGAGGTTAACACCTCACTGACTTTTCAGAAACAAGGTGTAACGCTGACTTCTAAACGATAGAAGACACAGAGGTTCTCTTGCGTAAAGGTTTACTTATCAGAGGAGGCAGGGGATCAGACACAAAGGCTTCAAGTAACACGTTACTAGTATATAACAAATACTGTATTGAGTTGAGCACGAAGCTCCTATCTAAGGAAATACTATCTACTTATATAGTGGCGTCGTGCCTCATGGGTAATCTGGATAGTTGGCGGATAGCTAGATATTCAGGATAGTTCGTGGATAGCTCAACTATCCAATATCCACTAGTTTCTGCAACTATCCATTAGCCCCGTCACATGGCAGCCTACCCCGCTTGCCCCCTGTGACTCACACGTCACGTTACTAGGCCCTGGTCCTGTAACCATGACGTCACGTTACCGTAGCCGTAACACAAGGAGTAACAAGATGAATGCTTGGAAGCCTGGAAAAGACGTGGAAGTATGTGATAGTCAATTTACTGTATTGCCTGCTTGCCCTTTCTTAAGGAAAGGGCAATCCTATTTATGCCAAAGGAGTGTAGTTCTCTCATTTTCCATGACTTTCCATGACTAACCAGGCTTGGTAAATGTATTAGAAATCAAGTGCGACCCACAACTAGCTTGCTAATCATGTAGTGAACGTAAGAGAATCCCATAGAACCATCTCTTGGGTTCCTAGCCTATAGGAAGTTAAAAGGAGGTCCAAGGTCAGAGTACCTATAGACAAATTATGTCATAACTTAACCAATCTTGTGGGTAACTAAGGAGCGATGACGTGTAATGAATCATAGAGGGTTGTAGAAGCTTCTAGAGCTATCGTTCATGTTCCTAGGCCTCTAGTTGGTAGAGATATGCCATGTGGTAGTATTGGCCCACCCCCTTAAGGAGGATATTTTCTTAATAACTTGTTCAATGAGTGTCCAAATGATATGCCGTGATGTATGTAGCATAAACAGATGTAGTAGAAGAGTTTGCAGCAATCGTTGAGTAGTATTGCTTCTGTTGTTGGTGTGATAAGCCAAGATATGTATGGTGACTTGTAGGTTTGAGGAGGAGATTTCTAAGTTTGCTCTTGAGTTTGATAGCAAACTGAGTGCAACGAATGTCAGTATGACAACTGACTTTTCAGAAACAAGGAGTAACAAGATCAATGCTTGGAAGCTTGGAAAAGACGTGGAAGTATGTGATAGTCGATTTACTGTATTGTCTGCTTGCCCTTTCTTAACGAAAGAGCAATCCTATTTATGCTAAAGGAGTGTAGTTCTCTCATTTTCCAAGACTTTCCATGACTTACCAGGCTTGGTAACTGTAGTCGACGTAAGAGAATCCCATAGAACCATCTCTTAGGTTCATAGCCTATTGTCATACTGACATTCGTTGCACTCAGTTTGCTATCAAACTCAAGAGCAAACTTGGAAATCTCCTCCTCAAACCTACAAGTCACTATACATATCTTGGCTTATCACACCAACAACAAGAGCAATACTACTCAACGATTGCTACAACCATCTATGATTCATTACACGTCATCGCTCCTTAGTTACTGGGCCGATATTACCACATAGCATATCTCTACAACCCTCTATGATTCATTACATGACATCACTCATACTACCACATGACATATCTCTACCAACTAGAGGCCTAGGAGCATGAACGATAGCTCTAAAAGCTCCTACGAACCTCTATGATTCATTACATGTCATCGCTCTTTAGTTACCCACAAGATTGGTTAAGTTATGACATAATTTGTCTATGACATAATTTGTCTATAGGGGTACTCTGACCTTGGACCTCCTTTTACTTCCTATAGGCTACGAACCTAAGAGATGGTTCTATGGGATTCTCTTACGTCGACTACAGTTACCAAGCCTGGTAAGTCATGGAAAGTCTTGGAAAATGAGAGAACTACACTCCTTTAGCATAAATAGGATTGCCCTTTCGTTAAGAAAGGGCAAGCAGACAATACAGTAAATCGACTATCACATACTTCCACGTCTTTTCCAAGCTTCCAAGCATTCATCTTGTTACTCCTTGTTTCTGAAAAGTCAGTGAGGTGTTAACCTCTGACTTACCCCTGAGTTCCCAGACTCAACATTTGTTGCAACTTGTCTGAACCACTTCACTACATCACACACCTGATTGCTGCGTTGTGGAATAGTCTAAGCTACGACCCTTTGGCTCTGTTTTCTAAGACAGTGTGTTGTCTTAGTAAATTCATCCCTTCCTTGGGTGGCTAGATTCTCACATCTGGTGCACCCACCATTACACCTATAGGAAGTAAAAGGAGGTCCAAGGTCAGAGTACCCCTATAGACAAATTATGTCATAGACAAATTATGTCATAAACAAATTATGTCATAACTTAACCAATCTTGTGGGTAACTAAAGAGCGATGACATGTAATGAATCATAGAGGTTCGTAGGAGCTTTTAGAGCTATCGTTCATGCTCCTAGGCCTCTAGTTGGTAGAGATATGTCATGTGGTAGTATGAGTGATGTCATGTAATGAATCATAGAGGGTTGTAGAGATATGCTATGTGGTAATATCGGCCCAGTAACTAAGGAGCGATGACGTGTAATGAATCATAGATGGTTGTAGCAATCGTTGAGTAGTATTGCTCTTGTTGTTGGTGTGATAAGCCAAGATATGTATAGTGACTTGTAGGTTTGAGGAGGAGATTTCCAAGTTTGCTCTTGAGTTTGATAGCAAACTGAGTGCAACGAATGTCAGTATGACACTTATCACAAGCCGCACATGAAGAACGACAAATGCGCTACCAACAAGGTGAAGAAAGAGATAGGGCTGACCGTCTTAACGAGACCTTATACGACATCCCAGATGACGATATCCTAGATAACGAAGATATAAGAGAAGATGGTAATAATGAGGAGCCTATACTTCCAACTATTCATGAAGATGAAGATAAGGATATGCCGTCCTCGCCACCAATGCCTATCCAACATGCTCAGAAGACACTTGATATCTTTCAAGCTACTCGTCAAGACCCCATAAATACTTTAGGTATTAGTAGGTCTGGCCGGCCTCATCAAGCAAGGTGGAGAGATGTTCTTAAGCATATATAATAGATAATAGCGTTCTGATAATCTTCTGATAATCGTGGTACTTAGATAGAGGAATATACATGATTCGTTCTCACAGCTTACTAGAGATGGCGAGAGTGATGCTGATAGATGTAATACTTTAACTTAACCATAAAACAGTATTAATTGTATGAGGGACTGTTCACATGATGCATAAATCTTACACGTGATAGCCGAGTACTCGCTGGGTTTTTACAGAGTGACCGAGTATTGACCTCACTAACCGAGTCGAGTAAAAGGTTCAGCTACTCACCCAGCTGAGTAACCCACTGAGCAAGTGAGCCGAGTATTGAGCGAGTAGTGCGCAGCCTAGTGAGGGCTCAGGATCAGATCCGGATACGATCCGCCGAACACTGAATGATGCCAGGAAAGGCCAGTAGCTCCGGCAGCACCCCCAAAAACTGGCCCTCTCACATCCCCTACCTCAAAACACCAGCCTATTCCCGCACCCTTAGCCCTATCCAACTGAAAGCCCTCCGCACACGCACGTCAACAGCTCAAGACACACCTCAAACGGCTCCAGGGCCATGTCCCCTCGTGCGCATTACACCAATAGCCAATCCGTCACATCCCGCAAATGGACAGAGCGGGTTGTTTGCTGCAAAAGATCTTCCCCCAGGCTCCTTCGTCCTGCCCTACGTTGGGGAAGTTCACGGCAAGGGAGCGGCGCACGAGGCGAGCGATTATGACCTGAGTCTTGATCGAGACACCGAACTGGCGGTAGATGCGGCACGATGTGGGAACGAAGCTAGGTTTGTGAATGACTACCGCGGGGTGCCGGGTGTAGTAAAGCCAAATGCGGAGTTTCGAGAAGGGTGGGGTGGGAAAGAGCGAGCGATGGGGGTTTGGGTATTGCCAGCTGGGAAGGCGGGCAAAGGGAAGGGGATTAAGAAGGGGGAAGAAATTTTGGTGAGCTATGGGAGAGGATTTTGGGGGGCGAGGAAGGAGGTAGATGAAGGAGATGGTGGAGGCGAGCAGGTGGCTGGACATTGACGCTGAGGACTGCTCGTGACTGAGCTATAATCCACCCAAACGATCGTGTCGCTGCTTGGTTTGAGCAAAGTGGGCGTTCAAGGAGCTAACCCCCCCCAACAAAGCTTTGATATCGAGTATTGCTGGGCAGACCGACTGGATGTTGCTGTTCCTAGAAACCCCCGTCGACGACGGTCTGCCATCACAATCAAGAAGTCCCACCAGATCGACTGATTCGGGGAAGAGTTGAGCAGGCTGCGCTAAGAAGCCGGGAGAACAGTTGCTCCAAAGCCAAAGGACTACGGTTATATGATGAGAATAGGGGAAGGCGAAAAGAACTGGGAGACTGGGGGATATTATTTGTCAACCGATACATGAAATTAATTCAATGCTTCTTACAAATCTGATGGAATATCGTGTGCGGCCGTGCTAATCTAATCCATGCCCTCCACGCTTCCTAGCCATTGCCCGCCACCCTTGAGTAATGCATTTACATCCACACCCGTCAAATACCTCTCACTGACACCGACATTAACCCTCTGTGACAACAGCGACGACAGTTCTGCCTTCGCTCTCCCCATCTCATCTTTTGTCATTCCCCTCGCTTCCTTCTCTTTCCTTGCGCGCCCTCCAACCTTCCCCTTTCTCTCAAAATCTTCACTATCATAGTCCACACCTAGCTCCTCCGCCGCTTTGCGAGCCCACTCATCTCCTCTTTCCCCCTTAGACTTTGCAATTCCTGCGTCCGCAATCTTCTTTGCGAGCACGACACGTGGTCGTAACAGGGCCGCGACGCGCCTGTCAATATCAAGTGTGCGGATTACACCAACCTTACCTGCCAGGCGGCGTAACGACTGCGCCTCCTCGGGTGCGCAAAGCATAATGCTCGTTCCCTGTGCTCCAGCACGCGCTGTACGACCAGAACGATGGACGTACATGTCCGCGGCACGGGGGAGATGGTAGTGGATGACCAATTCGACGGCCGGAAGATCGAGTCCGCGTGCGGCGACATCGGTGGCGACAAGTAGAGAGGAAAACCGCTCGATAGATCGAAGACGAGCTTTCTGGGGCATGTTGGAGTGTAAGGTGACAGGGAAGTAGTTGAGGTTGGCTAGGAGCGGGGTGAGGCGCTGGGCGGTGTGGATGGAGTTTGTGAAAATGATCGTTTTGAGGTTGGGGTGGTGAAGGAGGAGAGTATAGAGATATAGGTCCTAAAATGAATAATCAGTACGGTAAGGCTTTGGGGTAGATGTTGCGAGGTGGTGATGAGGCTTGAGGATTGATACATACCTTTTCGGTGGCACCGCATTCAATAACGCCCTCCTTGAGTCCCTCTGCCATCGCCGACGTCGCCACGTCGATGAACTTCGGCTCCCCCTTGAATTTGAGCTTCTTCATCAAGTACTCCATCCCGTCATCCCCAAGCCTACCCTTTCCTGATAGCTTTTGTTGCAGCCCCTTCGCCAGTGTGGCGGAAAAGACGAGGGTTTGCCTCGTGACAACATGCTCCTCTTCGTCGTCCGCGTCGTGGCGGTCCAACTTTGAGATGATCTCTTCGGCCTCTTTGAAATGTCCCTCCGTTAACAATCTATCCGCCTCATCGACAACGAGGAATTTCAACGTTTTAAGAGATTTTGAAAGCTCGATGCCTGAGCTCAAGACTTCCCACAACCGGCCGGGTGTGCCGATGATGATGTCAGCCCTTGCCAGCTGCCTCTGCTGCTTCTGAATCGCCAATCCTCCAGTGACTGTGGCTATGAATGGCGCATCGGACAACCCTTTGCAAAGCTTCGTAAGATGATCGGTCAACTGATGTGCCAGTTCCCTTGTTGGCGAAAGAATCAAAGCCGTTGCGCTTTTCTGAGTTTTCTTTTCTGTTGCCGTTTCATCCTCCCGGCCTTCATTATCCTGGAGCCATCTCTCGATAATTGGAATACCAAAGGCCAACGTCTTACCAGAACCCGTAGAGGCCTTCCCGATAACATCGTTCCCAGATAGTACCTCTGGAATAGCCTCCTGTTGGATCGGTGTTGGTGTCGTGAAACCAATCTTTGCTAGGGCCGAAAGCATCGCCGTAGAAAGGTTCAGCTCTGCCCATTCAGTCATATCTTCATCTTCGGCTTCGTCTTGAAGAGCTGCAAACACGTTGGGTGCTGATTGTTGTTTCTCTGGTAGCTTCTTGTCTTTCGATTTCGCCGCAGAATCCTTGGCTTTCGCTGCTAATTTTGCGGCCTTCTCTTTCTTGGTCTCCTTTTTGGATTTTGTAACATTGCTATCATCGGTTTTTGGGTTCTCCAGCTTGACTTGTTGTTTGCTGTCCGCCTTCGCTGATTTCGGCGTATTCGCATCGGCCTTTGCTCCCTTAGCTTTGGCCTTTGCATCCTTTGGCTTTGTCTTTACCGCATCATCCGCAGTCGCATTCGCTACATCATCACCAAACCCTTCGAACTCGTCGTCGTCAATTGGGGTTTTTGTAACCTAAAATGTTAGCTTAACTATATAACGGCTTGGGTAATCTTCAAAGGCTCACAAATTTGACTTGATTTCCGTCTCTGATAACCTCAACATTGTCCACCTCATCTAGCCCAAAGAAACCTTCGGCATCCTCGAACATATCGGGCATTTCGACTTCGTTCCATGGCAAAGCATCCAATGCGACAGGTACCTTCCTCACATCTGAACCAGCTCCTGCGGGCGCATAGGAGCTTGAAGTCTCAACCTTTTGCCGCTTCTTCGACCTCTGACTTATAGTCGGCACAGGCCTGTCTCTCTTTGGCTTTTGGGCAGCCATATTTAGAGAGTTGTAGTACGATAATATCGCTGGCGGTCAATGTCCCTCAAGGTAAAGATAATTTTTGGCGGCGATAAGCATTTTCGGGAGGTTTTCACAAATCGCGGGGATATAATTCGCCGAGTATCTCAGCCTCGCAAGATTCTGACAAGGCTCTCTCACCCCACGTACGAGGAGCCACCAACCACTCCAGACACAATATTTCTCAACCATGGGAAAATCTTCTAAAGACAAACGCGACGCCTATTACCGGCTAGCGAAGGAGCAAGGCTGGAGAGCAAGGAGTGCATTTAAGCTCCTCCAACTGGACGAAGGTATACCATTCCGCACACACAAATTGAGCGTCATCTAACAAGGTATCTAGAATTCGACCTATTCCAAGATGTCACCCGAGTTGTCGACTTGTGCGCTGCTCCTGGAAGTTGGAGTCAAGTATTGTCTCGAGTGTTAATTAAAGGAGAGAAGTTTGGGCGGTCAGCATGGGAGGATAAACAAGAAACGGCTCGTCAGGCGTTCCTACAACAATCAAAATCCGAGTCGATTCCGCTCGATTCAAGTACGGACTCAGCGAAGGCAGCGGTGCAGGAGCCAACAGAGCCAACGAAAGAAGATTCGGCCCCGCAGCCGCCTAAAGATATCAAAATTGTCGCAATCGACCTCCAACCCATGGCCGCCCTCCAAGGCATTATTACCCTACGTGCTGACATCACTCACCCGGCCACGGTCCCGCTCCTACTCGAAAATCTTGGATCTGCTAAGGCCGACCTTGTACTGAGCGATGGAGCGCCGGATGTTACAGGTCTCCACGATCTTGACATATACGTCCAATCGCAACTCCTTTTTGCAGCATTGAATCTTGCTCTTTGCGTTCTTCGCCCGGGAGGTAAATTCGTGGCCAAGATCTTTAGAGGAAGGGATGTGGATTTGCTGTACGCACAACTAAAACTCTTCTTTGAGACAGTCGTTGTTGCAAAGCCAAGGTCAAGCAGAGCAAGCAGTGTTGAGGCCTTTGTTGTGTGTTTAAACTTTCAACCCCCGGAAGGATATCATGCGAGCTTATCGGAACCGCTGAATGTTGAACAACTTGAAACAATGGTTAATGCGAAGAGTGGAACAAAGGAAACTCTTATAAACTCTAAAAGTTCCACTGAAACACGGGCTGATGGTGTCGTCGAAGTTGAGACCAACAGCGACCCTGATAGATGGATAGCACCCTTCCTGGCATGTGGGGATCTATCGTCCTTCGACGCCGATGCAACATACCATCTACCAAAAGATCGAGTAACGCTCGACCCAGTTCAGCCACCGACAGCACCACCTTATAAACGAGCGTTAGAGATGAGAAAGGAAGCTGGTGGAGCATATGGGAAAACTACTTGAAAGATATAATACAAAAACAACATTCAAACCGGCATCGCAGAGCCCCTTCCCTGCTTGTTTAAGATTGCAAAACCATTCTCGCCCTGCTTGAATTGAGAGCGTAAAACGCCTCTCCCTCTTTCAGGTTTGCCATCAGCATCACTCGTCTCAGATGTGGCCAAGATGCAAACTCCTCGTTAACATATTCCACCAGCCATGATCCTAGGCCCTTCCCCTGATGTTCTTCAAGAACATATACGTCTATCAGGTATGCAAATGTGACCTCGTCTGTAAACGAGCAAAACCAATCTGAGGAGGATTGCTGCGACCTGACGATCAGCCCGTGTTATATTACTACAGTTTAAAGAACTTACCAGCCAGTTCGAGATGATTCCGGTAGCGCATAAACCCCGAAACAAAGAGACTTGCTTAACATCTTCTTCAAATATTCAGGCTCCATGCCCCTGGCCCAATATATAGCATCAGATTCGAACGCTGCATTGACAGCCTCAGGTTGGATAAGCTCCGGCGAGGTGGAAATCATATAGTTCTCATGGTACCAGGTTCCTTTCGCCATGGTTCTTTTCTTTGTAATATATTGATATTCTGCAAACTTTGCTTATTTTATTCTTTCTTTAGAAATTAATGATTTACTTTCTGCCACTTCCCGTCGAACCGTCGCACCACGTTTAAGTCGGAGTCATTCTCACCGCCAGGCTCTACCCCACCAACCCCTCTGTATTCTGCCACACTTCACCGCTCGACCCGCGCTATATTATCCACCACCACAATTTTTTTTCTACTGAAATAAACAATCCCCCCCACCTTCGACTTTATTTCTTGTTCTCAGTTTGGTCTGATCTATTTTGGAGGGTTTTAGACCAAAGAAAGATCAAGATGGATCAAGGACGATTTGTTGAGTTGCTGCAAAGCATTCAGATTCGTAAGTTTCCGTCTTTCTGCAATTACCCCTCTATCGCGATGAGTTGTCGATGTGGCAGGCGTTGTTTATACACGTTGTCGTCGCCCCGTCCACTCCCGTCCACACCCGTTAACTTTTTCATCCTGTTAACTTTTTCATCCTGTTAACTTTTTCACCCCTCTCTTCAACGACCTTTTTATATTTGTTCCTCACTAACACATTCAGCCGATACCGAGAAGGTTAAGGCAGCTACCACCGAACTGCGCCAAACCTACTACCCCCACTCTGAGTCTCTACTATGGCTCTTACAAATTCTCGCTTCTCACGACGTCCAAGCGATCCGCCAACAAGCAGCTGTTGAAGCCATACGCCTTGTCCCCAAGCACTGGGCCTCGCTTGACGGCCCCAAGCCAGCGATCCGCGAGTCACTGCTCAAGGCCGCCCTGAACGAGCAATCATCTCTCGTGCGCCATTCCACCGCTCGAGTAATCTCCGCTATTGCTGGGATCGACCTCGAAGATGGCGAATGGGCGGACCTCCCGGGCTTCCTCATGGAGGCCGCCAAGCAGCCACAAGTAGGACACCGTGAGGTTGGAGTGTACATTCTCTTCACCCTTCTTGAGGTTGTTGGCGATGGATTCATCGACAAGCTACCTATCCTCTTCCAACTCTTTTCCACAACCATCCGCGACCCAGAATCCCCCGAGGTCCGCATCAACACCATGCTTGCCCTCAGCCGCATTGCGATGCTCATCGATCCTGAGGAAGACCGCAAATCTCTAAAGTCTTTCCAGGATACTGTCCCATCAATGGTTGCTGTTCTCAGGTCAACCATTGACGACAACGACGAGGATCGCGCCATGCAAGCCTTTGAGGTGTTCCAGACTCTCCTAGGTTGCGAGTCGGCCCTCTTGGCCAACCACTTCAAGGACCTTGTCCAATTTATGATTGAACTCTCCGTCGAGAAGAGCATCACCGACGAGACTCGCTCGCAAGCCCTCTCGTACCTCATGCAGTGTGTCAAGTACCGCCGCATGAAGATTCAGGGCATCCAAGGGATGGGAGAACAATTGACCCTCAAGGCTATGCAAATTGCAGCTGAGATGGAAGATGATGACGATGACGAGGATGAGATCACCCCTGCTCGCTCGGCACTGTCCCTCCTCGATATCCTTGCAAGCAGTCTCCCACCCCGCCAGGTGATCGTCCCATTGCTCACTTCCCTCCCGCAATACGCCTCGAGCGAAGACCCAGCCCTCCGCAAGGCTGGTATCCTCTCCCTCGGTATGGTTGTGGAGGGCGCACCCGACTTCGTTGCCACCCAGCTTGAGCAAATCATGCCACTCGTCCTCCAGCTGCTCAATGACTCGGATATTAACGTCCGCCAAGCTGCCCTTCACGGTGTCTCCCGCCTTGCGGAAGACCTTGCGCATGACATGAGCCAGTCGCACGCGACTCTCGTCCCCGCCCTCCTCAAGAACCTCGATGCCGCTGCCAGCCAGACTGATAAGATCAGCACCGGAATAATCATCGGATCCTGCCTTGCCCTCGACTCGCTCATAGACGGCATGGAGGCTGAGGTATCTTCTCTGTACATTTCGGAGCTTGTCCCACGTATTGGCCGCCTGTTCGAGCACCCAGATTTCAAGGTCAAGGGTGCATCCGCAGGTGCCATGGGATCCATTGCCTCATCTGCAGAGGAGGCATTCCAGCCTTTCTTTGAGCAAACCATGAAGGCTCTGTCCCAGTACGTTACCATGAAGGACAGCGAGGAGGAGCTCGATCTTCGCGGTACCGTCTGCGATGCTATGGGTAGCATGGCAACTGCTGTTGGTAGTGTGGCTTTCCAGCCATACGTCCAGCCATTGATGGCTGCCTCGGAGGAGGCTCTCCACCTTGGACACCCACGCCTTCGTGAGACCTCCTACATTCTCTGGAGCACTATGTCGAAGCTTTACGAGAAGGAGTTTGCTCCGTTCTTGGACGGTGTTGTCAAGGGCCTTCTGGAGTGCCTTGGGCAAGAGGAGTCTGACCTCGATGTTGAGCTTGGCGAAGAAGCCTCTGACCTCCTCGGTACCGAGGTTGTCGTTGCGGGTAAGAAGATCAAGGTCGTTCAACCCTCAACTGATGAGGATTCAATGGATGATGATGAGGACGATGATGATGACTGGGATGATCTCACCGCGGTGACTGCCGTTGCCCTTGAGAAGGAAATCGCCGTCGAAGTCATTGGCGATATCCTTTCCCACACCAAGGATCTATACATTCCTCACTTGGAGAAGACTGTCGAGGCCGTCATGACCTTGGTTGACCACTCTTATGAGGGCTGCCGTAAGGCCGCCATCGGCACCTTGTGGCGCGCATATGCCTGCCTCTGGGCTTTGATGGAGGACCACACTGGCAAGAAATGGACTCCTGGTATTCCATTGAAGGAGCACCCAAGCCAAGAGCTTATCAAGCTTGGTGAGGTTGTTTCTACTGCCACAATGACTGTTTGGGGCGATGAAGTTGACCGGTACGTTCTTTCCTTTTATGATTTTGACTCCTACATGGATATGACGAACCACCATTACGTTAACCCAGCTCACTCAGATGCACAAGTTGCACTTGCTGAGAACACGTATCAACATTCCGATCCATTTCTATTCATTCAATTTGTTATAAATAATTTTGAAAGAATCATGCTGACAAGCACAGTGCCGTTGTCACCGACATCAACCGCAACGTTGCCGCCACCCTCAAGCTTTGCGGCCCAGCTATCCTCACCCAGGGTAACATGCTCGAGCAAGTGACCACCATCCTTGCCGCGCTTGTCACTCGCCAGCACCCTTGCCAGATGGACATGGGCGATGACGAGGACCAAGAAGACGTCGGCGAGACCTCCGAGTACGACTGGCTCGCGGTTGACACCGCGCTAGACGTCGTGATCGGCCTCTCCGCCGCCCTCGGCAGCCAATTCGGCGAGCTCTGGAAGGTGTTCGAGAAGCCCGTCATGAAGCTCGCTTCCTCCCAAGAGGCCTTCGAGCGCTCCACCTCCATTGGCGTCGTTGCCGAGTGCACCGCCCACATGGGTGCCGCCGTCACCCCCTCCACCGCCACTCTCCTCAAGCTCCTCCTCCACCGCCTCACAGATGAGGACCCTGAGTCGCGCTCCAATGCCGCCTACGCCACCGGTCTGCTCATCCAGCACTCCGAGGACGTCAACACCTACGGCCCCGCCTACCCGGAGATCCTGCACAAGCTCGAGCCCCTCCTGCAGACTGAGCGTGCCCGCACCCTTGACAACGCCGCTGGCTGCGTCTGCCGCATGATCACTGCTCACCCGGATAAGGTGCCCATCGGTGATGTGCTGCCCGTTCTTGTGGGTCTTCTACCACTAAAGGAGGACTACGAGGAGAACGTGCCTATCTACCAGTGTATCGTTGGCCTGTACCAGGCTGGCAACTCGACCGTGCAGGAGCTGACCCCACAATTCGTGCCAGTGTTCGCGGCGGTGTTGGGAGAGCCAAAGGAGCAGCTCGAGGAGGAGACGAGGGCGAAGCTTGTTGAGACTGTGAAGTATATCGCGAAGCAGCAGCCGGCGCTGATCCAGGGACACGCGGTGTTGGCGGCCCTGTGAGTTATGATACCATGATGTGATGAGAGACTGTCCCCCGAGTTAGGTAGTGGATGTGAAAGTAGATAGATGAAAATGTGGGAGTTAGCCCGTAATCGACGAGAAATTTGATCATGTTATTGATTTCATGACTACTATATTCTCCTAGTGTAATTACAAGTGGACGGCTATATGATTGAAGTAAAGTGCAACTATTCGAAGATGAGACTGTGCCAAATGCTTACAGACTAGCTATATCACAGGTATATCAGTCACATATTAGGGATACCATTATCTATGGATCACGTCCAGGTTCCATTCCAGGAAGTGCCAAATGCATGTGGTATACAAGAGCTATACAATTTAATATGGGTAAATGGCCAGAGGGATCGCTACTTAAGGTCAAACTCGTCCGTTGAGGTGCATCCCCACTGTCGCGCCCTGCCGCCGCCGAGCGTTTACTGTCACCGCGCTACTCTTGTAACCGCCATGTTACCGTCGCGTTATGCTTTGCTTGACAGGAGTAGGTGCATTACTACACCGTTAAGCCGCGCTTAGCTTGCCCAGGTCAAGTCTATGGAGAGAGTGCCTTGGTATATCATACGCCTCTACCCATGGCCATACGAGCAGTCCTCCTTTGCCCCCAATCGCATTCATCAAACGACTGTAGGAAAGCCGATGACAGATGTTGTAGATTTCAACTGGTACTGTTTCGTCTCGGCCTTCCATATGCGTTTGGCCCAAATTATTTGGGTCGGGGTGTGGGCGGAGTAGCTCAGTTGCTACACGGAGGACACAAGCCTCATCGAGGGGCTGTAACATAAGTCTCCCCCATATAAAAAACTGCTGCAGATTGGTGTCATTTAGAGAGGTTTCACTTGCAATAGCTGCATTGATGAGTATCTCCTGTAGTTGTGCCGTGCTGTATCCAGCTGTTACATGGCTTGGAGACAACTCTTGTATATCCCCTCGATAGAACCCTGCTTTCGCATTTCAGCGCGCTGATGACCCCAGACCTCATCATGGGGGAGCAAAGATGCGATAACCAGCGCGATGTTCACTCATATCCCAAACCTGGGGCCGATGGATATATAAACTGTTCAAACCGGCCATCTAGTACAGATCCGCACCAACAGCAAGCGATACTAATTGATACCTATGTGGGATCGTTCGTACCGAGGCCAAAGCTAAAAGCCAGATGGAGTTATGTCTTTGAGCTGGAGGTAGGTTGTGATTAAATTTCTCGCTGCCATCTGCATTCTCACCGCCGCGCTTCTGCTGCTGGCTCTTGTCTTACCGCTGTTGATTCTTCTTGTTGCCGTTGGCTCTGTCACTACTACGCAAAATTAGTTGGAACCTGGTGGCACCCGCCAATATTTGCATGGCTATTACATACGCCCACGATGATGATAGTCTTGCTCGTCTGATGTTCCTTTCGAGCTGAGGTCGCAAGACGAACACCAATAAGTAGACTACTCGAGCTGTCATCGTTCACAAGCTGTCCACAAGCTGTCGTCGTCAACACGCTTCGCTGCTCTACTGCTCACGAGTGCGTGCTTGAACACTATATCCCCAACAAGCATACATAGCACGAGCTCCCCACTCGAGTCGTAGGCCAGTATTTTCGCATTCTCACACCGTGGCCAGCGATTCTCGTTCTCGTAGCATATTGCTTTCTTATATTTCCCGTCTCGACCTCAACGTCCCAGGGTGGCACGGACGAGAAGATGACAAGCGGGCAGCAATAGATGGACAATGTGGGTCCGCCGCCGCCTTATCCTTATCGCAGCTATCGCGCTTACGTTATTACCCCGGCTACCCCACTATCCATGCATGACGGTACTGGGGTGGTACTGGCGTCTACTGGTGTCAATATGCCGCTTGGGATGTAGCATGGAAGTCTACGGTGATGATGATGTTTGGTGAGTCATCACGTGCTCCCCTCTTCCGGGCTTTAAACACGGCTTCTAGCACCCGCATCATCCAATAAACATCCACCCATCATGGATGATACACACTTTCCATGAACCGACCACACCTCACCATAGCCTGAGCCATTTATCGGAGAAACAAAGGAATAGCTTTGTTACGATTTAAACTGCGCCTGAGATCTTTTATCAAGCTACTCTTACGACAATAGAGCCAGTCTGGAACCGCAAATCGGGTCGCTAGGCATCGTAATCAGTCCACGTTCGACAAGAGACGGCTGGAGCAGCGAAGTTGCCGTGGAGCAGTGCCGATTGTTGCTGAGCACAGAAGGGTTGCACGTTGCCGGTTAGAACGGGAGCCTCCGGTATGTCTCGGATACTGAGTGGGAGGTTGGGGACATGGTAAACATCTACGGGCTTCTGGCAGCGAGGTGCTTACATATCCCACAAGCTCTTACTTCCCCAATCCTCAGTCGCTCAATGCCCTCACTGACTCATCACACCACATCCCATACCATCCCCTCTCCCACATCCCAAGGCTGACGCCTCCAACCTCCCAGCTACCACCGCCAGCACCACCACCAAACTCCACTCCTCCCCACCCCCCCAACAATGTCCTCCTCCATAAAACAAGCCGCCGAATCGGCCCGCGCCAAATCCGAAGCCCTCGAGTCCAGCAAACGCGCCGCCGAAAAAGCCATGTCCGACCCTATCGGCGCTAAAAACTCCCTCTTCCAAGCCCCCGGCATGCGTGCCGCCCTCCCATTCCTCAACGGCGGCCTCGCCGGCATGGTCGCTACTACCGCCATCCAGCCCATCGACATGGTAAAGGTGCGTCTCCAGCTCGCCGGCGAGGGGGCACGCACGGGGCCGAAACCGAGCCCGGTGAAGATAGCTAGGGATATCATCGCCGCGGGGAAGGTGAAAGATTTGTATACGGGACTCAGTGCCGGGTTGCTCAGACAGGCTGTGTATACCACTGCGCGCATGGGATTCTTTGATACGTTCATGAAGTCCTTCTCAAAGAGCACCGAGGCTGCGGGCAAGAAAGTCGGGTTCGCAGAGCGTGCGGCTGCTGGTCTCTCAGCTGGTGGATTAGCAGCTATGATCGGCAACCCCGCCGACCTAGCGCTCATCCGCATGCAATCCGACGGGCTCAAACCCCTCGCCGAGCGTAAAAACTACAAATCTGTCATCGACGCACTCGCATCCATCGTGCGCGCCGAGGGCGTGGCGCGGCTATGGGCCGGCGCGGCACCGACGGTTGTCCGCGCCATGGCGCTGAATTTCGGCCAGCTCGCGTTTTTCAGCGAGGCGAAGGCGAGGCTTAAGGGCACTTCGCTGCCGCCGACGACGCAGGTGCTGATGGCGAGTGCAGTGGCGGGGTTCTTTGCGAGCGCGATGTCGTTGCCGTTTGATTTTGTGAAGACGAGGTTGCAGAAGCAGGTTAGGAGCGCGGATGGGAAGATGCAGTATAAGAGTATGATTGACTGCTTTAGGACGGTGGCGAGGGAGGAGGGGGTGTTGAGGTTTTATCGGGGGTTTGCGACGTACTATGTGAGGATTGCGCCGCATGCGTAGGTTTTCCCCGCGTCCTTTTTTTGGTGGTCCTCGCTCCGGACTGTCGTATTGTTGAGGTCGGATGCTCATTGATGGTGTAGGATGATCACGCTTCTGGTCGCGGACTACCTTGGCTTCCTCACAAAGTAAAGGTGTGGCGATTGGCGACGGATAGGGGTGGTTTGAAGGCGGTGTGGATGGAATATGGCTGGGCCGCTCAACAGGGCAATGGGTGATGGATGGTCATCGAAACTTTTCCGCATACCCCCGCAATATTTTGAGAGAAAAAGATGGGAGACGGGAGACGGGAGACGGGAGACGGGAGACGGGAGACGGGAGAGTGGTGGAATGTTTTTTTCGTCTGGTCTGATTGAAATGCGATTCGTTCAATTCATTGCTTTGCTTGCTTCCTTCCCTTGCTTCCTCGCTTCCATATGTGCATGAAGAGTTGCATGTGTTTGTTTTGTGACCAAAGGAGATATGCGGAAGGGATTGATAAAGGCAGAGATACGGACAGAGAGAATTGAGCACATACTTACTACCGACAGACCTACCTGCATCGCGAACACGACACGGTTATTTTGCATTGTTTGGACACGTTGGGTGCATTTGAAGTGCCTCAATACAGCACCACCGGCAGCAAGAGTAGATGCAGACTTGCAGGCGAGCCGAGGTGTATAGAGCTCGCTTCCCACGCGATCAATCGATGGATCATATTTGCAGTTTTTCCTCTCTGCATCCTCTCTCGTTACATTTCCGCCAAATCCCATACAGCGACATTTTTCTCAACCAACTGGGCTATACCAATATATGTGGTCGCTAACACCCCATCACCCCCCACGAATTCGCGTAATTTAATGGCGGGTACTGTAGGGTGTGGGGGTGGGAGGAGGCGAACATGTGATTCTTTTGCCAATCAGGTTGGGGATTTTTATGGGAGAGGATTGTGAGTGATATATTATGGCGGGGGATGAGGGTGTGTATATCGTGAATATGGGAAATAACCCCCCCTAAACGCATCGGCGCTTCCGGTTTGGGAAAGCCAACGCTTCGAACATCCGGCCTCAGATGGCATAGAGTGGGGTGGGCGGCGTGGCGGCTGGGCTTGTGTCTTGGATCTTTGTTTCGCCGTCCCACGTGTGATTGTACTGTGTGTGCTGGAGGGGCTGAGTGAGGGATTGGTAAAATTAACGTACGTAAACCCTTTGCTTTATTTTTTAAATAGGATCTGTTATTTAGGATCTGTTATTTTCCTACTCCGTATCGTGTACGCTATAGATGGCCTTTTGCGATTCGAGGCAAGTCGGAGGTTTCCGTAACCACCGACGCTGACAGGCAGCAGCCCTCCAGCATGCATAAAAAGTCGATCATGGGAGTGGTACCTGTGGAGAAGTGGAGAAGTAGGCGGATAGACAAGTACCCTCCCACCGTACACAGCGTCTTTTCGAGTACGAGTGCGAGAGAGTTATGCAACCACCCAACCCACAGTAAAAGACAGTAAAAGAGTACAAGAGAGTAAGTTCGGAAGCCGACACTCCCGATGACGCGCTTGTCTCAAACCAGCATAGCCGGGTCGCGCCGTATGGTTCGTCGGTTTCTGTTTTGCTCATCTGTAACCGAAGCTGATCGTGGGATACGCTAGTCCTGCTTCCGGGTTAGCGGGTTTGTGATTGGAGGGGAGAGGAGGATGCGGGGAGGGTCAGGAGGGTCAGGCATGCATCCCAACTGAGAAACCCAATTCTCATCGCCGCCCTCTCTTCTTTTTTTATGTCAGACCCTCATCCTCCATCCCCAACTCCATGGATCACGATCCTCTTGGAGGGCCCTGTAATCTCTCCGTGCCTACCATTCCGTCTGCTTCTGGCTAGATTCTGCTCTTCTGCACCCTCTTCCGGCGCCTAAAGTAAACAGGGCCACGTCTGCTCTGCTCCGTAGCCGTAGCCGTGTGTCGGTGTACCTTCATAAAGGTACTCTACTCTCTCCGCGAACCTTTCACAAGCACCGCCCTCATCACCGCCGGCTTGGCTTCCTCCTCCAATATTTCTCCTTCTCCTTCTCCTTCAGCTCGCCGACCCCCGTCCCACGAGTGGGACGGGGGTCGCCCCTTCTTCCCCCCCCCTCTTCTTCTTCCTTCTTCATTCACTACATCTTCTTCCTAATCCCCCGCCCTTTTAACCTTTCTCTTCTTTCACACGGATTCCGCACTGCATGGGTCTCACCGCGCTGCTACGACTCTGATCTCCGGATCCACCACTCTCCTTGCCTTCATCTCATAAGAGCGAGACGAAACCACCACCACCGGCCATGGCGACTGTGCCAGTCCCTGGCGCCTTCGGCGTGCTCTCCGAGGCACAGGACGTCGCCGCCAACGCCATTGGGCACCACACTGAACCCGAACGTCCAGTGACCGAGGACACCTTCCACGATGAGACGGACACCAGCTCCTCCGAGAACAGCGAGAAGCACATCACCGAGCTCGCGCGCACCTTCACCCAGGCCTCCATCCGCAACGAGCAGGACGAACATGACAACCCCTTCGCCTCCACCGACCCCACCCTCGACCCCCACAACGAGAAGTTCAACGCGCAAGCCTGGACCAAGACCCTCGTCGCCATCACCAGCCGTGACCCAGAGCGCTACCCCACGCGCACTGCGGGCATAGCATACAAGAACCTGAACGTCCACGGTTTCGGCAACCCCATGGACTACCAAAAGACCTTTGGTAACTACCCGCTCGAGATTGGAGGATTGTTCAACAAGCTCCGCGGCAGGGGCCAGCGCAAGATTCAGATCCTGCGCGACTTTGAAGGTCTCGTCCGCAGCGGCGAGATGCTGGTCGTGCTCGGACGCCCTGGAAGTGGGTGCTCGACGCTGCTCAAGACCATCTCGGGTGAGACGAACGGCTTCTTCATCGACCAGAACTCCACCATCAACTACCAGGGTATCGCTGCCCAGCAGATGCACAACGACTTCCGCGGCGAGTGTATCTACCAGGCCGAGGTCGACGTGCATTTCCCGCAGTTGACCGTTGGGCAGACGCTCAAGTTCGCAGCTCTGGCTAGGGCCCCTAATAACCGCATTCCGGGCGTGTCGCGCGAGCAGTATGCCGAGCACATGCGTGATGTGGTCATGGCCATGTTTGGCCTTTCCCATACTATTAATACTAATGTCGGGAACGACTACATCCGTGGTGTTTCCGGTGGTGAGAGGAAGCGTGTTTCCATCGCCGAGTGCTGTGTGGGTCAATCACCTCTGCAGTGCTGGGATAACAGCACCCGTGGTTTGGATTCCGCAACTGCTCTCGAGTTCGTCAAGACTCTGAGACTGTCGACGAACATCAGTGGCGCCACTGCCATTGTTGCCATCTACCAGGCGTCCCAGTCCATCTACGATGTCTTCGACAAGGTCGCCGTGCTCTACGAGGGTCGCCAGATCTACTTCGGACACAAGTACAAGGCCAAGGAGTTCTTCGTGAACCTTGGTTTCGACTGCCCCGAGCGCCAGACCACCGCCGATTTCCTCACCTCCCTCACCAGCCCGCTCGAGCGCATTGTCCGCCCTGGCTTCGAGCACAGCACCCCCAAGACCCCCGACGAGTTCGCCGGGGCCTGGCACAGGAGCGCAGACCGCGCTGAGCTGCTCCGCGAGATCGAGGAGTTCGAAGCCGAGTACCCCATCGGTGGCGCCCACCTCGAGAAGTTCAAGAAGGGCCGTCGCGCCCAGCAGGCACGTGGTCAGCGCATCAAGTCGCCTTACACCATCTCGGTTCCCATGCAGATCAAGCTTTGCGTTACGCGTGGCTTCCAGCGCTTGAGGGGTGACATGTCTCTCCTGTTCGCAGGTATCTTCGGTAACACGGTTATGGCTCTGGTCATTGCTTCGGTCTTCTTCAACCTCCAGAATAACACAGAGACGCTCTTCAGCAAGGGCGCTCTCCTCTTCTTCGCTATCTTGATCAACGCCTTCAGTTCTGCTCTCGAAATTCTTACTCTCTTCGCACAGCGTCCGATTGTCGAGAAGCACACGAAATATGCCTTTTATCATCCGTTCGCTGAAGCCATCGCGTCTATGATTTGCGATATGCCTAATAAGATTGGCTCGTCCATCTTCTTCAATATCACGCTCTACTTCATAACGAACCTGAAGCGCACCCCAGGTGCCTTCTTCACTTTCATCCTCTTCGGTTTCTCCTGTGTCATGGCCATGTCTATGTTCTTCCGTTCCATCGGATCCATGGCTCGCAGTCTACCTGAGGCTCTTGGTCCTGCCGCTGTCATCATTTTGGCTCTTATTATCTACACCGGTTTCACCATTCCCACCGTTGACATGCACCCGTGGTTCCGCTGGATCAACTACATCGATCCCGTCGCCTACGCGTTCGAGTCGCTCATGGTGAACGAGTTCTCCGGCCGCAAGATTCCGTGCACGCGGTTCGTACCCCGCGGCGGCGACTACGACCTTCTCACACTCGCCAACAAGGTCTGCGTCACCACCGGCGCTGAGGCAGGATCCGACGTGCTCGACGGCGATGTCTGGCTCCGCGTCAACTACGGATACGAGCGCAGCCACAAGTGGCGCAACCTTGGTATCCTCTGGGCTCTCGTCGTCTTCGGCTGCGGCGTTCACCTCCTTACTACTGAGTGGATTTCCGCCAAGAAGTCCAAGGGTGAGGTTCTCCTGTTCCCCCGTGGCAAGGTCCCCGAGCTTGCATCCGCTGCGGACGATGAGGAAGGTGCCCAGGATGACCGTATCGATGCCAACACCCTTGAGGCTACCGCCACGCACGCCGCTGCCGGAGAGGCCCCACCTAGCATCCAGAGACAAACTGCCGTTTTCCACTGGCAGGGCGTCAACTATGATATCAAGATTAAGAAGGAACCGCGCCGCCTCCTCGACGACGTCGACGGATGGGTCAAGCCAGGTACTCTTACGGCACTCATGGGTGTCTCGGGTGCTGGTAAGACCACTCTTCTCGATGTCCTCGCCTCCCGTGTTACGATGGGTGTCGTGACGGGTCAAATGCTCGTCGACGGCCGCCAGCGTGACAGCGGATTCCAGCGCAAGACCGGTTACGTCCAGCAGCAGGATCTGCATCTCGCCACCTCCACTGTCCGCGAGGCGTTGACTTTCAGCGCCCTGCTTCGCCAGCCCAAGGCTACCCCTAGGGCCGAGAAGATCGCCTATGTCGATGAGGTTATCAAGGTTCTCGAGATGGAGACGTACGCCGAGGCTGTTGTTGGTGTGCCCGGTGAGGGTCTCAACGTCGAGCAGCGCAAGCGTCTCACCATCGGTGTTGAGCTCGCTGCTAAGCCTGCCCTTCTTCTGTTCCTTGACGAGCCTACTTCTGGTCTCGATTCTCAAACCGCCTGGTCTATTATCGCTCTTCTCCGCAAGCTTGCCAACAACGGCCAAGCTATTCTATGCACCATCCATCAGCCATCTGCTATTCTGTTCCAGGAATTCGATCGTCTCCTCTTCCTCGCCAAGGGTGGAAGGACCGTCTACTTTGGAGATGTTGGCCAGAACTCGTCTATCCTTACTGACTACTTTGTACGCAACGGCGCACGCCCCTGTGGTGTCGAGGAGAACCCCGCTGAGTGGATGTTGGAAGTCATTGGCGCAGCCCCTGGGTCCACGACCACCGTCGATTGGCCAGTAGCATGGAACGAATCCGACGAGAAGGCTGAGGTGCGTGCGCAGCTCGCCGACATGCGCCGCGAGCTCATCGAGAAGGACGTTGAGACCGACCCAACCAGCCTGAATGAGTACGCGGCCCCAATGGGGCAGCAGCTCGGAACAGTCACACAGAGAGTGTTCCAGCAGTTCTGGCGCACACCATCGTACCTGTACTCCAAGACCTTCTTGTGCGTATCGACTGGTCTCTTTATCGGATTCTCTTTCTGGGATTCTCCGACGTCGATGCAGGGTATTCAGAACCAGTTGTTCTCCATCTTCATGCTTTTGACCATCTTCGGAAACTTGGTGCAGCAGATGATGCCGCATTTCGTAAGACTTCCCCTCACTTCGCTGGATTTGTTGTAACTCATAGCTAACCTTCTCCTCACAGGTCACCCAGCGGTCTCTCTACGAAGTCCGTGAACGCCCATCCAAGACATACTCCTGGAAGGTCTTCATCGTGTCCAACATCATCGTCGAGCTCCCATGGAACAGTCTGATGTCCGTCCTCCTCTTCGCCACCTACTACTACCCCATCGGCATGTACCGCAACGCGCAGGCCGCAGGCCAGTTCAACGAGCGCGGCGGCCTCATGTTCCTCTACATCTGGTCCTTCCTCATGTTCACCTCGACCTTCAGCACCATGATCATCGCCGGTATGGAGACCGCCGAGGCCGGCAGCAACATCGCCAATCTCCTCTTCTCCCTCTGTCTCATCTTCTGCGGTGTTCTCGCCAGCCCAGACGTCATGCCCCGCTTCTGGATCTTCATGTACCATCTCTCGCCCTTCCGCTACCTCGTCGACGGCATGCTGTCAGTCGGAAACGCAAACGTCAAGGTCACCTGCCAGGCTCGCGAGATCCTGCACCTCACCCCAGAAGCCGGCAAGACCTGCAAGGAATTCATGGAGACCTTCATCGGCTTCGCCGGCGGCTACCTAGTCAACGGGTCCTCCACCACCGACTGCCAATACTGCTCCGTCGGCGAGTCCAACGACCTCCTCAAGGTCTTCAGCTCCTCGTACGCGCACCGCTGGCGCAACTTCGGTATCCTCCAGGGATACGTCATCTTCAATGCCGCCATGGCCGTCTTCATCTACTGGCTCGCCAGAGTGCCAAAGAACAGCGGGAAGGAGGAGCCCCCGACTGAGGAGGAGCTCGCGCTGCAGAAGAGCAGGACCAGGAATAGTACTACTGCTGATGGCGGCCTCGAGAAGACCGCCACGCGCGATAGTGCTAGTGGGAAGAGGGGGACGTGGGGAAGTCGTGGGGAGAATAAGCTTGCGATTACGGCATGAGATCGTAGCCGAGAAGCAGTGAAGGGGGGTGGTTGTGAAGGGGGCGTGACGCAAGGGGGAGTGCGCACGGCATACGCATATGCATAACATATCATGTTTCTGTCTCTCAGTTTTTGTTTTTTATCATCATCGTCCGTCGATATATTTTTCATTTTGATATACTCTGATGGAGGATCACTTCTCAAAAACTAATGGATTTCTTTTATTGTTCATGGGGGCTGTTGTTTGATAGACAAAATACCCGTGGTCGTGGTGATCGGGGAGGTTGCGTAGAAGGGGGATGAATGGGGATGAATGCAGAATTTTAGTATTTTACCTGCCTGCCCGCCTGCCTGCCCGCCTGCTATAAAAATGTCTGGTCGCCCATGTTTGTACTCTTCAGCCTATATGAGAGGAAATCGGTTCCTCTCATGTATGTCGTGTAGTCTGTTCCACCAACCAAATTGCCGTTTCGTATGTGTTGCAGTCCACTCCACTCGCCTTGTCGGCCATTGGCGAATAGACGGAGCGTATGGGAGCGTATGGGCGTACTGCATGTCCCTGCAGTGTGATTATGCCATCGACGCACGCCGCGTCGTCATACAGCTACTCCTCAGTGGCAAGAAATCGGAAAGATATATCTTTATATCCAAGAAATTATTGTCTAATTCGCGATTCGTGTTTCGGTAATCGTTAGCTATTTTCATCAATTTTCGACAGCCAGCACCAAGTAAGCCGATGCCAAGTGATAGAATGTCGCCACCTCACGTGTGCACGACAGGTACTGTACATCCCCCCTAAGCAGAAACACGCACCACCCCCCCGGCCCACTGCCGAGAAAGCACCAAGGTAAGACTCACCCACCACCACCACCTCCCAACAAACTCCAAACCAATCTCTTTACCATCACCACCACCACCACCACCACCACCGCCTCACCGGCAAACGACCCGACTCGATCACCGTCCCGATACACCTTGACCACACCCCGAATCAAAATCCAAACCCTCACCTCACCTCCGTCTCTGTATCGGCGCAGGCGTCCGGCCGCACACAGCGGGGTCTCTATCGATCGCCGATATCCGCCGCTGCGGGGCAGACGACAACGACACGGCTGTGCCAGGCACCCACCTCATCAACGACGCTCTATCGACGACGAAGTCGTCGATAGATTAAACGGCTTGATCAACCTCTCACGGTCGCCTTCTGCTCATACCCCAAATACCCCATGATGGCCACCACCACCACCCCCTCCACCCCCAGCCACTCACGGCCCGCATCTCCCGACTCCGCCATGGACGACTCCGTCTCCAGCCAAACGCTAGCGAACTACCAGTTCCCCACGCACAGGTACAAGAGGCAGCAGACGCAGGCAAATCGGATTCCCCTCGTCTTCGTGGCCTGCGGCTCCTTCAGCCCAATCACATATCTTCACCTGAGGATGTTCGAGATGGCCGCCGATTTCGCAAAGTTTAATACGGAGTTTGAGGTTCTGGGCGGGTTTTTGAGTCCTGTTAGTGATGCTTATAAGAAGGCTGGTTTGACGAGCGCGAGACATCGGTAAGCCCCCCAGTTCCCACCCAGAAGACTGCAGAGGCTAACACACCCCAGCCTACGCATGTGCGAGCTCGCCGTACAACAAACCTCCAACTGGCTCATGGTTGACCCCTGGGAAGCCCTACAAGAGAAATACACCCCCACCGCCCTCGTCCTGGACCACTTCGAGCACGAGATCAACGTCGTTCAAGGCGGCGTGCTAGACGTAGACGGAAACCCGCGCCCCGTCCGCATCGCCCTCCTCGCCGGCGCCGACCTCATCCAAACCATGTCCACGCCCCTCGTCTGGTCGGCTAAGGACCTAGAACACATCCTAGGACGGTACGGGACGTTCATCGTGGAGCGGACAGGTACCGATATCGATGATGCGTTGTCGAGTTTGCAGGCGTGGAAGGAGAAGATCTGGGTTATCCCGCAGCTGATCTTGAATGATGTTAGTAGTACTAAGATCCGCCTGTTTCTGCGGAGGGAGATGAGTGTGAGGTATCTTATTCCGGCGCAGGTTATTCGGTATATTGAGGAAAATGGGTTGTATGAGGAGGAGGGCGCGGAGGGGAAGGGGAAGGGGAAAACGACGGGGGGGGAGACGGCGGGGGAGGTGGGCGCGAAAAGCTAGGTTGATAGAACTAGCCGGAAAAGACAGATATTGTATTAGAGTATCCCCAGTTTGGCTTGATCCATTGGGGGGGAGGGAATCTCGTTACACGCGAAGAAGAAGGTTCTTTATTGGGAAGGGGATCCAAACTCGTTAAACGCGTAAATCCGAAGATGTTGATATTTTTGGTGGCATGGGGGGTTCAAGTCTCCTTCTCGCAGTTCTCTGTATTGTATTTTTTTTTTGGCTTTTCTTTTCACCATACATAGAGAGATGAGAAGAAGACGATAGTTACTAATTAATGGCTTCGACTCGTTGGAGAAGTATTATATATCTCTTCACGCTCGTGTCTCATTAAACCGCGTCGAAGACTGCACAAACTATTCAACTATAAACACGCCTATATCGCATCTCCCTCAGTTAGCCGACTTCTCAGCAAGAGCTGACTTCTCAGCCACAGCCGAATCCAAGCCAGCCGAGTCCTTAGCAGTCTCAGCTTCCGGATACGCCCCCTCGACACTCTCACCACGGTTAAGCCCCAACTGCCTGGTATCAAACCCATGGCTCTCAAGATACGCCCTAAACTTGATATCCTCCTGCGTGATCGTATCCTGCCCAATATGCGGCAACAAGAACAGCGCCAAGAAGGCGGACAGAAGACACAAACTCGACGCGACCCAGAAGGGATACTGCGCCGACTTCACTTTGTCGTCGCCTCCGGCCGCCGCAATATACTTGAAGACCCTGGTGCCTACGAACGCGCCGATCTTGCCCACAGCCGCGGCGATACCGTAGTACTGGCCGCGGACACCGGTGGCGCAGGTCTTGGAGGCGATGAGACCGATGTTGTCGCCGGGGCCCAGCTCGCCGAGGGAGAGGAAGATGCCGTAGACGACGGCGAAGGAGGCGATGTGGCCGGGCTTGGTGAGGGTGTCGTAGCAGCCGGCCATGATGAAGCCGACGAGGGCTTGGAGGGTGACTCCAATCACCAGCGCATATCGAGGGCCGATTTTGTCTGAGATGGGTCCGCCGAGCATGGCGCCGGGGATGTAGAAGAGGTTGATGACTGTGTTCCAGCCAAACGTAGTCGAGAGAGGAACATCATCTCCAATGATATTGCTGACGATGGTAGACGAGTAGATGCCGAAGGCGAAGGCGGAGAACTATCATAATTAGCTTCTTTCTCTGGAGTAGGGATCGGACTTGACGTACATCGTAGAGGAACCAGATGAGTCCAACAATGAACAGACGGAACCAGTAGTATTTCAGGACAATTCCGTAAGGAATCTTCACGTGCTTCATGCTTTCTCTCTTGTATTGCTCGGGCTCCTGGAGCTTAAGACGCATCAAGAGCAGCACAATAGGAGGGACAACACCCAATCCCAAAGCCACACGCCAAGTCGCGCGGTCGTGGCTCTCAGTGAAGATTAGAACCAAGACATACGGCACGAACGCACCAATGACAAAGCCCCAGTCAATAGCCACATTAGTGAACATGATAAACCACATATTCCTCGTTCCCGCCTTGACTTCGCCAGATGCCTCTGCGGCCGCAACACTGCCCGCGGGGTACTCGCCGCCGATACCGATCCCGACAAGGAAGCGGAACGCGGTGAGCGCGGCGATCATGCCGGGGAGTGTGCCGCCGCCGTACGCGCCGGCGCACAAGGCTGTGAAGATAATCATGATAACCGTCGCGACAAGGAGGGAGTTCCTGCGCGACCACTTGTCGCTCGTGTAACCGAAGACCAGCATGCCCAGCACGGTGCCGGCAAAGGCAATGGCGGCGATGTTCTGCGCGCCGGACGACTCGCTGTAGGCAGGGCCGTAGATCTTGCTGAGGATGGTGCCAACTGATCCGATGACCTGGGAGAGAGTTAGCTATGGAAAACGAGGCGCAAGTAGGAAGGCGCAAACATACACTCTGGACGTAGCCCTCAGAGAAGAGACCGGAGCCAGCTGCCAAGATGGGGAATATCTTCTGCCACAAGGTCTTCTCCGTAACAATGGCAGCGAGGTCCTCATGGCCTTCTAGAGCTACCTCATCCGTGACCGCCGTGGCATCATGCGGGTTGTTCTTCCTGCGAAAGACGTTCATGATGGAGGTCGCGCGCAAAGCTGAGTGGAAAGCAGCTATGGCATGTGAAGTGGGAAAAAAACAGCTACATAGGGTGCTGGGATCAACGTATTTAAACCCGTCCAGGAGGAAACGTGCATGAGGGGGAAGGTTAGTTGCTATTCCAAAGAAGCTCTAGGTCCAGCAGGTGGATTAAGGGTGGGTACGACTGTTGACGCTGACAGCAGGTGCAGTGGTTCGGTCAGGGATGTGTTGCTTTTGGAGGTCTTGACGATCATATGCCGAGAACAGGAAGCATGTCTGAGAAGGGAGTCCAATCGGCGCGATACCATATGCGACCTATGCGACTCAGACGCCCCTACAGTATTATGATTACTATATCTTAACAATGAGAATAATCAAGTAAACATCACCTCCATCGCCAGTGGATCTCGAAAGCCCCAAGGTGTCGCCGAAGGCTTGTCCTCCGCCAGGCACATCACACCCCTAGCGACTGCCACAGCCAACGGCAACGTTCCACCCCCCCCACCACACCCACTCACACGCCGTCAGCGAAGCCGTCACGGCCATGCCGAAAGAAAAAAAAAGATGTGGTGCATACGCTCCTGCTGCTTTTCATCCCATCCTGACGGGGTGACGGGGGCGGGGTTAACTTACATGAGACTCCCCTTTTTTGTGAGAAGACCCCATGTCGTGGATCGCACGTGTGCGGATTGCTGGGCTTCAACGGCGGCGGCAAGTGTTGACTGGGCTATGAGTGATGCCGGGTGAATGCAAATACAGCATGGTAGTGGGGACGTCGTGGAGCTCGCCATGCTCACCGGAGTACCGCTGTGGTGCTACAGACAGCACACGTGGCAATATCGATACGCTCGCTCGACATAACGCCAGCACAAGGCTACAACTGGGTATGCAATGTGGCTAGAAGAAAAACCGTCTCTTTCTTCCCGGCGAGCAAATACCTCAAAGCCGCAGTTGAGCGGCTGATGCGCTGCGGTTGCCAAGAGCCAAGGGCGTCTTGACGTGCTGGCGGGTTGTGTCGCCGAAGATTGATATGGGGAAGGGTGGAGATTCGTCGTCATGAACATAGCATTCGGTCCAGACGGGAACAACCGCGAGGGGCATACAAGACTTGTACAACCCTGGCGATGATGGGGGTTGTCCAAATCTTGTATGCGCCTCATAATGTTGACGAGCACGGGCAAAGGCAAAACAGCTTCCCACAACAGCAGAAGCTTGTTCCATATAAAACTACGGGGGGAGATCGAGCATGATATCAAAGTAGAATATATTGCATCTATATAGAGTCCCAATATCATATCCAAACAATACCATTTCTCATCCCTCATCTGCTCCCAGCCTTTGGCTTGGCTGCCGACATACAATTTCCAAATCGCTAGTATTAGATAACCCATTATTATATTTATTATATGGCAATATTTTGTGTCCAAAAAACGCCCCCCTTCCCCCGTAAGCACCCTCGGTGGATCCGAAAGTGCCCCTGCCACTGGTAATACATCAATGGTATATCCCAGCCCGCCCAACCCCCCCAAAAAAGAACGCTTAGTCCTGGAAATTCCCATTCGGAGGGTCGCGGTTCACCACAAACGCGTATTTATCGCTATGCTCCTTCAAGAACTCGGGTATATCCTTATTATCCTCAACACGGTCAAAGAACGAGTTCTCGCGATCGAAGAAGTCCAGACCGTGGCGCACGCGATTGAGAATCTTCTCCGGATCGCGGAACTCGGGCTTGTTGAACTCAACATGCGAGAAGCTCGTCACCTTGTTCACCATGTCCGACAGCGACTTGAGACAGTAGCTGCAGTGCCACGCCGCGTTCTGCATGTGGTGCTGTTTGTAGGCGCCCATACGTAGCGTGTCTGCGGGCATGGTCAGGTCTTTGCCCTTCCAGAGCATGGCTTGTGGGTGGGTCCAGTCCTCGCCGCGCAGAAGCCACTGGAAGCTATAGTAGTACATTCTGCTGCGGAGGGTGACGGCGTCGGGGATGGCGCAGTTTCGTATGGCTGTCAGCGTGTCGGGGCGGGGGATCTCGTCGACGTCGGCGATGATGATCACGTCGTCGGTTTCGACTTTCTTCTCGCCTTCGAGGAACGGGATGACTTGATCGACCATAGCGTTACGTGAGAAGGTCTCGCGTTCCCATGTCGTCTTAAATTTCATCCCTTCATCAGTAATTGTATGGCGGATCATTTTGTCGTGGTAAGGCGCGTATCTATCCCAGTTCGACTCGACATAAAGCGTCTTCGGTTTATCGGTGAATGTCTTTGCGGCCTCAACTATAATGAAATAGTCGACGTGGCTATACATCTGCCCCAAACGGATATCCAGCCATTCAAGCTCGCGGTTGATCAATACGAGATCGTAGATCTTTCGCTTCTTGTCGCGGTTTGCCCATGGCTCGAAGCGCCTGAACTCGCAGAATTGCTGGGCTTCAGCGATGGAGAGGTATTTGGTTTCGTCTTTTAATTCCGTCTTCGCAGGCGTAGCGGGCGCAACGGCATTGGTGTCTTTTGGCACAGCGCTCGTAGTCGATTCGGGCTTCGAATCTGCCACGACTGGTGGTGCTGGCGGTTTCAGTGGCATTGGTGGCCCTGGGGGCTTGAGAGGGTTTGGTGGCCCGGGTGGCCTTGGTGGTTCATGCGGCCTGTGGCCATGATGAGCATGATGAGGGTTATGTCCTGGGTGATCTCCCCCAGGTCCCCACGGTTTGTCGAACGCGGGATGCGATCGAACAGCAGCGGTATTAGCGAGGAAGAGGAGGAATGCTGTAATGAACGCGCAGACTAATAGATAGCGAATCCGCGACTGGGTGAGCTCCATCCTCGACACCATCGTGAGGGCAGGGATGTTCAAATCGCGTCGATCGCAGGGTATATTTGCCGTCGACCAGGCTGAAGCCGTCAAGTTACATCTAGGGCGTCAATTGTGCAGCTACAAGCTGGTAAAGAAGACAGATACCGCAAATGACTTATAACCATCCTTCATAACATTGCCTATTTATCCTAATCCAAGACATAAATTGAGTTATCTCACGTGATGTGTCATTTCAGGAAGACACCAAGCGAAACAAAAAGTACACTATCGTCCGACCCTAGAGGCTGTACTAGACTAAAAGCAGTCAAGCGCTTCCTTGTACCTTTTTTACCCGACCACCACTGACTTGTGACCTCCGCCCAGCAAAACAGACCCGCGACTTGTTCTCAGGGGTCTTAAGTGAGAGAGATACTGACGGAATACCTCCCACCTTTCTTTCAGACCTCTCCCAAACCCCAAACCCCGTCATCTCATCAGACAACAACCTTCCTTTCTACGGCCTCATCCCCCCCCCCCTCATCACCCGCCATCCCAGGGCAAGAGAATTGTGACAACGTAGCGCTCAAGGCACGCGCGCTACTCAGCTATCATCGCCCTCTCGCGCCCATCCCACCACTCTCTTTCTCGCAATGCTTCCTCCTGTCGAAAAAGATGCAGGCGTGTCATTATTATCGACGATCCCTTCAGCGGTCTATGTATTGTGGGTTTATCCTGCGCCAAGCAGTACAGCAGCTCGACAGAGGATCTAATACTGCGCGTTAGAAACTGGATCTTCTTCAGCACAATCGTCATTCTTTTCAACAAAAAAATCATCTCTGATTGGGGATTTCGTAAGTGACCCCCCCTTTTCCCCCGCGTTGATGCTCAAGCCTAACATTGTCTCAGCCTACCGTACGTCTCCATCCAATTCGAAAGCCAAGCCTACCCCGAATTACTGTTGGCCATGCGAGCTCTAGCTAACGCGCTGTAGCCGTCCTGTTAACATGTTGGCATCTAATATTTGCGACTGTCCTGACGCAGATCCTTGCCCGGACCAGCACAATCCTCAATGGACGCAAGGCTGTTCGAATGACGGGCAAGGTCTACTTTCGCGCCATCGTTCCCATCGGCGTTCTATACTCGCTCAGCTTGGTCTGCAGTAACCTGACATACCTCTACTTGTCGGTCGCCTTCATCCAGATGCTAAAGGTATGGCTGCGCTGCCGCTCTTTCGAACTACAAAAGGCCCAATCTAATATATGACAGGCTGCTGCACCTGCGAGTGTTCTGTTCGTTGGCTATGCTTTCGGAACTGACAAGTACGACCTCAAGGTCTTGATCAACATCTGCGCCATCGTTTTTGGAGTCGGCCTCGCTTCATATGGCGAAATCAACTTCTCTCTTATCGGCTTTATGTACCAGCTCGGTGGTCTCATCTTCGAGTCGATACGCCTTATCATGGTGCAGAAGCTCTTGACCGGAAAGGCGGATGACCCGAACTCATACAAGATGGATCCATTGGTCAGTCTTTACTACTATGCGCCAGTATGCGCCGTTATGAATGTGTTCGTAGCTCTCTTCGTCGAGATGCCCACATTCAAGATGGCAGACCTCGTCCAACTCGGCCCCTGGACTTTGATTGCCAACGCCAGCGCCGCCTTCCTACTGAACGTGGCATCAGTGTTTTTGGTATGTTCTCGTGCCTGGCAGGATCTCGGAAGTAATGTTCTAACATGTACAGATTGGCAAAACATCATCTCTGGTTCTAACTCTATGCGGTGTTATCAAGAATGTCGGCATCGTCGTTCTCTCCGTGATTCTATGGGGAACCATAGTGTCTGGCCTCCAATGGCTCGGATATTCCATCGCAAGTGCTGGACTGGTGTACTACAGCCTTGGATACGAAGGCATCAAGAATGCTTGCTTGCAAGGACAGACGATGTGGGAATCACGAGGAATGAATTACAGAGGGAATAACCTCACAGCTATCGTTGCTGGTGGTGTCCTAACCACATTCCTCCTTTTCGCTTGGTGGGGCAGCGGGTCGGCGGCTCCACCTGTATAGCTACCGTGAGCAGGCACATAGGGAGTTCTTGGAGTATTCAAGCAGCATGATGATGGAGTACATAGGAATCTCATCAGGCTCCTCATGACGAGTAGAGCCAAATATGGGTAGAGGTTTTCATGAAGGCGTTACGCGGGTCGTCTTGGGTTTATCGTGTATAATCTTGGAAGTATATTAGTCGATAATTGGATGCCCAGATAGTTATGGACCTGACACGATGTTTCCAAGGTCCATAGTATATTTTGTACAGTAGTAAACTTCATTTAATGGAAGAGTGTCCAAGGGCTATAGAAAACAAGCCTCCAAATATATTGGAGATTTGGAGACACTGTTGTGTCTCCAAATCTCCAAAAATGTCACAAAAAAACGCATTATAGCCTAATATATCCGGTTGCCGATCCCCACAAAACCATTCCGAGTGGATCCTCCGTCACGCAACCTCGGCTCACACCCCTCGGTATCATCTCCTCGTCTCAAATGTGAAGGAAACGGCATCGGCGGCATAAAACCACGACCTCTCCCGCCACAAACCACATCCACCTTCCACCACCGTCGTCCCAAAAATCCAACCACCCATCCAACACCCCCCTTCCACAATCCCCAACCATGGCCGCCATCGACGCCGTCGTCTACCACCCCGCGCTCGCGCACTACCTCCGCTTCGTCGCCACCACCGTCGGCCGCGACAAGCTCCTCCGCACCATCCAGTACTTCTCGCGCTTCTACGCGTGGTACCTGTACCGCACCAATGCCACCCCCGCCGCCATCAAGCCCTTCGAGGCTATGAAGAAGCAGTTCGGACTCACGCGCAAGGCCATGCGCCTCGGCAAGAACATCGAGCACTTCAAGAACGCCAAGGTTGCTGCGGACCGCAAGGACCTCGACCCGGTGCTCAAGTATGCCGCGGTCGGACGCCAGCTCGGGTACGGTGCGTATCTGACGCTTGATGCGGCTGCGTTCCTGGATGCTGCTGGCATCAGGCCTACCCCGAATGCGAAGAACATTACTAGGAATTCGCAGAAGGCGTGGTTCGCTGGGCTGAGCTTCAGCGTTGTTAGCGGCTTGTATACGCTGTGGGCGCTGAAGGATAGAGAGGCTAGGTTGGATAAGAAGGATGGCGAGAGCGTGGTTGAGGGCAAGAAGATCCAGCGGTGAGTTTACCTGTGCTCTCCCCGATTTTAAGATATTTTTGTACTGATTTTTGTGTGTTAGCGAACGTGCTGCGATCCAGCTACAGCTCCTCTCCGACTGCTGCGACTTGGTTATGCCGACCTCGAGTCTGGGATGGACTGGATTCGATGACGGAATTATCGGTATTGCCGGGACCACCAGTTCGCTGATTGGTCTCTACGGCGCGTGGAAGAAGACGGCTTAGGCGGATGGAGAATGGAGAATGGAGAATGGAGATGGGTTGATTGTGCATAACGCGGTTGATAATTTGTAGAATATACGGTGTAGTGTTCCCTATTTATTGCAAGAATGACCAAATCTATATCCCACCCAGCTCTCGAATTGGACCAGGTGCGTTGCGTTGTGCTTAATTTTGATACAACCTACAGCTTCTCCTACATACTACAATCTAGAGGCCATACAATCCACTCATACATCGTTGACGGGCCATCGCTATAAAATCGACAGCACGGGGTATCGCAGCCACACAGGCAAAGCTCTCAGTCCCTTCCAGACGCTCATATCAAGCAACATTCCAAGCCAAACAGCTAGGTTTCCCCTCAGATAGTTCGGCTTCCACGCCAACTCGAATAATTTTCAGCCTCGGCCAAGGACATGCTTCCGAATTGCGGTCTCCAGAGCCTGCGTGGCGTTCGTTCTTTTTTCGCCGTTTCACTGGGTGCCACATCTGCGGTCTTCTCAGTGTTGGCATACTGGTTGTCAGAGCTGCCGCCTCGATATGTCGGAGCCTCCTCTGCCTCAACGACGCCTGTTTCTGCCGGTGCTTCCACCTCTCCCTCTTCTGTTTCTATTGGCTCTTGTTCTAGTGAAAACACCTCGGAATTATCAGGACCTTCTGCACTACTCCAAGTTTGGACCCAAGGGTTGGCGGTCATAACTCTCTGCTCAATGACGGCGATCATCTGTTTCGTCTCCGCTATCTTCTCTATGAGGCTAATATCACCCATCAGCACACATCGACCAACCCCGATAGTGCATCGAGACTCACATATTCATCGCCACAAGCCTAGCCCTACAATGCCCATCAAATCTCACTATACTCGCCAGCTCATTCTGCACCTCCTCCTCTATAACCACCGTCCACATCGACTTCTCCAGCCCCACCATCGCCTCCAAGATAGCAGCCAACGTGCTCCTGCCTTTGCTGTTCATCTCAATAATATTGGTGAGCAGGAGCTTCGTCTCCTCGACAGCCACTACCTTGCCGTACGCGTCTCCGTAGTGGAAAGCGCTGTTTTTGAGTAGAGCGAGCTCATAGGCTGTTTGCATGCACCAAGTTGCTCGTTCCTCGGGGCTGACGTTGCAGAGACGGAATGGACGTGGTACTGTGGGCGGATGTCTGTCAGTGATGGAGAGGTTGTGGGCTGTGGGTCAGCTTACTGGCGAGTGGTGGCAAGGAAGCTAGATCGGCGCGCGGTGGAGCGTTGTATGGATGCGCATGATAAGAGTATGGGTCTGGGTCTTGCTCCATGGTTGGTTGTTTGTGAAGCCAGTGTTTGCTGATTGTCAGAGTGGCAGAGTGGTCTTTGGGTGTTGCTAGGTTTTTTCTAGTGATATGTATTGTTGTGATGTGTCGGGGACATTTCATGGACTTCACATTTGGGTGAAATGTTTCTCGTGGCCGTCATAATGTTCGCATTGTTTTGTGCAGACGCCTGCTAAGAGATGAATTCCGGTTACCAGAGACCACAGTGGTTGTCGAAGTGATGCAATGATCCCAAGCGCCCTTTGAGAATTCAAACTCAAAAACTATTTGATAAGAATCCAGAAATTTGCGTATTTAAAATATACTTTCACGAGACTTCTGTGGTCGACGTTGAGTATTGGAGCTAAAATTTAGGAAATGCAGCATGGCACACATTTAAACATTAAGGAAGGAGCTCAGCAGAGTTCAAAAGTACACTCTGTCCTAACCAATGTGGTATAAAGACGCCCAAAGCAATAAAGTCTATCTATTCCTTTATTCCAATAACCCATGTTACATATCCAAGGGGTTTAGTATGCTCATTACGGCCACTTCTTATGCTCCACCCATCCATGTCCCCGCCCGACGTCTTCAACAGCGAACACAGCTCGCCCGCTGTCCTCGTACGCAGCGACGATACGTAGCCATCAAACACAACCACAAAAGGTATAATTGGAATAATATAGGTAAAAAAGAGGTGGCCGGGTGATCTCCAGAAGTAGAACGGGGTAATGAGGAAGAAAAGAAGGCCCATTAGGGTTATCATTAAGAGTGATGATGGCGTTCTCTCGGAGAGCTCGAAGATACTAGGTTATGTCAGCTAGTACAGCCTCATATCACTGGATGAATAAGTACCCAAAGCCATGAGAGTTCTCTAGTGTGTTCTTGAGTATGTCGCGGCCAAGACTATCATCGAAATGGTGGAATGCGAGGTTAAACATGCGGAAAACCTTCTTCCCGTCGCCCAATATCAAGTCAGCAGGCGCATTTGTAGCATCAACCGGTTTTGAAACAAATGTCAGGTTTTTGCTCTTGCTGCAAGCCCCTTTCCAGTCTGCAATGTGAGGATGTAGGTCGGTCATTACGAATTTTACAGACTCGTTGGTGTCGCCGTTGGCTGAGGGTGATTTTTTGGGGGCCAGCTTCTGGTTCAATTCTCGTTCAATGCAGGGAGTGGGACCACCAGCGCCTGCACAAAAATCGACATATGTATATTCAGTAACTGATTTGTCAAGAGTATTGTAAAGAATGCTCGAGACAACTTGCGCCGGTGAGTGCCTTTGCATGATTGGCATTCGAAAATTCCAGGCAACTGTGAGGCATGACTGGACCTTCCGGAGGAAGTATTCAGGGAACCTGTTCTTCAATATTAGCAGTGAGAAATATGGCTGATAGGGTTTAGTACCATGGCTGGTCAGTTATTTCGTAGAACTGAATCCGAGGAGATATTATAATCATACTACCCAGCAATTAGGTAGGGTATTTGTGATCCGAAACAATGCAATTGAAGTCTGACAATTATAATCCAGAGCATGGCAACTGAGGGGTGATTATGCCTAATTCAATAAATCATTCGCTTTTGAGATAAAATGAGACGGCGGGGTAGCCAGCCTTGTCTGTCGGTGTTGTGTCATTGTGAAACCCACAGCAGCTAAGCTTCCGGGAGCGCTTACCCAATTTGTGTCTTGATGTTGTACAGTCATAATCCGTTAGGTCGATAGCTCAGCTCCCGTAAATATTGAGATAGCGTAAATATTAAGATATCGAATTTCACGTGACATCTATATAAAATGAGGCTATTTACATAAACCAGCCATCCTAGGTTCCCTATGCCTTAGAATTGGCTACTATAAGCCCTAATTCTCTCTTAAACTTCTTAAAGGACCGCAAATACACTGCTGCCTCCTTCGTCCTACTATTCCTAGATTTTATGAACTCAATCAGACATTATACAGCTTGATGTGCAGCTTGTAGGGTTAACACAGGCTGTAGATTAAGCTCTTCATCCTCGTCATCATCTTAAGCCTTAGAATCTGGTATATATTGTGCAATGACCTGCTCTAGCGGTATATCCTCCCCTATAGGCTCCCTAATGCTCTCCTCTATCGTCTCTATGTCCTCCTCCACTAGATTTGTAAGGATGCCTCCGTACCTAGATACTCGAAGAACCTGTCTCAGAACTGTTACGGTCACTACAAGCATGGAATCCGACTCGGTGGGGTTTCAAACCAGTAGAGGAGCATATAGCGAGTTACACTATAATGGGGGACGGTAAGTGTATAGGGTTCAGGGCCGATGCAGAACTGTTGCAGTGGAAGGTTCAGGGCTAGGGTTGGGATAACCGAGTCGGGCCCGTTTCGGGTACTTAAGGAAACAGACTCAACGGGGTTCCCCCTTCATCTTTTTTGTATCCTTCATAGTAGACCTATAGGATAGCATCCGTTTAGCCTCCGACTCGCACTCTCATATGCTATTACTGTGAGCTGGGTGCCCTGTGTCGTTACAAGATTTAAGAAGTTCAAGAGATCCATAGTATTGCGGATGTGGCCAACTTGTTATACTTGTTCATATTAGGAAGAGGGTGTATTAGAAGCTAAATTAGGCATTAGAGAATTGTGCTTTTTCGAAAGCAGTTATAGATAGTTATGTTTGTAACATCGTCAGTCCATGATCAAATGAGCCATTAAATGGCAAGTTAGACGTTTAGACAGGGTCTTTATTCGCTTCATAACATTCAAGCATATAGACAGGATCTTTATTTGCTTTGTAACATTTAAGCATAGACAGGGACTTTATTTGCTTCGTAACGTTCAAGCATATAGTATTGTCGCTAGTAGTATGCTTTAAGGATGTTACGATGGTCATGGAGGTCATGATGCCAGTCCAAGTAAAGTAAGCTAGATTGAATCTAAAGAGAGAAGAAGAAGAAGAAAAGTAGGAAGGTGAGGCTAATCCTCATAATATACAGCTTGAGCACTTAGCGGTTCCTTGTAACCTTAAAGGCTACTATTTGCGCGCGGTGTATTTGGTGACCGGACCTTCGGGCTTTTGCGCAACGGGCAGGAAAACTTGACAGTAGACTACAGTATATAGAACAAATTGATTAAATTGAATTACTACACTATCTACGGAGCCTACGTACTACTTATGTTATTCGAAGGGCCTACCCAAACGCGCTGAGTAACAGAAGGGTTTGGGCCTGAAACCCGATGTGTCGGAGTTCTGAGGCAATTGGCCCATGCCAAGCACCAATTGGGGAGCCCGACAATAACACTGGGAAAAGCGGCCATTCCAGGGCCAAAATGCCACCGTATCCCATGGTGCACATCCTCTTTCCCCAACACTAAGTGTTGAACACAAATTTGGAGTTTGACGACTTAATTGAGTAAACTATGGGTGCGAAGCCCTATATATACATATAGCCAGTATACAAGCTACACTGTGCAGCGTACATCTAGGAACGTAGTTCCAACACTAAGCAGTGGGAGCACGTGGTCACGTGATTATGCGTGCCTGTAGCTGTGAGCTGCAATCGTAACAATTAAAAATCGAATTGCGCATCACCAAAATAGCTCTCGCTAGATTCTCACATCTGGTGCACCCACCATTACAAGAAGCGTTATCACGAGTGATAGTAAAAACTGCAGGAGTAATACCATAGTCGTCTGTAACAGCTATTAACTGCCCTGCAAGATATTCACCAGAATGGATTGGCTCTTGTAGCTCAATAACATCTAAGACTGTACATCGTAACTGCCACTTATCAGAGATCCAATGTGCTGTTACTGCAGCGTATTCAGAATAGTTGCGTGCAGACCAAGTATCAGTTGTTAAAGATATCCGTCCACCTTGTGCAGTATGCTGCTGTAATTCAAGTTGTAACCTTGCTTTATGAATGCAAAATATCCGTTGCAAGTCTTTTGCAATTGTCGTCCGTCCAATTACAAGTGTTGTTGGATTTAAATGGCTAACAAGCTGCCGGAAGGATAGCCTCTCAGATGTACGCAATGGTAGGTTATTAGACACAATAAATGAGAGTAGAAGCTCTCTAAATTTTGACGAATTTGGTGCATGGCTAGGTACTTTGCAAGGCTGGAAGAATGTAGCTGTAGTTGAAGAAGAAGGCTGTGTATCTCCGTCTTGAACATGCTTTTTCTGTTGAAGTGTATGATATCACTTGCAGTGGTAGTATAAGTCATCAAGTTGAGTTGAACAACAGTTCACTGTAATATGTGTTGTATTGTTTTTCTGAGTGAAGCTATCTACGGAACTATTTGTGGGTGGTCCGCAACCCGATTCGGTTGGCGAGCCACACGCCCAACCAATCAGTCTGAGCAACCTCCTCCTTCAACATTTTCTTATATTGTGCATGTATTGCTGGATGTTGTGTCTTTAAATGCTTCCAAAGATTACTCGTTGTCTGCATCTTTGTAGGTTGTGATGGTGTATATGTGCAATGTGGCTGCAAGCACTTAAATGATATTCTTAAAGGCGCATTATCAAGAATAGTACGAGAGTATAGACCCTTTGCAAAGAGGATTGAGTCAGAATCTGGTAACAGTTGGTCTTGAGGCTGTACAGGCATGCGTACAAGTGGTAGGGGCAAGAGTGGATCTTGAGAGGCATTCTCATATTCGCTCGGGTCGCTAGGGGCGGCGGTGATAGCGAAGACTCGCTCATCTTGACGATGGTAAGTATCACAGTAATATTCAAGTCATTGAAAGCTTCACTTTGCCTATGCTATAATTCTGTCTACATCCTTACCCCGCTCTCTTGGCTGTCTTGGCAACTACTCGAGTAGTACTCGAGTAGTTCAGATTTCTTCGAGTCAAGTACTACTCGAGTAATTCCTCGAGTAGTACTCGGGCAACACTGTAGGGAACGACTACCATTACTTCGCCCTCATATATAATATTGAAATATATAACGTGCATGTATAACGAAAGTGCCAAACAAGCGAAAGTGCCAAAATATCGCGACTACCCCATAAGAATTGCGATAAATCCACCACAACAATATAAATTAATTAAAACTACTCGGAGTCCTCTTCCTCAGACCTGTCTATTACAATCTGACAAGTGCGCGCATTGTGTCCAGTCTCACCACACTTGCCACAGCGACGTGCATGGGTTTCTTCCCTTGGCTTCCGACCACTACTTGCCCTTATTTCTTGCTCTACTTGCTGCACAACGTCCCTCTCGTCCTGTAGCTCCTGTGCTACCTGTTGACTAAGTGATCCTCCTTGCTGTAGTCGTGTTTTTTTAGCTCTCCGGCACTTGCTTAGCACTTCATTTGCCTGTCGCAGGTTTTGGTTCTCTGCTTTTAACAATGCTAATTGATGCATTATTTGCGATGCACCCTTTGTAAACTGGTCAACAGCTGCATAGATTGAGGTTGGAGAGCTATTTTGATGATTAATGAAAGTAGACTGTGATACAGCTTCAGTTGGGTTATTTGGTGTCTGAGAAACCCATGGTTGAGCGGTGTTTGGGCGAGAGGTTGGAGGTGTTGGCGTCTTAAACCTAAGGTCAAGTGTAGATATTACACTCTTAGGGCTAAATGGAAGAAGCCCAGCACCTCGGAACCCTCCCTGAATATTGCTTTCTGTCATTGCAATGTTAAATGCAGCGTGGAAGGCAGGAAAGAAGTCATCCTTAGTAATGTGAATAATATGAGCCCGCATCATATCTTCAATTTGCCGACCGTAAGCTCTCTTTAATGGGCCAAAACAGCCAACATCAAGTGGTTAGAGTATATGGGAAGAGTGAGCAGGCATACAAAGCGTAATAATGTTGTGTTCTTTGCAGTACTCCTCAAACTTGTCTGAGTGGTGGCTCTCATGACCATCAAGGACTAACAAGCGATAACCACCAACACTCCGGGGCTTTGTGTGCTTCTCAAAATGCTGAATCCAATCCATACCTCTCTCGTTTGTAGTCCAGCCATTTGCAGTAACAGCGATTACCCAATCTGCTGGAAATCCGCTATTCTCATACCAAGATGCAAGGTGGTTTTTACCTGCCACAATGACAAATGGCGGCACTGCCCAACCTTGAGAACTAACGCCTTGGATTACTGTAACCCATTCCCGATTGCCAGGCTGCACCTTTTTTGCCTTTGCCCACCCATCTGAGCTCGTTACTACCGTTGCGCTTGAGATGACGCCCATCATAAACCCAGTCTCATCAAAGTTGTAGATATCTGCATTGTTGATGCCATACTTTAGAATTGTGTTCCATACAAGCTCAAACCAGCCACGAATGACTTCTGGATCTTCGCACTTAGCCCTCTGGTAGTCGTATTTTCGCTGGAAGCGTGTCCGGAGCTCTACATGGCGCTTAACAAAGTTTGAAGCCCAACGTGACCCGACGCGTGGCGCGTCGCGTGTTGCAAGTAGTCGATTTGCCATATCTTCAACAATAGATAACTGAGGAGGGAACCCTTTAGCAGCTAAGTCAAGTATATACTGAACAAGAACTGATTCCTCTAGGTTACTTAATTTCCGTAAGTTGGCTTGGATATCGCGTCGTGAAGGTACGCCTTGTAAACGGTGACGTAGCTTGCGGTGGTCTACGGAATAGATCCTAGCTGCAACTCGAAGGCGCAAATTTGGGTCGCTTTGCATAGCTTGGATAGCTAGCACTAATTTGCTTTCATCATTTTTATGGCGCATGTTTTGTTGTGGAGGAATTTAACATTTAGTTGGGGGGGTTGGTCGCCGCATGATTTTGGCACTTTCGCTTGTTTGGCACTTTCGTTATACATGCACGTTATTTATATGCTATTTTATATTTAGCATGATATCCTAATAGACTTTATGATAACTAAAATTTTGTCATTTTACCATACAAATTTACTAGCGAAATTGTATGGAGAAATAAAATAAAACGGAACTAATATAAGCCTCTACCAACACTTTTGATACTGCTCTAGTAGTTTATATAATACAGAAGGATTAAGCCGTAGCAGTTCAATTGAAAGCGATGCAGCAATTTTTAAATTTTTAAATTAAGTACCTTTTACATACAAATTGTATGTAAAAGTACAACTACCCGCATTACCCGGGACACCGCGTTGCACGGTGACTTACGTTAATCGTCGTAACCAACTTTTCGCTTCGCTCAAGCGGAAAAGTTGGTTACGACGATTAGTAGAACAAGGCGTTGTGGCAACTGTGGTGAGACCGGACATAATGCACGTACTTGTCAGATTACAGTAGCGATATCTAGGGAAGAGGATTCCAAGTATCTTTAATTGATTTTAGGCATCGTGGTGGAATTATCTTCATATTTATTCCATCATCGCGAAATTTTGGCACATTCGCTAGTTTGGCACATTCGCTATACACATACGTTACGGTCAATTACAGGGTCTAATTTTCATTTATCGTTCTTTTTTACTAGCTTACATGGTATACGACTCTTTTACCCAATTAATGAACTATCTACTGGGCCTACGTACTATTTGTAGACCGGCTCCTGAAACTAGCTCAGGCCTGAGGGTTGAGCTAGGCGATCTGCCCGTCTCAAACGCCCGGCTTCAGAGCTGGCGCTGATCCTTTACACCCAGCTTCTATGAAGCTAGTGCTAATCCTACGCCCGGTTTCTACGAGGCTGATGCCGATCCTACGCCCAGCTTTGAGTCTGCCCTACACCTGGCGTATATGGCAGCCCTACGCCACCTACGTGGTGGCTTAGGTCTCGGTCCGATTAGGGGCCGGTATTACAATATATCCACACTTGACAGCCTCGCCCCTGACCTCCTTCACAGTGAAACGATCCTCTTCAACATCCAGCTCGTCACACAAAATACTATAAGTAAATAAAATAAGAATGTATAAATGACTATTCAGACGTTGGACAATAAAGCGACAGTTCACGTCTAAACAATGAGTGTGCTAATTATTTGTGCTATATTATTATTTTTAATCTTTTTTATTTTTTTCGGCCAGTCTCCAAAACTTAGACGTAATGGAAAGCCATTAAGGTATGTACGTATTATTATATCCTAGAAGTCCCTATTTCTTCTCTGGGTTGATGGTTAGACAATGAAATCTCTGCTGATTCCAATCTAGGAAACCTTTGGACACGTTGCCTTTCGCTGGCAACGTATTCCGTTTCTTTCAGAACCGACAGGATCTTTTTTCCTGGTTTACAAGTTGCGAGCGGTCATTTGGCTTTGAAACATTCCAGATCTCAGTCCCGACTTTACCACCGGGCGTGGTTATTAATGATCCCAAAAATCTGGACTTCGTATTCAGAAATGACGCCACATTCGGCAAAGGCGAATTTTTCAAATCCAGATCTTCGGATCTCTTTGGCCACGGAATCATCAATGCCGATGGGGAATTATGGAAAGTTCAGCGCAAAGCAGGACTTCAGTTCTTAAATAATGCGAATCTCAAGGTACTCGCAGAGGTTGCTCTGCCGCGTGACCTACATACGACCGTCAGAGAACTCTACGACATGGATATAAACAAGCCGGTTGACTTGGAGAGGGTGCTCTTATCACTCACCACCAATTTGATGGGCCGTATGGTGTACGGTATGGACATGAGCTCATCCCGAGACTTTTCGGAAGCTTTTGAGTACGCATCCAGTGCAACTGGCCGACGATTCCAGCATCCGCTGTGGCGCGTGACGGAGCCCATCATTGCGCAGAAGATGAAGGAATCTCTTGCGACAGTGAAGAAGTTTGGCCAAGAGATCGTGGAAAATGCCGTGGCCAAGAGAAACAAGGAGGACGAAAAGGCAGATGGCAGACTCGCCGGGATATCCGGAAGCCTGATCAACGCGCTTCTTGACGCAATCCCGGATCATCAAGTAGTGGCTGATGCCGCTCTTAGCTACCTTTCCGCCGGTCGAGATACGACTGCTCAAGGGCTCACATGGGGCTTCTACACTTTAATCCGACACCCGCATGTTATCTCACTGATTCGACAAGAAATAGAAGCCGAAGGGGCCAAGGAGGCGCTTACAGCGGATCCCTGGGCAGATGACTATGAGGGTCTCCGTCCAAACTCTCTACCGTACACAACAGCAGTATTCTACGAAGTTCTCAGACTCTACCCACCGGTACCCTTTGAGATGAAGCAATGTCAAACAGATACAACACTCCCAGATGGGACATTCCTGCCGAAATCTTCAATTATTCTTTGGTGCCCATGGGCTATAAACAGGTCAAAACGTATCTGGGGGGAGGACGCGGAAAAATTTCAACCAGAGCGTTGGCTGCAAGATGGGAAACTATTGATGAAAAGCCAGTCTGAATACCCGGTCTTCAATGGAGGCGCCCGAGTTTGCTTGGGAAAGAAAATGGCAGAGTCAATATCTGTGATGGTGATTGCGAAGCTTGTTTTGTTCTTTGACTTTGAGGATTGCGAGGGATGCTACCGGTTCAGCAGGAATAGCCTTACGCTCCCTATGAAAGGCGGGTTGCCTGTTTGGGCTCGTGCTAGAAGAGCTACAGCCGATATGTAAACTGGGTTATTGTATTATTCAGATATATAAATCATATTTCACTCAGGAACGAAACCTCTGCCCTCATCTTCCGGGAAGAAACCACCTGCTTCATCCATATCATACTCTTCGCTCTGCATACCTTCGTCGTCGTCCTGTATATACTCATCCTCCTTTTCCTCTCCCTCAATCTCATACGCATCAACGCGCTCCTTGATCCTCAGACCAACCATAAACCGCTTCCACATCCGTAAAGCGGCCATCGAGCGCCGTTCTTCCTTCGCATGCCACTCGTCATCTTTGAAGCCCTGTACTACAGCCTCAACAGCCTCCTGGTATTCCGAGGCAATAACAACTCCTTTGATGATAGCCGTACCCTGGCGCCCGCGAAATTCAAAACCAGTCACGGCATCTGAGTAGCTTATACCAAGAAGTCGAGCCGCCCGAGCGGCATCTGGGTATGGTAGGTGCACCCCCCCTTTGGGGACCATGCTCTCGACGTAAACATCTAAATTCCCATAAACGTTCTTTGGAACGCGCCCATCAACCACAGGGGGTGCTTCATACAACACCGTCTGGTCTTCAGTATATAGAGCTACATCACCCGTCTCTTCGTCATCATTCGCAATCCTCCTCGCCGCTCGCGATTTCATAGGCTGCTCGCCAACCTTCACCTCCCTGCCGAGCCTGTACCAGCCATCTGCGCTCCTAACGGTCTTGACGTCGCCCCGCCGGAACACACTCTCAATCTTCTTCCCCTTTCCACCCGCAGAGTTGGCATCGCGTCCAGAAGCCACTTTCCCAATCTCATGTGGGTCCACGAGCACTTCATTACGTCGCAAATCACGCTCAAGAACATATCGCGGGTGGCCTTTGAAATCAGCTATGCTCGTCGGCATCGGCTCTCTACCTTCGATGGTTTGAAGCTCGATGTCTTCGATCTGATCTAGGTCTGTTTTAAACCCTCTCGAGTAGAACTTCATTGTTCGACGCAGCCATTTTAACCCCCCATCTGTGGATTCCACGCGGGTTTTACGAACCTTGGCGGAGTACCACTTGGTATACCGACAAGTGACGTCGCGAACGGCTCCATCCTCTTCAAAGGCAAAAACATAAGTCATTGTGTTCTCGGCATCTGCCGCTGGTGGTTCGAAAACAGAAGGTTTATTGATGGTTCCTGTGACAAGGGGGTCGACTGGCATCCACTTTTGATGCGCTTCATCCAGGACTTCAACCCAGAATACTGGATATGGAGATTCGATATTCCGTCTCTGCTTGGGTTTCGGGGGAGGAGGCCGCCGCGGAGGTGTTGCGTCGGGAATGTGAAAGTCTGCAGCGTTTGGGTGGCCGACTCGTCTGCGTGCGGAGAATGGCGCGCCGGAGGCTCGGCTCGCGAAAGAAGAGGTCGGACTAGCTATGTTCATGGCTTCGCTGTCACTAGTGGGTGTAGTTGGTGTTACAGGCCTGAGGGTGGAAATGCCCTGAGGTGGAGGTCTTGTTTTTGTCGATGATGCGTTGATAGGAAGTAACTGAAGAGAGCATACCAATCGCACGTCGAGGCCAGCGCCACGCAAGAGCGCACAATATAACTGTGCCCCAGTATCACGAGAACCCTCCATATTCTTCGCCGCGAGCTTAAAGTCTGACTTATCAAGGACACGGTCAGCATCCGGGGGAAGAATAAAGTCTGAAATCCGCCCGTCTTCGTCCCAGTACGCTCGCCTCATTCCCCTCGACGTGATTTTAAAATTGGTCAACCAGATGTTCCCAGCGATCTCCAATCCCTTCTTTATCGACTCTGCCCTGCGGAACTGCGTCCACCCGGGCTTCGTTTTGAACCACTGACGGTCTTTCTCACGCAGAAGAGGCTTAAGAATGCTTTGAACTTCTGCATCATTGCACCACTCGTTCCGTCGCTCTACGTATCGAGACAGACATAGTAGGTGCATTTTATGAGTCATTAAATGTGCAGCGCGTTCTTCCTTCGTGTATGTCCGCCCTTTCTTCCTAGGCGTCCTCAGGGGCGCCTCGATCCGCTTGCTGAGGGTGAGGTCTATATGTTGGTCGTCATCTCGTTCATCCCCACCAAGGCCAGGTTGAAAGGGGTCGGAATATAACTCAACATCCTCAAACGTAGCATCATCCGAGTCCGAGCCGGAGTCAGAGTTGTAGACTATTTGCGCTGCTGGCGGCAGGACATCTTCGAAAACTTCCTCTTGGCTCTCTTGCTCCTCCTCGATGTCCTCGTGGCGCTCTTCCCGCTTTTCCTGCTCCTCATCGAGATCCTCGCGGTGGCTTTCCAATGTTTGCCTTGTCCTCCTGCGCTTCGGTGGGCGGTCTATCGAGTCGTGGTCATTCGAGAGAGCCTCCGATATCATATCCTGGTATACCTCGGGGATGTGACTCACGGCTGCGCCGGATCGTGCAGCAGCGCCTCCACGAGTTGCATTACGCCTGGCCATTGTGAGGGTAAAGTATATCGACTTGCAGCGTCTTCATAAGCTCGTTCAACCTTCTGGTACACCTGTTGACCTGTGCGCTCTCATCTTCGAGTTTGAGTCAGCCACAGCGTGGATCAGGGCCGCGTGTATATCGCTGGGTTTTATATCAAGTCCAGCCTGCGCAATCTGTAGCAAGCTAGTTCATTATATCAAAAATGATTCCAAGACCAAGCGAGAGACAGCAACCCATGGGACTCGATTGTCAGGGTTCCGAATATATATTTCCCCCGCTGCCTGCCTGGATATGACGTCGGACTTGGCCCGTCGCTTAATTACCTCAAGTACCAACGCGTCTCCCAAACCCCCAAACCAGCGACGCGACTGGCGTCTACGAAGAAATAACGATTTTGCTACGACTTGGGGATGCGCTTCTTGGAAACGAGTTATACGCGATAAATTATCTATATACCCGGGCAAGATATCGGAAGCTTCGAATATGCCACCACAAACGAGAGCCGCACGAGCAAATCCTCCTCCTGGTAGGGTCTACGAATCGCCACGACTACCAGCCCAACAAGTCAAATTCCAGCCACGACGACAGAAGGTCTACGGGCGACACAGCTTGGGGGAGGTGAAACGGAAGAAGCAGGAGACGTTAACACAGATTGGATTTGTCAACCTGTTGACCGATAAGGAAATCGATGAGGAGATTGAGACATACGAGAGGGAGGGGAAGACTCGAAGGAAGACGTTGACGCCTTCGTCCAAGTTTTATACGCAGACGCTTACGCAGCTGGATTTTGATTCTATGGCGAAAGTCAAGTGTAGGGATGCTGAGGTCGATGATGAAGATGAAGATGAGGAGGAGGAGGGGGAGCAGGAGCAGGAGAAGGAGCAAGCGCAGCAGGAGTCCTCCCCGGACAAAACCACCAAACCCTCACCATCCCAGGCGGCCACCACCCCAATGCCCCCCCCCAAAACCCCAACCCGAAAACGCACCCTCGAAGTGCCCTCCTCCCTCTCCCCCGCCACCCCGCTCTCCTCGCAAAGCATCACACACGGACTACGGATGCACGACCAGCCGTCGCCCCTTGGACGGCGCATCGGAAATACCAATCTCAACGTGCACACCTCGCCCATACCGTCCTCACCGAGCAAGTTGTCGCTCCCTCACCAATCCCAGATCTCCACCCAGGCAATCACGCAAGACTCACCACTCTCCCGCGTCCCGGACTCGAGCCCGTTTCGCCCACGACACATGACGCAGTCGACGCAGTCGACGCAGTCTCCCACTGCGCAGGTACTATCTGAATTCACAGCCGCCTCGACGCCGACGCCGCCGCCGCCGCGGAGGGTCGCGAAGACGGAGATCGCAGACTCAGACGCCGATTCTGAAGCCGACCTAGACAACTTAGACAACGACGATGAGGAGGGTGAGGAGGAAGAGGACGACGACTGCCTCGCCCCCCTACCGCCGCGCACACAACCACAACCACCCATCCAAGTCCCAAGCAGCCCCGACGCACTACTGCGACGCAGATGGGCAGTGACGAGTAGCAGTCCCCCACCGCGGCCGGGACTGGCGGTGAAAGAGACGGTGTTTGGGGAGGAGGTGGATGAGCTGGGGAGTCAGTGGACGAGGAGTCAGTTGTTGCCGGGGAGTTTGGGGATGGATAGTTTGCTTGCTTTGCCGCCTGGATGGGGGGAGGGGGGGGGTGGGAGTGAAGGGGGGGGGTGGGAGTGAAGGGGGGGGGTGGGAGTGAAAGGGGGGGGGACGTGAGGGAGGGAGGCAAGGGGTGAGGTGGACGTGGTGGGGATGTAAGGGATGAAGGAGGGAGGAAAGGGGGCCTGAGATGATGTCTCTTCCTTGGCAATTCCAAACTCTCCCATCCTGGAACGCGGCGTGGCGTATGTACCTATATCAACCTTATCCCCCCCTCCGTCTCAGAAACGCGGCTCTCGGCCCTACCACCACCACCACAATATCAAGCTATATAGACCTAGACGATACCCGCCCCAAAACATGTCTCTCCCATCCCTCCCCACCCCCAAGGCAAACCCCCCCCTGCGCTCGGAGCGAGAAAAAAAGTGGCTCTAAGCCCCCTCATTATGAAAACCCCTGCCCACCAGCCGCCATAGAGCCCAGACCATCTACGGAGGTGTTGTTCATAAGTTTTGTGAGTGGGTCATGAGATGACCGGGGGTTGGGCATGGGTTGGAGCATGGGTACGCGTAGGCTTGTTTGTACCTTTTTAACGCGTCAAAATTCCTACTATTGTATTTTATATGTAGGAAATTCATACTCTTTCAATAACTACAATGCCTCATCTTACTCGCGATGAGCGGCTTCGTTGCGCACTACTACGCTCCCTAGATTGGGAGTTCCAAAAAATTGCAGCCTATATTGGCTGCACGGAACGGCAGGCTTGGTATGCTTGCCAGGGCCCTCCAACTCCGAAGAAGCGTTCGGATAGGCCACTTATCCTATCCGATGAGCAAGTTCAAGAGGTTATTGAGTTTATAGCCTCATCTCGCACGAATAGGCGTATGCCATATACAAATATAATACGCATTCTTAATATTCCATGCTCACGGCTTGTCCTAACCCGCGCTCTGTCTGTGAGAGGCTATAATCGACGTAAGTATCCCTCTCTACTTTACTACTATATAGACTAATAATTATTAAGGGATTGCTATGCGGAAGCCTATTATCTCAGAGACAAATCGACAAAAGCGACTTTCATGGGCTATTGAACATAAGGATTGGGTACGGGATGATTGGAATAGGATACTTTGGACTGACGAGACGTGGGTAACGGGAGGCCGCCATACTCGTACATGGGTTACTCGAAAAGCAGGGGAAATGTGGGATGATACATGTGTTGTAGATAGAGTACAACGGAGAAGGTAAGAGACTCCTATTTACTATAGGATTTACTAACAATCCCTAGAGGTTGGATGTTCTGGGGCTGCTTCTCAGGTGGTCTTGGAAAGGGTCCTATACTATTTTGGGAGAAGGAATATGGGAAAATAGGAGCTGAGTCCTATATGGCTTATACTGTCCCTCTAATCCACGGCTGGCTACGCCTATACCCAGGCCTTACATTGATGCAAGATGGAGCTCCAGGTCATAGAGCAGCTGCAACATATGAAGAGTTGAGATCCCGTGGTATTTGCCCTATAGAATGGCCCCCGTATTCACCAGATCTCAACCCAATTGAACGGGTGTGGCATATTATGAAGAATTATCTACAAGATAATCATCCAGAACATATGTCCTACGACCAGCTCCGTGTAGCTGTTAAGGAAGCATGGGAGCAAGTTGGAGAAGCTGAGCTTAATGCTCTCCTTAATAGTATGCCTACACGTATGGCAGCAGTAATTGCTGCAAATGGTATGCACACAGAGTACTAGGCTTATAGTATAGTTTTATATAGGGGTTTAGGTATCTACTCTACTCATTATTCTACAGAATTGATTGCTCTCACACTCAAGTGTTCGTGACGCGTGAGAATCGGTACTTTGGCCAGAATTGCCAAACCAGCCTACGCAGGGGGCCCTAGCCCGACCCACTCACAAAACTTATGAACAACACCTCCGTATCGAACCTATCTCATCGCGTGGTCAGCCAAGCTAGGTAGATACAGGACCCCTAACCTAGCCTAGGCCGGCACGGATGCGCTGCACATGCTAAACCAAAGGCAGTCGGTCGTCGGGACGAGCGACATAGCCGTCACTGCAACTCTCCGTGGCGCTGTTCGTTGTTCGTGGGTAGTCTCCCGTTTGCTTGTCAGTTGTCAAGCGGGCCTAGCTGTTACCACTACCACAGTACTGGTTCCCATAGAAAAAGACGAAAAGACGAAAAGACGAAAAGACCATTACCATCCCCCCATCACCATCACCATCCCCATATCCCCATCCCCATATCCCCATCCCCATCCCCACCATCCCCATCCCCACCATCCCCATCCCCACCATCCCCATATCCCCATCCCCACCACACACAAACGCCCCTCCCCCCAAGTACCGCCTTATCCCGACCCGTCCCCCCAAACCAGCCTAGCCCACACCCCTAGCGTCGTCCTCGGCTCTACTCGCTGCACGCGACAGCGCTAGGCCTTACTCGGGGACCAGTAGGAGTAGGGGTGGGTAGGGATGAAGGGAAGGGATGTAGGGAGAAGGGATGAAGGGATGTAGGGACTAGGGATGGCTAGGACTAGGGATGTAGGTGTTGAAAACAGCACTCGGGGCTTGGCACCAGGATCACCGGCTCCCCCGACATCGGTGCAAGGATATTAGTAAGATCTCTGTATTATATTAGGTTTAGTGGTTAGCATCAATGAAAAACTCTTTACACCCAAATGCATGTAGGGATAGGTTGGTTAGGGTTGCTAGGGTGTACCCCGTGCTAGGGGTGCTAGGGTGTACCCCGTGCTAGCTGTGCTACTGTAGGTATCCATATACCCAACTTTGGCAGCACACACATCCACACCCCCTTGTCGTCAAACGTGTGGAAAGGGCCGATTCCAAGCTTCATCTACCTGCCGCTTGGTGGCACTTGGTGGCACTTGGTGCCACCAAGTGCCACCAAGTGCCACCAAGTGCATCGACCCAGTACAGTAGCTCTCTCCGCTTCCCTCTGATTTCCCTCTGCTTTCCCTCCGCTTCCCTCTGCTTTCCCTCTGCTTTCCCTCTCTCACCTTAGTACTCCTCTCCATCCAGTATAGCTCACATCCTTGCCGCTAACGAAAACGTAACATGTGGCTGGTGCTGGGGTACGCTAGCTAGGTACCTTTCGACCCCCCTGACCCAAGCACAACGTGAACGCGCTCCTCGTTCCTGAACCCTTCCTAACCCTGAAACTTATATAACAACAACAACCACCCTGCACCACAACACTACTGATCTTCTTCTTCAGCTTCGTTCATCAACAATCAACAATCAACAATCATCAATCATCAATCATCAATCATCAATCATCAATCAACAAGCTCGACCTCACCAAACCCTCCTCCTTCCCCTCTCTTACCCCCCTCCTTCCCCTCTCTTATCCCCCTCCTTCCCCTCTCTTCCCCCCTCCCCCTCTCCCCCCCTCCCCCCCTTTGTCTCTATCAAGAACCTGTCACGACTGTCAACCCCCAAACAACAGCAGCAATGCCCGGCGATGGAGTTATTCATGGCACGACCGATACCGAGCGTATCGAGGCCCCCGTGACTGTCAAGGCCTATCTCATGTGCGCTTTCGCTGCCTTTGGTGGTATTTTCTTCGGATACGATACTGGATGGATGGGAGGCGTGCTTGCCATGCCTTACTTCATCCGCCAGCACACTGGCTTGAAGTACCCCGCCACCATCTTTGGCACCGACACCACCTCGGACGCCTACCTCACCTACAACAAGTCCTTCCACATCTCTGCCCATGATCAATCGCTCATGACCTCCATTCTGTCCTGCGGTACCTTCTTCGGTGCCATCGCTGCTGGTGACATTGCCGACTTCATCGGTCGTCGCCCAACCATTATCCTCGGATGTGGTATCTTCTCCGTTGGTGCCATCCTGCAAACTGCCTCCACCACCCTTGCCGTCATGGTCGTTGGCCGTCTGATTGCTGGCCTCGGTGTCGGCTTCATCTCCGCCATCATCATTCTGTACATGTCCGAGATCGCGCCCAAGAAGGTCCGCGGTGCTCTCGTGTCCGGTTACCAGTTCTGCATCACCATTGGTATTCTCCTTGCCAACTGCGTCGTCTACGCCACCCAGAAACGCGATGATACCGGATCCTACCGTATCCCCATCGCCGTGCAGTTCCTGTGGGCCATCATCCTCGCGACTGGTCTCTTCTTCCTGCCCGAGTCCCCCCGTTTCTTCGTCAAGAAGGGCAAGCTCGAGCAGGCCGCCAAGGCCCTCGCCTCCGTCCGTGGCCAGCCAGTTGACTCCGACTACATCCAGGACGAGCTCGCCGAGATCATCGCCAACCACGAGTACGAGATGCAAGTCATCCCCCAGACCACCTACCTCCAAGGCTGGGCCAACTGCTTCCACGGCTCTATCACCAAGGGCTCCTCCAACGTCCGCCGCACGATCCTCGGCATAGTCCTCCAGATGATGCAGCAGCTCACCGGTATCAACTTCATCTTCTACTTCGGAACCGTCTTCTTCACCTCCCTCGGCACGATCAGCAACCCCTTCCTCATCTCCCTCGTGACCACCCTCGTCAACGTCCTGAGCACCCCTCTCGCCTTCTGGATCGTCGAGCGCTTCGGTCGTCGCCGTATTCTCATCATCGGCGCCACTGGGATGGTCATCGCCCAGTTCATCGTCGGTATCATCGGTGTCACCGCTGGTTCCCCAGACAGGAACAACCAGGCTGCCGTCAAGGCCATGATCGCCTTCATCTGCATCAACATCTCCTTCTTCGCCACCACCTGGGGCCCTAGCGCCTGGGTCGTCATCGGCGAGATCTTCCCTCTGCCAATCCGCTCGCGTGGTGTCGGTCTCTCCACCGCCTCCAACTGGTTCTGGAACTGCGTAAGTCTAAAATCCCACAAACAGCAAGAAAACAAAATACTAACAAACTCCCAGATCATTGGTGTCATTACCCCATACCTGGTCGGTACCGAGAAGGGCCAGGCCAACCTCGGCGCCAAGGTCTTCTTCATGTGGGGCGCCCTCTGCTGCATCTCCCTCGCCTTCGCCTACTTCCTCGTCCCCGAGACCAAGGGCCTCTCCCTCGAGCAGGTCGACAGGATGCTCGAGGAGACCACCCCGCGCACCTCCAACAAGTGGGTCCCCCACTCCACCTTCGCCGCCGAGATGCACCTCGCCGACAAGGGCATCGTCATCGGCGATCGCCCGGCGACCGCTCCTCGCACCGAGAAGGTGGAGGTCGTCACCTCTGCTAAGGAGGATGTTTGAGCGTGCGTTGCGGGAGGGTTGTGTTAGGCCCCGTCGAGGTTTCTGCTGTCCCGATCTCTTTGGGCACGATCGATGATGGGTGTCACCCCCTCGGGGTAGGAAGTATGATATGGATGTGTAAAGGGGTTTTACTAGCGTTTTAGTTAATGGAGATGGAGAGAGTTAATGGATCCTCCTTCTTGAAATTCTTTTGGTTTTGTTTGTGTGTGTGTGTGTGACTGTGACTGTGACTGTGAGTGAATGGTGTTGGTGACGGTGATGGTGATGGTGATGGTGATGGTGATGATAATGGTGATGGTGATGATAATGGTGATGGTACGTGATCCACCCCTACCTTGGCTTCGTCACCGGCCATATTGTGATAGATCGTTACCGCGGCGAGAGGGGTAAAGTCCACGACACCTTGATAGAAGTGCCCGAGATCGAAGCCCAGTGAAGGACCGCTTTGAAGTGTTCGAACTTCGCATCTTGGTAAGTTTTTGTTTATGTTCAGTTTGAAAATGTTGGCAAAGTCATCGACTTGTAAGGAGGGGTGTGTGGGACGCGTCCCTATCTACTTATTTGGGCATCACCGCGCTGGATGGATATGGACTGGTCACGTGGGAGGGAGGGGGGGCCGGATGAGAATCTATTCGCTGGCGGCGTCGAGGGACCCGCATCAGAATCTATTTGGCAGCGGCGGCGAGGGGGTCCGGATGCGAGTCTATTCGGCAGTGGCGGCGAGGGACCTGCATAAGAATCTATTCGGCGACGGCGAGCTGGCTGTTATCATCCCTCGTCTTCCTGCAGAGGGGCGTATAGAAAATCTCATTGCAAAGTGGCTGGCAGCGTAGACGACACGAGCATCGCTCTTGTCTTCTCTCCTTTTATTTCCTTCCTTAGTTCCTTCCTCTCCTCCTCTCTTTCGCTCCTTTCATCCTTTTTTCCTCCGAATCTTTGCTGCTTCGCTCCTTCCAGACTTCGCTCCTTCCCCCTTTATCCCTTGCGATCGTTCCTTCCTTCCTTCCGCCCTTTTTGACCCCCGCTCTTTCTGGTCTCCTCTCGTTCGTTCCTTCCCCTCTACATTCTTTCCCTCTTATTGCCCTTTGTTCCTTCCTTCCTTCACTCTTTCCCCCTTTTTCCTATTTTCATCATTCGTTCCTTCCCTCTGCTCTTTCCGGCCGCCACCCGTTCGTTTATCTCCCTCTGCATTCTTTCCGTCCCGTGCCCTTTGTTCCCTCCTTCACTCTTTCCCACTGCTCTTCTGTCCTCCGCTCTTTCCATTCTATTGCGTCATGGTAACGAGTAACACCCCCTCTTCTATAGGCTGAAGAACATAGCCTAGACGATAAGCACGCATATTCACCATCTCAAAGCTATCATAGCAAGCTATATCTTCAAAATGATATATTGACGTCGCTATGGGATCCTCGCACTATCTAACCCAAAGTGACCACATACAATCCACAACCTTTAAGCCTTCCCTAGGATATTTTCCTCAAACACGCTAATGGTATGGCCGGTGTTGTAGTTTTGAATCTTTCTACGTGTCAGTTCGTTGTATGTGGATGCGGGGCCAAAGACGAGTTACCTCATACCGCGGCTGGGCCGCGCTGGCATTAACGCTCATGTTGGCCTGCAGGCCAGGCTCCATGAGGATATCGGTGATGATTCCGGTGCTCTCTGTGGCTTCGGCGTTGCCGCCTTGGTGGGGAGTTAAGTGGTTTGACTGTGCTGTGTGGCTCTAGGGGTCCATACCGGCCATTGGCCTATAGAATACCACCTGTCCGTTCTCGTACTTTGGATTTCCCATTTTGTTTGACTGGGAGTTTGGAAGTCGTTAAATGGAAAGGGTGTAGTTGGGGATTGTAAGAGGTCGATATAACAGAAGATCTACCTGGTGGGAACGACGCCTTTTTAACCCATTAAAACAGAGTTTTTGAGTAGTGTCAATGATGGCTCTATATGATGCCATGACAGGCACAGGGCTCCTGTCATTTGTCCATTTCTCCAAGATCAAGTTACGCTCTAAAAGAGGAGTATTCAAATGTCCCAAAGACTGGTAGCGTACCAAGGCCGCATATGAACAAAATCCATGGCGTCACTACTGATAATATAGAGTATGTGGGCCGGCTGTGCTTTAATTAGCAGTGTACTTTACATCAAATATGAACTAACGAAAGGCACGAATCGAATAACATCCAGCCACGACTACAATATTCAAGCCATTGCGAATAATATCCCTCCATCCAAAGCGACCCTGCCGTTCAGTTCCTGGACCGCCCGCCACAGATGTTGGATACTGCCGCACCCAATCCAGCAGGCGGTACGAGCCGCTAAGATAAGCCTTCCCAGCAACACCAAAAACCCCGATAATAATTTCACAACGCCGAAATATTCGTGACAGCTCTTCGTCCGCCCAATCCCACCCACATATTAATTCCTTGTCAGGTTCGAACCGCTCGCCATTCGCCATGCTGAAACGGAAGCGCGAAGGCAACGCTAGGGGCCCTGGAGGCGGGGGCGCTGAAGGGATGGGACAGCGTAGAGGAGAGGTGGAGGAGAAGCTGGTGCATGGGAAGAAGATGCTTAATCGGGCGCTGAAGACGGCGAAGGGGTTTGAGTGGCAGAAATTGGTGAAGCGGATTACGAATGCGAAGGCGGAGGATGCTGCTGGGCAGGTAGTTAGGTTGGAAAGGGAGCTTAAAGTGTTGAAGGTAGGGCTTTCGTACCCGTTTGATACCAGGAAAAATTGTTGCTGACTGGAGGGACAGGATCTCGAGATGCAGGCGCTGGCAGATGCGCATGTGCATAAGACGCTGTTGAAGTCGAAAACGATCGCGGAGTCGGGATTACTGCCGGATTATGTGAAGCCACCAGTGCGAAAAACTGGATCGGAGGAGGATATACTTGCTATGGATAATGTGACGGCGAGGCTATATAATACGAAGCCGGTGAAGGAGAACATGACCCATATTATGACGAGCATCTATGCAGTTACGGGAATACCGAACCCAGCGAATAAGCCGAAGTTAAAAGGGGAAGAGGCCAAGGAACCGCCGGCAAAGAAGATGAAGAGAGACGATAAGGATGCGGCTACGAGAAGGAATACAGAGAAGTTGGTGGCTGATAAGAAGGAGAAAAAGGAGGTAGAGCCGACTTGGGAAGGGTTTGATTCCGGATCTGAGTCTGATGGAGAATCCATCGACTTCTCGAAATACGAAGGGCGATTGGGCGGGTCGTCAGACGATGACAGCTCTTCCGATAGCGCGGAAGAGCTGAAGAGGCCGGCAAAGCCAGTAAAGAGAACAATTAAGTCAAGAGGGATTTCGGTGTCAGTGTCGGGATCGGATGACGAAGGCGAACCAGAGGAATGGCTTGAATCCGACGAAGAAGAGGATTCGGACGAAGATGACGACGATAATGTCATAGAGCGATCTCACTCTCCACCTACGCGGGAGAAAAAGAAGCAACGTGAGCCACCGAAGCCGTTAAAGCCTGGATCACAATTCTTACCCACGTTAATGGGTGGCTATTGGTCCGGATCTGAGGAGGAGGCTACCGACGTAGAGGACGAGGTTGCGCCAGCTCCAAGAAAGAACAGACCGGGCCAGCAAGCGCGTCGCGCTATTTGGGAGAAGAAGTTTGGAAAGGGGGCGAACCATGTTAAAAATGCGCCGCCACCAAAGGAGAAGGATGTTGTTTGGGATGCTAAACTTGGCGCGGTATCTTCTGAGGGCTCTGGTAGAGGAAGAGGTAGGGCTGGATTCACTCGGAACAGGTCCCAGGTTACAGGTGAGAACGCTTCTGAGCTTGGGCCGAGGAAACCACGGGGACTGGGGAAGAAGGATGATGTGGGGGTCCTGCATCCTAGTTGGCAGGCGGCGAAGAAGGCCAAGGAGGAGAAAAAGGCAGCCAAGTTCGAGGGCAAGAAGGTCGTCTTCTAGAGAAGTTGTGGAAAATATATTATTATCATTTCATCTCCTCCTATACCCGGCCCGCCATTGGATTATTCCCGTGGCGAGGACGATCAGGTATTAACACATGAACTATTAGATGAACAGCCGGCCCACCCAAGCTGGATCCCAGAGCGGGCCCATTGCGTAGAAGGCGGGACATGGCACGCAATGCTGGGCCTAGGTGGTAGAACCCTAGAGCGCATGCGACGCGGTGGCTCACCTCGTCGATAGGCCGCAGGAGAAAGATCAAGGCTATAAGATTGGTTCAAAGGAGGAGGAGTGCGTATTGTCGAACTAAGGCTTTGGCGGAGGGAGAGGAGGTAGCGAGCCGGAGTTCCTGTGATGGATTGACGTGGAGGAAGCGGATCATGGCCTGGTATCGGCACATAAATCCATAGGCGCGGCAGTCGTTCAAATCGCAGCACAACAATAACTACTGTAATACTGTAACTATTGCTCTCATGATATCGGTATGCTATGTCCGTGAAACTTTAGAAATGCAAGGATGCCCATGTGCGTACTCTCCAACGTGAGGATTTTCCCGAAAATGTGAGACATGCGATGATTGTGTTCGCTCTATTCGCAAAACTCGACCCATCGTCGCCATGATAATCAACCCCACCAATCCTTCCAGGCCTCTTGCCCAAACCCCTCTCCTTAGTTCTGAATTTCTCCACCTCAGCTGTCTTTAGTTCCCGACCCGCCATCATGCCGCGCGGGTTTCATGGGTTATGGTCTGCGCCACCATATACCTCAGCCGCACACAATAGCTTCTTATTAGCCACGATTCATAACTTCGACGTCAGTTAACATAACCCGATGCCATAAGAGAAATCTCTATGGAGAATGTCGTTGCATTGTCGGGGACCGACGCTTTTCGTAAACACCGGCCGTTCAGCATTGCGGCCGGTGCAAACATGCACGACCAGGGGAGAGTGGCCATGGCTCAGGCACGTTTGGCACGTTTGAAGACCTCGGCCTCGCAATAATTGGCCTTGGGGTGGAATATCCGGCGTTCCAGCTCACCCCGCCAGATCTCAGGACTCTTGCTAAGCGTCATTACCGGGACTCTCCTGCGTACGTCGCCCCTGGGCATTGTCAGACACTACTAACTTCCTAGTATGTCAAAAGTCATGACGATTAACGACTACACCGGCATCGACACGCGCTCCTCGATAGGCACCATCGACAATCCACTGGTGAATAGGAGAAAGGCACCAGCCAAGTTTTATTACATGGCGTTGGCTGCGCGGGCGGGCTTGCGGCGCTTAGAACGGCTGCGAATATTGCAACGGGCTCTAATTTTCGGCGGAGACCGGCACGAATACTTGTAATGGCCCTTGAAATATGTACCTTTTTTGTCCGGAGCGAGATGGATAGCATTGACAAATTTCAAGAAACGAGGATAGGCGTCTCACTGTTCAGCGACTGCGCCAGCGCGTTGGTTTTGAGCAACGGGATTGGAGCTGGATGTGTCGAGGAGCCGGTATATGAACTGCTGGGTTGGGATCATAAGATTATCCCCGATATTGACCGATGAGCCATTAGGTGAGGCATTTTGTAGAAATTTAACTGGCTGGGTATTGCGCATACTGACGGATCATAGGGTGGAAAGTGGTACTCTCACCTCGAGTTCCTAAGATTGCCGAGGCAGGTGTAGAACCAATATTCTGAGACCTCCTGTCATCAGTACGTGGTCTTCCTCCTACCTACAACACGTCGGAATCCTTCGACTGGGCCATGCACCCCGGTGCTACAATCCTCTCTGGCGTAGAGAAAGCTATGGGGATAACGCCGGAGCACATGGGCGCCTCATATGATATTTACATTAACCACGGAAACAGCTCCGCAGCAACAATCATAAGCGTCATGGATCGTCTACGGCATAAAGATATGGATATATGTGCCCCAGACGGAAAGGTCAAAGATTACGTAGGGGATGCGCTTTTGGGCCAGGGATGGCCGTCGAGATGTGTATGCTGAAAAGAAATTTGAGTCGTCGAGGAGAACCGCTGCCAACTGGGGTAATAACACCGCCAGAGACGGAAAGCGAAGAGAGCAGGAGCGATGGCAAAGTTGAGCTAAGTTTGAGCGAAATCTTAAACGGGGTTGATCTTGACTGAGTCGAAGCCTGGCTGCTGCTCGTGCCATTCAATGCAAAAGTCGTGTATAATAGCTAGAGTATACAGCAACTGTGATTAAAATAAAGGCGCTCAATTACTCGGAGTCATAATTGCCATATATGGCCACTTCAACAAACTAGTTACCTAGAAATGGAACCAAAGAAGGAATACGGATCTGCTTGATTCCGATGTTAGTTCTCAGCTAATCATGGTTCCTCATCGGACCCTTGGGCGGCACGAGGATTGTGGACTTGAGAGTTATCGATATGGGTCGGCTGGCTCTTGAATGGTTCCTTGGATTGTTGAGTCAAAATTCCTTTTAAATACCCTGAAGTACAATCTAGAGGTGTCACAAGAGTAATAATCTACTGTATACTAGGAGCAGCGAATCATAGAAAACTACATACATACGAATCGTATCATACAATTCTTCGACTTTTCCATCCAGGTTGAAACCGGTTTTGCAGCTTCCACTCTGCCAGTCCCGAGGTTCGGCACCAATGAGTTTCTATGAAACATTATTTCAGGCTATAATTCATGTGTATGCCTTTCTTCGCAGTATACTCAAATGGGTGCCTTTATCCTAGATTCCGAAACGGCGATCTATCCTTTGGGACTCATTCTGCCAATAGATCTACCGGAAATGCTTATTTTGCCACGATGCAATTAATCCAAGATCGCTCGTGGGTCGCGGGGTATTCTACGGGGTAGACTATATAACAATGGAGAGATGTACGCCTTTGAGGGGGTTTTCGGCTTCAAGAAAGAGTTTCTAATGCAACTCCACTAAGATGTTTAATAGCCACTTTCTAGTCCTTGCCGTTGCCTTCGGCACAGCATGGTTCTTCCTGCCGGTGGCAGGTAGCGTGCTACCTAAAGGTCAGATTGGTGAAAGTCGCCAGGACACAGGCAATAAGTGGATGGATACATGGACATCGATGCCCCAGCTCGTGGAACCGGGCAACTTACCCCCTTTACCATTCGTAAGAACCCAAAGAAAAAAAACTCAGGCAGCCGAGAAGCATTCTAACTATTACAGTAGACACCACAGAGTGTCGTTTTTAACGAAGCAACACTTCACCAGACTCTCCACGTTTCCATTGGAGCTGATAGGATCAGACTACAAATCTCAAATACTTTCGGCGGCAGCGACCTCCCAATCACCGAAGGTGCCATCGCTCTTCCTACTGTCATCGAGGCGTCACCGATAGCCAGTCTGACTTGTAACGGAGCTACGTCGGTAACAATCCCGAAGGGCGAAGTGGCATACTCAGACCCGATTGATTTTTCAGTTGCGGCCGAGTCGATGCTTACCTTAACCCTCTATCCTGCTGCTGGGCAGCCTAGAAACAGCATTACGGGTCATCCTGGGAGTCGGACTATGTCTTGGATGCAAGAAGGCAACCAAGTAAATGCAACTAGCATAACTGGATCGAGCGTCGCTCGTTGGTAATGACTAGCCCCAATATACACCTTACTTATTACTAGCCTGATAACTAATTCGTTGCGCAGGTATTTCGTGAGTGGAGTAGAGGCGTGGGTTCCAGCCGCTTCGAGCAGTTTTATCATTCTCGGCGACAGCATCACCGACGGCCGTGGCAGTGACGAAACAAGAATAATCGGCAAATAACATCATGTCATGTTTCCCGACTAAAAATTAACTTCCAGCAGCTGGCCGGACTTGCTCCTTGCACGGATTCAGACAAACCAACTCACCGAAATAGGAGTTGACAACCAGGCCGCAGGAGGCAACCGCGTCCTCCAGGGCCTCGGTCCCAGCCTAATCAGCCGGTATAAGCGTGATGCTATTGAGAAAGAATGCGTAAAATACATCATGATCTTTGAGGGCGTCAATGACATTAGAACGGCAGGGACTAACCAGAATACCCGAACTCGACTTGGAGACAAGCTCATATCTGCGTTCACGCAGATCGCCAATGGTGCACGCGCCGCTGGCATTCTCATCTTTGCTACGATCACGCCGTTCTCGGGACCAGGGCAGTCGTATTCTGACCCTACTCGTGAGGTAACACGGCAGAGGGTTAATGGTTGGTTCACATCAAGCGGGCTGTTTGATGCCGTTGTTGATTTCGATGCGGTCGTTCGCGATCCGGCGACTCCTTCGCAGTTGGCCCCAGAATACAACGGCGGAGACTATCTCCACCCTAATGTCGCGGGGTATCAGGTTATTGCGGATGCGTTTCCGTTGGATATATTTACGGCTGCGGCTAGCAAACGTGCCGTATAGATTACTCTATTTAAAGCTGCCATTTATGGACAATATATAGATGCAATATAAATAAGTGTTGACCGAGGATGGTCACTGTTGGGGCATCGATGCATTGAATCGTATTGGATTGATTGATTGATTGAAGAGCATCGTAAGGATGTTCTTCTTCTGAAGCTATATAGTGATGCAGCTGATGCAGGAGCGACGGCGTTGTGTCGCCTAATCGGGAAACCACGCCCTGGCTGTTTGAGTCCAACACGCCCTTCCAGATTCATCAGTATTGGAAGCAATTTGTGAGAGAAAGTATGGATCTGTAGGCAATGACTCTATCATGTGCAATTTGACCGTAGTTTTCCAGCGTCATCGAAGTGAGTATCCTGTAGATCCACCAGTCCAAGCTGTCGCACGAATTCTTCATGCTTTTGGCGTGGGAGCTCCTTGGTGAACCCATCAGCTGGCATTTGGCTAGTCGGCACCCATTCAGTCTTGAACGTTCCCTTCTGAACTTCTTGACGCAACCATGACTGGTGCACGTCGACATGGCGTAGTTTGGTCACCAGTTTTGGGGTCTCCCGGTTGAGGAGTCGAAGTGTCTGCTGGTTGTCGCAGAGAATAGTGAATGGTTCGTCGAGTTCGAAGTGTATGGCCTTGAAGAACCGCATCCACCACATGAGTTCGCCAGCAGTGAGTTATAGAGCTAGAAGCTCAGCTTCCGTGCTAGAAGTAGTCACGGTTTTCTGTTTCGTAGCCCTGTAATGGATGATGCCGCCAAATAGGGTAAAGATATAACCTTGGGAGCTGAACCTAGTGAGTAGGTTATCGGCGAATGAAGCATCGCTTGCACACAAGAACAGGCGCTTGTAATCCTTGACCCTGCCATTATACAAAATAGCATAATATTTTGTGGCGTCTAAGTAAAGAATAGTCTGGTCGACAGCGAAGAGGTGTTCTCTTGAGGGGTTCTGTAGAAATTCGGACAACTTTGAGACTGCCCTAGCAATATCTGCGCGCGTTATGACGCTAGAGTAGTTGATGGAGCCCACCTTCTGTTGATACTCATATATCTCATTCTTCGAGGCTTGTAGAGAGTTAGTCATGAGTGGAGTGGTTGGTAGTGGTGTTTTGGGCTTCGTCTGGTGCGGTTTGACGTTGTATTTTGCTACTATCTTAGAAATGTAGGCATCCTGAAGAAGCCAGACCTTTTTTGATGCTCTGTCCCGAATCACTCTAATACCAAGAAAGTGGTCGATCTCTCCAAGCTTTCTGAACTCATATCTCTTTAAAAGCTTAGCTTCAAAGACACTCATTTTAGGAAGGTTAGCTGTACTACAAAAGAGAATGACATCGTCCACATAGAAAAGGAGAGTGAGCCAGCCATTCGTGAATAAACAGTTCACTCCCGGGCGAAAGGCCCAGATCTGCCAGAGTAGCTGTGAACTCCCTATACCAAAGAAGTGGTGAGACCTTAAGACCGTACAATGCCATGAGCAGCCAAACTGCACACCCAAAGTTTTCGAAGCCGTCTGGGCATCTGCAGAGGATAGGTGGGTCAAGTGTTGAGTTGGCGAAGGCGTTAACAGCGTCATATTGCCATACTTCAAGGTCAAAGTAGGCAGCAATGGCCATCATAATAAACCTAAAGGTTTGTGCAGCCAGTGTTGCTGCATACGTCTCATCCGTGGTTTCCTGTAGATCTCCGCGTGTGCAGAGTCTGGCCTTGTGCTTGATCAAGAAGCCATCAGGATCGAATTTGTATGTGAAAACCCACATAAGCGGTAGTGGTTTTTGTTCTGAGTAGCCTGAGTCGACGTACTCAAAGACTCTCTTGCGAAGAAGGTCATCATGTTCTTTCTGCGCGGCGACCCTGAATTCTTCAGCGTGTGGATGGGCCAGCATCTCCCTCCAATTCCTTGGTGTTGTAGGAAGGTTATCCCTATGAATCTTTAGCTTGGGCATCGCCCTTCCAGCTGAGAACGCAGCGTAGAATGGTTGGAAGCTGGTAATAGCCTTAGTAGGGGGCTGACTGTGCGTTGCATAGGCTGACCGTCGCGTTCTCCCGCCAGGAATGATGTTGGCTTCACTGAAATCAGAGACATTGCATGATGGTTGTCCTCCTTCAAGGTGGTAGCTGGTTGGTACGACGAGATCTTCAGAATCTCCGTTATTAGATGCATGTAGCTGGGGCTGAACATGAATCTCTGGCAGTGGTGAGAGTGATGCTGCTAACTGGGGAGATAGCATCGACTGCGGAGATGGAGTCAATTGCGGAGACAGCAATTGGTCTTGGTTTTGGGGCTTGGAATAAGCTGGTTTTGACTTAACAGGCTTCCGTGAAGCTATAGCTCCCTACTTGACATTTGGTCGGGACGAGGCGTTTCTGGCCAGCGTTGCTCTTCCCCCACAAATGTTGGAGAGGCACTGAGAGCGTCGCCGACGCAATTGTCAGGGAGGTTTCAAGGTGGAATCACATATTGGTGACTGTCTTTGCTTATTGGGTTGATATGAGCGAAGCTGCAGAATATTTCTGAGCGTCGTGCCAATTTTATAAGCGTTGGGATAACTTGAGTGGTGACTACCCCCCCTGCACTGAGCTATTTCCCATGCCAGGGGCGCGGTAAAACTGTCTACGGAGGTTATGTTCATAAGTGCCACCCTCATCAACCCCATGTGCCGCCTCCATCTCCTCCAGCGTGCCACAGGGTGTGCTACGCGAAGAGCCATGAGGACGGCAAGACAGATCGCCGTACATCATGAAGGCGCTACATGACTGCAACAATGGCGGGCATGTTCTTTTCAGGGAGGGGGTTCGGTTTTTCATAGGCACCGCAATGGATTTGACTTTCTTAAACCACATTGACCTCGGTACGAATCATAACAAAGTATTCTGAACATCTAAACTAACCCAATTGCAGACATCCAAGGACAGTGGCTCTTCTCCAAATGACACCGACTACTGGCAAGCCAACTCCTTCCCATTCGTCTTCCAGAACGTAACCTCGTTTTTCAAACTGGGCGGCAACGACGTCAACATATACGGTGGCGGAACGATCGACGGCAACGGACAAGCCTGGTATGATTTATATGCCAAGGACATCTACACTCTTCGCCCGGTCCTCTTCGGCATTGACGGTCTCAAGAACTCGATATTGAGCGATTTGGTACTGCGTTATTCGCCAGAGTATTATCATTTCGTCGCTAATTCCAGCAATGTTATTTTTGATAACATCAACATTGAGGAGGAAGTAACAGTGCAAATCCAGCGAAGAACACGGATGGCTGGGACACCTACAGGAGTACAGATATCACGATTCAAAATTCTTACATCGTTAATAGTGATAGTAAGCAAACTTCCCTCCTACCACCTCCAACAATCTAATGACAAGTGAAGATTGCGTTGCGTTTAAACCAAAACAGCACCAACATCCTGGTCCAAAACCTCGTCTGCACCGGCTCCCATGGCATCTCCGTCGGTTCTCTGGGCCAATATGTTGGCCAATTTGAGTGAGCATCTCCAAATTGTCGTACCTTAAATCAATACTAAAATACTACAGCATTGTCGAAAATTTCCATGTCTACAACATATCTATGACCAACGCCTCCGACGGTGCCCGTATCAAGGTGTGGCCGAACACTCCCCCCGCCCTCTCTGGGGATCTCAAAGGTGGCGGTGGTTCAGGCAGGGTTAGCAACATCACCTATGACACCATGTACATCAACAACGTCGACTACGCGATTGAATACGACCAGTGCTACGGTCAGAAGAATCTTACCCTGTGTCTGGGATACCCATCCCCTCTTACAATCACCGATATCGTGTTCAAGAATTTCATTGGGAAAACAAGCACAAAGTAGCCGCAGATTGGTACGTTTGCTTGCAGTTCAAGTACGGTGTGTAATGGTATTGTGGCGAGCGATATCAATGTCGTGAGCCCAGGAGGCAAGAATGAGGCCTATTGCTTAAATTAGATGCGGCATGTACGAATGTTTTTAAGGGGTTTAATTAGCGGGTGATGCATTTTGAATGATGCGGTGCCCATTTTCAGATAGAGCAAATGGATATTAACGTTGTTTTCACCTGTATTAAGGCGTGGACTGATATGGATCATGATGGGGTTAGATTAAAAAATATGAACGATGGCGTCTCTTTCCTATTTAATTACTTCCTCTATACTTAATCAAGGCAAGCCATACTGCACACTCCTAAGTGATCCCATCTACTAGCAAAACAGCGAGACAGTTCTGTGAAATTTCTCTGCGTAGCGTTGGAAATGCATCCGGTGCCCGAGCCGGACGTCACAGATTCGACACTCCGTAGGCTCGTTAACTCTAAGTCTCCTAACGTGCTTTCTCATAAAGTGCCTCGTTGCTCCTGACAGTCGGGCTGTGACACGAGACCATTTCACAATACATGAAAGATTATTAATTGATGCTGATTGCGTAGGAGTCAACTTCCCGGGGCGTCGGGGGTCGATCAGCTAGCTTATTAAACATGCGAACCTCATTAAAGCCTTCTGTGATTCGAGTCCGCGATATATATTTTGGACATCCACATTAATATTCCGATCAAGGTAGGTTTTAAGGAAGGTGTCGATACTCGCATGCTGCAAGATCAAGTTTAGTGTAAAAATGAGCAACCATTCATCCCGCAACAGCTCCTCTGCCGTCAATATATCTCCTGGAACTAGCAGCACTATCCTTCGCACAAACACTTTGTCTTCTTTGAAAACTCCAATGCTCTTTATGACCTTAGATAGCCTGTTCCATATCACTGGCGCCGCCATCTCCTATGCTCCAGACAATCCAATTCCAAAGCACGTTTTTAACACCATAGGTATCACCACCCTATTTACGAGGTAGAGGCCATTCTTCAAAGAATACAGTTAAGCTCCGACTCATCGAGCATGACATCACACTTGTATGTTCCTCACCCTTGTACGGCTTCAACGAGACCGTATGTAGTCGAGTGCAATCTCGCAGCATCTCACAGAGGTCGAGGATATTGTCACACATCCTCAAGTCCGCGGCGACCTGCTTTCGCCCTTCATAGTGGTCGAGTGGTTCATCGTTCCATTGAGGTGGATTTTGCTCGAACGATCCATAGAAGAGCATCAGCGACGGTAACCGTTCATCCGAGGTGTCCTCCTTCAAGAACGCCTTTGCCTCATGTAATATGCACCGAGTATTCCACCAAATCGAGGGACTACTGGCTATGTAACAATCGAACATCTGCGGGCATGTAAACAGAACGTGGAGGACAAATAACCCCCCATATGAATGACCATAGATAGCTTCTCTCCAGGAAGTCGTTTGTGGGAATCTCGCCTTGACTGCCGGCCGAACCTTACTATCGATGAAATCGATAAATGCATCCGCACCTCCGCACTTCGGTACAGGAGTTTGTGTAGGTGGGGTTAAGTCGAGGCTGCGACGGCGTGCGTCATATAGCTTTCCGCTCAGAGGATATCCGATGGCGACAATGATGCCTCCGCCAGCAAAGTGTGACGAGGCCGCGCGACGCCAGGCAGCTTCCGTCGCTGTCAAGAACAACGCGTTTCCGTCAACGACATATCTAGTTTCGGTCAGAGAATTATCTTGTGTAACTTTCAGCGGGCTCTTGCATGATGGGAAGCAGCTCGCTGTGAGAGGTGCGACCATGCTGCCAATGCAGTGGCCACGACACCTGGATCAGATATGTTTCACCGCGTTCATTGTCCAGATAGAACTGCTCCGAGTTGGGAAGCGCGATTGCAGTTGTCTCGCCACCCATTTGACGGCTGAATTGCATACTAGCGAAATAGCTTTTGTGAAGTCGGAGAATTGCTCTGGGTGTGGCGATGGTGAAAATGTCGCGAACGGGGAAGTTGTGTCCTGCTGTCCAGAGATTATTCCCGAGGCTGATGCTGCACTACATAAGTTCCCCCCTCCCCCTCGGAGAATCGGATCCGCATCCGTCAGGCCCCATTTAAGGATATGGTCGGCTTAACGTTGTCAGGTCAAGTGTGGCCGTGCCTCTTCGCGCCTTCCGATATCGCTTCTCCGCTCTAGGGGCTTGGCAGAATCTGATAACAGTTAAAGTTATCAGATTCTGCGGGATTTTTATCCGAGGCCTATTAATCACGACAGGGTAGAATTTTCATTTACCGGATTTTTATCTGATCCGCCAGTGCATGTGGAGCTTTGACAAATACTAATTCCCACCGAATGGGTCTGGTTGGTTCATTACAGCATTGGCTCATTTAAGGAATTAACCAATCACTTAAATCTTGAGTTGCCCACCCCATTTTACACTCCATTTTACCCCGAAATTATGAATTTTGTAACTAAATATCTCAACAACTGTTTATTAGTAAATTATAAAAATGTATAAGTTAAGTTAATCATGAATATTCATGATTATGACTAGTTATGCTTACGTAATATTTGACTATTCGAATAGTCATGATTATTATGATTATTTGTGCTAACCCTGTATAAAAGGCTAAATATACATTTTTATAGTTTACTACAAAATAGTTGAGGAGATATTTAGTTGCAAAATTCATGATTTTGGGTGTCAAATGGGGTGGGCAACTCGTTCGTGTGGGCAACTCGTACGTGAAATACGTTGCTGTATCTAATTACTGTAATATAGTCTTCCTTGGGTACAGTATATCGCAATGAATTTAGAACACGTTACCCCTTGTCTGCGACATCTTCTTGACATTGATATCTCTGATCATAGCGACCGCGATGAAGCCCAAGACCATCACGGAGCAACCAGCAGCAAGCATTCTCGTCTGCGCATATCCGTAGGCTTGTTGGATTGCAAGTCGTTCGGGGGTTCCAACCTTATAGGTGAGCTGCACAGGTAAACTCTCATATATGGTTTGCAAGTCTGGCTGGGCAGATTCTGGTAGATACCGCCCGAGGGCCTTCTTGAACGTGTTCGTCCAGATAGCTCCAGAGACGGCACTGCCTATGGCGCCACCGATGGTGCCACTCACGAAAAGAAAAGCGAGCACCGAGGCGACGTATTGATGGTCGACGGTGGCTAGAACGGCCAGCTGGACGCAGAGAATGAAGACGGCCCCGGAGACGGAGAAGAAGATCTCGCACATGACGATGTAACCAATGTATCCGTTTGGCTGTCGGAAATGAATCATTAGGCCCAATGCGAAGACATACAGCGGGAGGCAGAACCAGAGGATCCATTTGAAGCGGCCTGTGACGCGGATGATGTAACCGGTAATAAACAGGAACACGAACGCGACAGCGCTAAAGGTGTTGGACACATATCCAGCCTCTGATATCGTTAGGTTGTTGACAACCATCAGAAAGGACGAGAAGTAGCTGGCGTAGCAATAGTAAGATATCTGGTAAGTGGCATCCAAGAGGCATGCACCTAAGACGGTCCGGTCAAGGAGGAAACGAGACTTAAGGAATGGCGTCGGAGCCACGTAAGTCTGGTAGAGAACGAAAAGACTTAGAAGGACAATGCCTACTACTATCATAGCAATAATGTAGCCTGTCTTCCATCCGTTAGGTGCGGTAGCAGCCAGGGTAAATGGCAGCAGGAATAAAACGAGACCACCGGCAAATAAGCTGACACCCGGTACTGTCGATTCCAAAACATGTCAGCGTTATGAATTTGTTGCAACGCAGGAATTTTTGGGCACTCACAGTCGAACTCCTTGGCGACATACCAGACCTGCTGTGGCAAAGTCCGGCCACTCTTTTCCTGGGTGATGATGCCTTGTTTCTCGGCTTTGCGAAGATTGTGGTTTAGTACCCAGTACAACGGCAAAGCCACGCAGGGGAAAATGATTGCCCAGCATCCGATTCCCCATTGCCAGCTAACATTATTGTAGAAGCCTTCGGCAGCTTTTGACCCGGCGAACGCCGTGATCACGGCCGGGGAAGAGGTGAAGGCAAATGCCAAACCTCGATTTCTCAAGTTCGTAACATCCGTGGCAATGACATTCCAGCTGTACGAAAGGCCCCCGAAGCCGACAGAGTAGAAGACCTATTAGTCTTTGTTAGTTTCGGCACACTAAGAGGCCGGATAGGGTATGAAATTTGTCTTGCCTGAGCAGCGCAATAGGTAGGAAGATTCTTGGATGCAGCCATAAGAATTAGACCCAGAGTGCAAAAGCACAGCATGAGAAGGAAACCCTCGGCTCTACCCCAGACGTCCAACAGCTTAGCCATAGGGATATAGACTGCTGCGGTCATCGCACTTGCAACGATTTCAATGACTGTTAAGAGCGAATGTGACTTCCAATCGCTCGTAGCAAAAGGAGTTAAGCTGCCGACAACGGTGGCTTTAAAGTTGTTGACCAGGGTGACGAGCCAGATACTATCAGCAGGAAGAATATCAGCGATGCAAATAGCAAGTTGGGGCAATGCTAGGACGTACAGTATTAGGACTCCAGCCAGCGATTTCTTCGACCAAGCCAGAGTCACGGCCTCTATTTTCTTGACGCCACTCTGCGCATCTCCACTAGGCTGTTCGTCTTTCTGGGCTTCTGAGTCGGATACCTTTTCTAGGGAGCCAGACCTAGCGTTCTGCTCGTTCGTAAGGTCGGCCAGAGTGTGTCCTTCCTCAATCGAAGAAGGATGCTTGGTGTCGTTGGGCGTGTTAACATCCATAATGCTATAAGACTCGTCCAGAACTGCCATTGGTCTCGAATAGATATAGATAGAGACGCAAGTTGTATGCAAGAGAGAGCTCTCAAATAAATATCGAGGGCGGCAAGCCAGGGTTCGGTTAGCTCCGCAGACGTCGCGTAGGACAGTCACTGGGATTACGCCCATGGAGATCTCGGGGTCGACATGATCCCGAGACCGGATGCTAGGAAGGCGAGTAGGGGTTAAAGATAAATTGATCAGTCACGACCTAGCCCCTTTCAAGTTAATACATGCTCAGCCCAGATTTTATTTCCACCGTACGCGCCGTGGTTGGTAATATCCTTGAGGGATGTTGGCTTGGGAGGTGACTTTGGTAGGGATCGTTGAGTCCACCAACATTGGCAAGGGGCTAAGACCCAAAGGCTGCATCTAATCTGATTGATCATTTGATTAGATATGGTTGCAAGGAAAATTTGCTGCCCGAAACGCTAATCAGATCCTAAAAGCGGGCCTGGCCAGCCCCGTTACGCAACCCGGTACACCACACAAAGAGGCCCGAGATATACCTGTTGGCCAATTCAACCGAGGTTCTCCACTCGTGACGTGTGATTTGACAGAAACGTTATGTATTGTGAGTAACTATACTCTACGAGTTTGCACTTTGTTCCCAGCCTCACTAGGATCATGTTGTTCGTCCATTCCGAGTCCATTTCGTCTCGTGTGCTTATTCCTTGCTAGGATTCGTCAAACTCTACCCGATCAATACCCGCATCATGACGGCCCAAAAGCGTCTAACTATACACCCTCTTGTGCACGCATGTTCTGCACAAGTGGCTGCGTATGGTGCGGAGGCTCGCTGTGCTTGTCGCGTTGCGTCTTCCATTCGTCCTTGGTGATAACATATTCCACTTCACCATCCTCGATTCCAGGAGGAGGGTTATCGTACTTGGTATGGTAAGTGCGAACTTTCGTCATGCCACAAGATGCCATTGTCGCCTGAGAACCAGCATTAACTGACATGGTGTCTCCAGCCACTTCCTTCAGGCCTAGGTCTTGGAAGGCATGCATCAACAGCTCGGATGAACCTTCCTTCGCGTACCCTTTCCTCCAAAACCTCGGCAAGAGTCTCCAGCCAAATTCCGCTCGCTCCCTGTTGTATTGTGGAGGTCCATCTTGTCCTGCATTACTTTGGGATGGCGCGAGAACCCACCAGCCAACAAAGTCGTCGCCAACGTAGCCAGCCCAGCATCCGAGCCCAGGGACAATTGTTGCCGCATTAAGCAGCCATTTATGTGTCTCAATCGACTCGTCGAGTGTCAACGCTCTGCCGAACAGAACGTACTTCATGACATCTGGATCAAAGTCCAATTGCCTGGTGAGTTCCTCGTGCTCAGGGCCGAGGGGTCGTAGCTCGAGACGCGCAGTGCGCAGAGTCTCTTGGGGAAGGGTCATGGTGTCTGATGCGATGGTTGTAGGTAAGATTTGTGCTGTCTCTGTTGCGTCTTCGTTATTCGAATATGTCCTCAGCTATCCAGTTTGCGAGCTCGCTGTACACTTCTCGACCATCTCTTATAGTTTTACGATATACCCTGCATAGACAGCATAGGTTGACAGAGCTACGACAGATCCAGCAGTGAGCAACGTGAGATACTGTCATCTTTGCCCCGTGTTTATTTTTCCATCGTGAACCACGACAATTCCACCCTTGATCTGCACTGTCAGCCATCTTCGGCCCATATTTTCAGGAAGGATTGGGTGTGATGTGCACATGCATGCACGTTTTGCATTCGACGTTGAGATCTACCATGTTGTTTCCCCCTTATGGATGCGTGTTCCAAGGACGGCAAAGAGGACCAGGAATATCACAGTTCAAGGATGAGAGAGAGTACCCGCTAATGTACTAGCTGGCGAGAACCTTTGATAATCTGCTCATCTAATCTAAGTATGTAATCTATCAGGCCACCCAACATATGCAGTGTCTGACCGATCGACCGTACCATTTCCTCGCCATTCCTTAGGTCTACTCCGAAGGGATCTTGGCGGCAAGTAATAGAAAGAGGAAGAATAAGGATAAGGTAATTGACTCGTAGCCCAGTCTCCGCTATTGAGCTGTGCAGTGGCAATCCATCCTGCAACATACGGACAGCACACCCTAATGTAGCTAGCCTAACTAACGTAGCAACGATTTGCTCATCCACGTTAATCTATCTAATCAATCTTATCTCCGAGTGGCTCTTGCCAGACACACCAACACCGAACCCCCTTTCTCTCACAAGGAACTGAGCCACGGCCACCGTGAGGGGGTTCGACGTGCCCCCAACTGAAGCACGAGTACTATTTCACCATCCGACATCGCTCCAGGACTCATCGTTAGGTCTTGGCTTACAATGGAGCTGAAATATAAGACGCGAGGGGTTCCACTACTCCACGTGACACACCAAACCTCTACCCTCGAAGCAATTCTTAAAATGAAAATAAACTACCTCATCCTTGGAGCCTTATAGAAAGTAACTTCTGATCGATCGTTATCATTTCTTTAACATCCATGAAATCAATTAGGTTGCCGCAGTGCACACCGGATATAACACACGTCACTTCTGGAAACACCAAGACTGAAAGAGCGTGCTGGAGCCATGGCGGACGCTCCATCAACGCAGAAGGCTATCGTCGCTAGCGATTCCGCAGCCGTAAGTTAATGATTCTACTCGTAGGTCGAGTGGTATTGACACAGGTATCTAGTTGACCCCTTGGTCGCGGCTTAAGAAAACGTTTGCGTACTTCGCTATTTTTGTTCAAACAGAGCCATCAAAACTTGACACCCTTCTCTTCGTTACTGGTATAATCAGCGCCATTGCTTCTGGAATTCCCTTTCCGCTACTAGGAATCATCTTTGGCCAGCTCCTCGATGACTTCAACGCCGAGAGCTGCGCTGTCGAGGCGACATCGGGCGCCGACTACCAATCCGATGTGAACTTTAAGGTTCTTTATATAATCTACCTCGCCATTGCCCAGTTCGGCTTCGTCTACATCCACCTAGTAAGCTGGTCACTGGGAGGCGCCAGGCTGGCTCAGCGTCTGCGCGAGCAGTATCTCCGAAGCTTGCTCCACAAGGAGCCGGCCTTCTTTGACGACCATCCCGGCGGTGAAGTGTCTTCGAGACTCAACGGCGACATCACCATGATCCGCATGGGTACCTCAGAGAAGGTCGGGATCTACCTCTCGAGCATATCTTTCTTCGTCACCGCGTATATCATCGCCTTCATCAAGATTCCAAAGCTCGCCGGGATCTTGGTTTCTTTGGTGCCGGCCTACTTTTCCATGTCGCTTGTAGGCGGGTATTTCATCAAGAAGTACTCTTCTCAGGTATCAGACCACTTTTCAGCAGCTTCGTCCGTAGCCTCTGAGGCTTTGTCCAATGTTGCTGTTGTGCACGCATTCAATGCAAATGAGAAGCTCGAAACAAACTTCTCATCGCACATGCGCATAGCCAGGAAGGATGGTCTTAACAAGGCCCTCGTCAGCGGCATCCAGGCCGGCTTGATCTTCTTTATCGCCTATGCCGCAGATGCGTTGGCTTTCTGGCAAGGTAGCCACATGATTGCGGATTCGGTGGCAAGTAATGGCACAGGATCGACGGTGGGATCCGTTTTCACAGTTATTTTTCTTCTGGTCAATGGTGAGTCTGCTGCGTTTCTTCACATAAAACAATTATGCTAACTGCCAACCCTCTTGGATAGCTACCCTTGTTCTCAGTCAGATGACTCCGTATCTAGCCATCTTTGCAGCAGCTTCTGCATCCTTCGCCAAACTCAAGAAAGATATGGACAGACCATCAAGGATTGATGGAACCTCAAACACTGGCGTTCGACTGGCTCCCGTTACTGTGGGCCAGTTCAAGCTGGAGAACGTCACCTTCTCCTATCCGTCCCGACCAGAGCAAAATGTCCTCCAGAACGTATCCTTGGAACTTCCAGCTGGCAAAAAGACGGCCCTGGTTGGCTTCTCTGGTAGCGGAAAGTCCACTGTAACCAGTTTGTTGCTCCGATTGTACGACCCAACAGAGGGTACGGTCCTCTTAGACGGCCACGACCTCCGCGAGCTGAATGTGCGTCAGGTTCGAAGCTTGATTGGCATTGTCCAGCAGGAATCGACATTGCTCGATCGATCAATTTTGGAGAATATCGCTCACGGCTTAGTCAACTCTGCGGTTCCCGGACATGAACATCTCCGCGATACATTGCTTGGGCCACAACTCCGCTCCCTAGCAGCCGCCATCAGGGGGGGTCGTGACGCAACAGAGGCTGCTATAGAGCAGGGCCCAATAGTGGTAGAGATTCTCGGCATGGTTCAGCACGCAGCTGGGATCGCAGATGCCGAACGATTCATTAGCGAAATGCCCGAGGGCCTGGGCACCATCGTCGGGTCTGGTGGTACACGGCTTAGCGGAGGTCAAAGGCAGCGTATTGCTATCGCTAGGAGTATGGTCAAAGATCCCCAGATCCTTATTCTTGACGAAGCCACAGCTTCGCTTGATTCGCAAAGCGAAAAGGAGATTCTCAAGGCCCTCGATCGTTGTTCCGAAGGCCGCACAGTCATCTCAGTGGCTCATCGCCTCTCCACAATCCAAAAGGCAGACAAGATTATTGTCATGAAGAATGGCTGCATCGTGGAGGTAGGCTCCCCCGCGGAACTAATGAGCAAGCAAGGTTCATACGCTAGCCTTGTCAACCTGCAAAACCTAGATACTGAATCCCCAGAGCAGCGGTCTAGTCAAGACGGGTCAATAGGTGGTGCGACTGCCGTTGAAAAAGTGGACAATGGCCTCGAGAGCACGGACAAAGAAGATGTCTCTGTCGATGTGACTAAGGCAAGTCTCGAAGTGAGAAAGCTTTCGATGTCCGATTCTGCCGTTGAAGAAGATGAGCCACCGGTGAACCAATCTCTCGGGTACCTGATTAGCAATATGTCGCGCTATATACGCCCCAACGCTCTGATCGCAGTTGTTGCTCTTGCAGCGGCCAGCATTGTAGGCGGAGCTTACTTGGCCGATGCTGTTATCTTTGGCCACACCGTCAGTGGGTTAAGTCCATGTGGTACCCCCGATCACATTCGATCCAGTGGTCGCCTCTACGGACTCTTGTTCTTCGTGTTGGCTATCATTGAGTTCTTCGCCAACGTTATAAGCTGGGTCGGCTTTGGCCGGGTCTCTGAAGATGCCATCTACGCCATCCGCACGTCCGTGTTCCGCGCGCTCTTCGAGCAGGATGTGCAGTGGCATCAGTCTGCGGGTCGTACGCCGTCCAGTCTGCTCGCACTCATCACCAACGACGGGAACCAGATTGCCGGCCTTAGTGGGTCCATCATCGGCACTGTCTTGTCTATATGCATTAATCTAGTCGCAGCTGTCATCATGACGCTGATAATAGCCTGGCGGATTTCTCTAGTATGTCTCGCCATTGTGCCGATTCTCCTAGGGGTTGGGCTTGCACAGCTACGCGCTCTGGCCCGATTCACAGAAAAACATGAGAAGGCCTTCAATGAGTCTGTCGGAATCAGCGTCGAAGCCGTCAACTCCATCAAAACGGTTGCCGCCCTAGCCCTTGAACATGAGATTCTAGATGTCTATCGCAGTACTCTGGACGGGCCGCGAAAGGAGGTAACCGCCGTCAGCTTATATACCAGTCTCTGGCTCGCTCTACAGTACTTAGTCGGCAACCTAGCATTTGCGCTAGGATTCTGGTGGGGATCGAAGCAAGTCTTCAGTGGCAGGTACAGCCAGACGGAGTTCATTATGGTCGTATTCTCTCTACTAGTAAGCGCGCAGCTTTGGAGCCAGATGTTTGCGCTTGCTCCCGAGATTTCCAACGCTCGCGGCGCCGTTGCGCGAGTCGTCAACGTGATCGAAATGGGATCCTCAGGCTCTGATGCCCAAGGGTGGCCGGGCGACAAGAAACAAGACGTCGAAGCTATTGCAGAAACAAAGGCGGCATTGCCGCATAGAGAAGGTGGCACGGAGGTTAAGTTACAAAACGTCCATTTCGCCTACCCGGGTCGTCAGTCCGCCCCAGCTCTTTGCGGACTGAGCCTGCACATTCAGCCTGGCCAGTTCGCTGGGCTCGTGGGACCGTCTGGTGCGGGGAAATCTACGATCACATCGCTCGTGGAGCGCATGTATATCCCCAGCCATGGTGAGATCTTCATTGATGGAGTGGACATCACCAAACAAAAAGGGATATCCTTCCGGGACGACATATCCCTAGTGCCGCAAGATGGCGTGCTCTTCGACGGCTCAATACGTTTCAACCTCTCATTAGGTGCACGTCCTGGATCCTCGGTCTCGGACGAGGACATGATCGAAGCATGCAAGCTAGCCAGCATCCATGACACGATTGACAAGCTGCCGCAGGGCTATGATACATTATGCGGCGCCAATGGGAGCCAGCTCTCGACCGGACAGAAGCATCGCCTGGCAATCGCCCGTGCACTCGTTCGCAAGCCCAGGCTACTGATCCTCGACGAGCCGACCAGCGCGCTGGACGCCGAGACCGAGAAGGTCTTACAGGAGAACTTGAGAATCGCGACACAAGGCATTACTGTTATTGTCATAGCACATCGCCTGAATACCATTCGTCACGCCGACGCCATTTTCTTGATCGAGGCTGGACAGTGTGCTGACGCGGGCACGCACAATGAGCTCTTTAATAGGTCTGAGACGTATCGTGCAAACGTCCTTAATCAAATGATTGCTAGTTAGATGGATTGGGATAAAAATGTACAAGTAATCTCGGACTATCGTTGGAATATCATATAGATACTAGTTTAGATTTCAATGATTTTACTACTTCCAAAGTTAATTACAACTCTCAAGTAATCGTCGTGTGCAAACGGTGCGCTTCTCTCATATTGGGGGAAGTAAGTGCACCATAATAGAAGTCACTATACCAGATGTTTTTCAATATAGCCCCATATATATAACCTTGTCCCACCGCCAAACTTCATTTGATCATAAGATGGAGGATCCCACCTTCGCCGTAAACAGCTCTCCTTCAACGCAAGGCAGACACCCCCTTTCAAAGTTCACCCGCAAAAAAGGCACGTTCATAAATGAGTAGGGTTAGGGTTATACGATGTATGCATCCACCTGCAGCTGGTCTTGGTGACATGTATTCCAATCCCTTTCAGGGGTTGGCCGGTGGCTATATGCATATGCATAGAGCGCTGGGCGCCAGTAGTGAGTATAGCGCTGTTCGCATGGTTCCGGAGCGGGTGGTGACTGTGCTACCTTATACGGCGGCGCTGTATAGTCGTGTATACTATAAACCGTCAATACTCCCGCCATCACTGCAGGTAGGTAAGTAAGTAGTAGTTTCACAAGAAAACGGCGACTTGGCGGGGGGGCCAGATACGCGGGCATCATCAGTCATCACGGAAGCACCTGTAAGGGCGGCAAGACGAAAAAACACGAATACGAAAAAGCGGGCTGAATACGAATTGCATTATCAGCACTGCAAATCTATAGCTCCCACTCATAATCATATAAAAATCCAATCATGAATCGCATTCCGCCGCGTATGCGTTAAAAAGAAAACATCAAGCAAAACCAAACCAAAACCAAAAACTCAAATATCACCAATCCCCAATTCCAGCCTCTCCTAGCTGCTCGCCGTCTTTGCTCAGGCGCATGGGTTCTCCGGGGGGGAGAAAGCATGGTGAGCTGTCGTCGCTAAGGCGCATGCCCCGACAGGCCTGCTGCCCTTCCACGCTTGTTATTGGTCACAGACCCGGTGGTCGTGCGGTTCCGCGACGTTGGGGTGGTGTGCGCCTTGGTTGGGCATGTAGGGGGCCATCCAGGCGGCGTCATCGTCGGCGGGGAGAGTAAAGGGCGCGTCAAAGGCGGAGGGGAGATATTTGTTGTCTGTGAATGGCATGGCGAGGCTGTGATTTGTGTTGAGATAGGAGTTCGCCGCGGCGTTCTTGAGGAGCTCGTCGAAGTCGATAGACGTCACGGGAGTTGATAGCATTTGGTTCCGGACGCTGTGGTAGGGTGAGTCGGTCGGGAGGCGGTAGAGCTCGTTCTCGCCGGTCTCAGAGTAGTCTGAGCCGTGTTTGGCTGTCTGGGCCATGCCATTGTTGCCAATATCCATGTAAAGACCCGCGTCTTCGACTTCGGAGATCTCCCCAGACGTTGACGTCGTTGTCAGGGCCGGATGCTCAATGCTGCCGAACTCGAATCCGGTGTAGGATGCGGCTTGACTAAAGGCTGGTGCAGCAAAGCTGTCATTGTTGAAGTCGAGTCCGTCATAATGAGACCAATCGATGGACGTTGTGCTCAGCCCAGCCGAAAAGATGGGCTGATCAATATCCTGAAGAAGCCCATAGTTGTCAAGCGAAATTGGAAAGCCAAAGTCGGGGAAGCTTTCCACGTTGGTAAGGTCAAGTGGTGGTAGCTGACTGTTTAATTCCTCGAGGGAGCTCGGACCCGTGACAGGGGAGCCATGTTCCGATTTGATCTTCCTCTCCTCTTGGCGAGCACTGACGATCGAGTCCTTGATGTGTGACTCGCCATGAAGAGCCTCAACGTTGCTCAAATGTGGTAGATTATCGACAGAACGATTGGCCAGTCCTATCGAGGTTGAGCCTTGAATCGGGTGCGGGCGAGGTACGACATATGGGTGTCCACATTTCTTATGTGCCATGTGGGTATGCTTGTGACTGGACTTGTGGTGACCATTGGCGAGCACGGTCAAGCCAGTGCTATCCGATTGTCCGGTATGGGCACGAGGACGGCGAATCTCTGTAGATTCGGGAATTGACCCTTCATCCGACTCGGACTCGGGTACAGCTTCGAGATATTCCTTCTTCAATGCGCAGGCGCAGCGGCCGCCATGACCGCAACAACACGTATCTAAATGTATCAGAATGCGGGCCACAACTGCCACCCAGAGCTCAGACAAAGCTCACCCTTGGAATCCTCCTTCCCATGCGTGCATGCAGCCTTGGTGTGGATCTTCTCTCCACAATCACACTTCACATGAGCGGAGCGAGACTTGCGGAGAGTGCGACAGTGCGTGCACTGCGAGACGGGTCGGCCCTTTTTGGCAATATGTTGTAAGGCGCGGTCTACGAGTTGTTAGCATGGTTCGAGGTTGAATCAATGGCTTCGAGGTTGCATACCAGCGTGCTGACAGTTGCTTACACGGTGGCCTCTGACGCATGCCTGTTATGGTCAGTATCTCCAGAACAGCGGCGGGAGAGTGAGTCTCGTACGTCGCAAGCAAATTTCTCCCCAGCAATCAACATTCTCACTCAATGGGTGGCCGTCCAGAGGACGACCGAAAGAAGGGGACAACTTCAATATGGTGGTTGATTTATTGTAGGCGGTCGGAGTGACCGCGGAGTCGAACAGATGTCCGAGTCGTGTAATTCGCGAAGGGAGCAAAAGCTAAATGCGGGGTATTTGGTGAAGTTCTTCCGAGTATATACAGGCAACGGACTCCAAAAACTGATATTGAGACGAATTGATCCAACGCCCGAGAATAGAGAGAGGAGATGAGAGGGACAATGCTGGGGTGGCGAAGCCTTAGCACCGAACGGCGCCTACTGTGAACAGCAGAACAACCGAATGGGCGGTATGGGCAACCAGGATGGCGGCGATGAGGATTTCAGCCACAAAGACGAAGAAATTGTGGAAGAAGAGGAGAGAGAAGAATCAAAAGAGAAGAAGAGGTTCATGGGCGCCGATGGGGGGGGATGGCGAAGTCTTTGTGTGGGACGGAGAGCAAGAGAGACCAGGGACGCATAAATGCAGCAGGGGGAGGAGTTTAGGGGGGGAAGTTTGTACGGAGAGGCAGGCGGTGGGGGGTGGGTGTTGCAGATAGGCGGAATAGGGCGAGGCAGAGAGAGCGATCGTGACATAAACATAACCTAATAGTAGAGTAGAGTAGTAGAGTAGTAGAGTAGAGTCGTAGAGTAGTAGATAGTAAAGTAGTAGAGTAGTAGTAGAGTAGTAGATAGTAAAGTAGTAGAGTAGTACTCCATACAGTAGTAGAGTAGAGTAGAGTAGTAGAGCAGTACGGAGTAGAGTAGTAGAGTAGTAGACTAGTAGACTAGTAGAGTAGTAGTAGAGTAGTAGAGTAGTAGAGTAGTAGAGTAGTAGAGTAGTAGAGTAGTAGAGTAGTAGAGTAGTAGAGTAGTAGTAGAGTAGTAGAGTAGTAGAGTAGTAGAGTAGTAGAGTAGTAGAGTAGTAGAGTAGTAGAGTAGTAGAGTAGTAGAGTAGTAGAGTAGTAGAGTAGTAGAGTAGTAGAGTAGTAGAGTAGTAGAGTAGTAGAGTAGTAGAGTAGTAGAGTAGTAGAGTAGTAGAGTAGTACTTCGTACAGTAGTAGAGTAGAGTAGAGTAACTTAGAGTACAGTACGGTCAGTACAGACAGACGGACAGTACAGTACAGACTCCACCATAGCAAACACTCCACTCATACAACTTCAGTACGCTTTCAGTACAATCAGGATACCAGGTACTCGAAGGAATCTGTGTATAGACTCAAGCGTACGCCTCATCTGATACGTCTGGTTTGATGGGTTGGAATGGCAAGTTGGTTGCCGCTTGTCGTGCATAGGCAGTAGTCATAGTTCATCTTGGACCACCATGGCGGCAGATGCAATGGATGGTGGGTTGGTTACTGAGCTGAGACGAGGAGGCGAGAAAATGGGATAAAGCGTGTTGGGTCATTCATGTCTGTCATGGCCATGGCCGGCCTCCTTTCCTTCTCCTTGCGCTCCCTCGGTGGGACTAGAGTATGGGCATGAGATGAGGCCATCGTGGGATTAGTCCCCAGCCATCAGAGGAACCCAATCGCGACCCTTACCCTCACCTCAGGGTCCATGCCGCCCACCTTATCCCCATCCCCATCCCAGAATCCCCGTTACATGCTAGCCTCATCGTTTCCTTTCCGCTGTTGGATGCTATCATCACCCAGAACGTAGGGGACCCCACCATCCCTCACCCCATTTCCGGCAAATCCTCGGCTAACCCCCCCCACCCCCCACCCCCCACCCCCCCCCCCACAAATAAATCTTTAAACTTCCGACCTTTGACCTTCTGTCAACAACACCTGCTATCACCCCTCATGCCTTCCTTAGCTGCGGAAAAGGGAGGCATGAGGGGTGATAGCAGGTGTTGCCCCTTAGCCGAGAAAGGGCAGTTGCAGACGGTGCTCGCAAGATAGAAGCAACTTCGCCTCGTAGCCTCGAGCTCGCCATGGCATCGTCGTTGCAGGTTGTATGTATGTGCCGTTGAATGAATGAATGTATCGTGTACGGTGTAGTGTACTCAATCTTCCCCAGGCTCTTGGAAGTAAGCCTTCCGATCTTGGCCGGGCGTTTGGCGTCAATTCGGAAGATACGTCCCTTCCTGCTGAGGCATTTTTGCCTGTGGACGGATTTGATATGCTCTCTCAAATAGTCTTGGCGCCTGGACAACTGTTGCACATGCAAAATTATCTTCTTCTCCTACAGCATACTTTACAGATCTGCTATCATCCACAGGTCAGCGCCCACGGCGATGACCGCGACGGCATACTCAAACGTGGTTGAACGGCAAAATATGAGAGGCGATCGTGATCTGTGAAGGCGCCTAATGTAGCCAAGCGCATTTGCTGCGAATCACCTGAAATATTCAAGTACACGTGATCGTACACGTGATCGTACACGTGACTCAAGAGTTCTCCTACAAACGCCAAACTTTAGAGGGTCGCATCGCATTCTATCTCGAGAGTGCCGTCGCTGAAACGAACCAAGTGAGCTCGCAGCCATGGAGATGAAGCCCATCTCACTCATCCTCATCGTCTTAGCCATCATCAATCAGCCGGCCTTCGTTTCATCTACCAGCCCCCAGAAGGCGGGAAAGTTTGTGGGGACGGACGTCCCAGGGGCAGGTTGTTCCGTGGCTACTCGTACATATCCGGAGGGTATCCATATCACACCGCCAACGAATAACGCCGATATCGATATCCTATACCATACCATCGTAGCATACCCTAGAGCCTAGCATACGAGTACTCTACCCTCGACCTGTAAATGTCGTCGTCGTCCAAGTAACAAGCAGACCTCCCCCTAGCCTAGCCCCTAGGGTAGTAGTGAATCATCGTACTCATCCATCCATCCATCCGGCCGGACAACTTCAACTGATCGCCGATTCAGGTAGTGGCAGGTCAAAAGACATGGGCGCGCTGTTGTTTCGGTCGGTACTATAGCTGGTGTTGTAGCCTTTGTTTGAGCACCATCATGCAATTTGAAGCAATATCCCGTTAGTCGCTTCCCCTGCACCATCCATAACTTTAGAACTTTAGAGTCTGAAATTCAGAGTCGGAAGTTCTGTTCGGGCCTTGTTTATTACCAGATGTTCGAGCCGCTGACGTATCAGGTTGCGACTTCTGAGGTGTGAAGGTGAAGGAAAAACGTATGTGCGTTACAAAGGTAGTTATGTATGTACCTTCCCGACCCGCCACCCCTACTATTCACATACAAACACCGTCTAATAGGTACCCACCCACATCCAAAAACCCGCCACCCACTCACAATATTACTACAACTCTACCCGAACTTTCTCTCCACCACCCACCACCGCACGGAAGAACCTCTTCCCACGACATCCAGCGGAACGGAAGCTTTCAACTCCGAACCATCCATCACAACTGATCCGAGTTGCATCAAGCTCCATCTCAATCAAACCGGTATGCATCGTCCACATCTTCATATCACTTGCGAAATAGCTGATCATGGTCGCGTAGACCTATATTTTCCTGCCCGCTGGCCTCATCTCATTCCGACTGCCACGCGACTCGCAATCGACAGTGCGACAACTATAGTTGTCCAGGTCCCGCCCGCCGCCGTTTGCCACCACTAAGCCGACGGATAAACACGGCCAGTGATACTCATAAACGATCAGCATGAACCAACAGGACGCGCAAATGATGCAGAACTACCCGGATCCAACAGCTGTCGCGGCCGAAGGCAACGGCCCATTTTACGCATCTGGGAACGCTAGCCAGCAACAACCACAGCACCAGCAGCCACAACCACAACAACAACAACAACAACAACAACAGCAGCAGCAGACACAGCGCTTGTCAAATCCCGATGACCTGCAGCTGGCTGCTCAACTCTCCCGTGGGCTTGAGCCTATGATGGGAGGAGGTGGCGGGAATGACGCGGCTCATTCTCCTCAAAGCAATCCCAACCACGGCTTCTCACATGAGCAACAGATGATGGCCGAGATGAGCCATGCAGCGAACATGGACCATAGCCAGTACCAGATGGGGGATGGGCCGACACCGCGGAAGCGCTCGAAGGTTTCGAGGGCTTGCGATGAGTGTAGGCGAAAGAAAATCCGCTGCGACGCGACAACGGAATCCGGCGAGGAACAGTGCACAAGCTGCAAGCGCGTCGGGACACAATGTCAATTCAGTCGCGTTCCTATGAAGCGCGGGCCAAGCAAAGGGTATGATAACCTTTCCGATCGAATGTGCAAACAATGCTAACATTGCCGGGTAGCTACATCAAGGAACTTGCAGATCGATTGAACCACTTGGAAGGCGCCATGCAGAACCAATCCGGTGAAGCCTTGCATTACCCCCCTCATGCAGAAGGTGGGGGATCCCGACGAGCCTCGCACGATTACTCTCCACCGCCACCACACTTGGAGGGACAGCCACGAAAGCGCGCATATTCGTCTATATCGCAAGATTTCGCCTCTAGCTACCAGTCACAAAGACAATCCGGACAATGGCAAGCACTTGAAACACCACGACACCACGGTGCGCCAGCCGCAACCTATGGACAGGCAAACGCCGCAACGGAGTCTTCATATCGGGCCCCTCTGTACTCGCCAAACGGTTTGGCTCCTCAGCCACAATGGAGAAATGCGCCTCCGGAGGCAGGCCGAGGCTCGTTTGACGGCCTACCAGGTGCAGAAGGTGCACATGCAGATCATAAGCTAGAATGGGATGAGTATATTTCCGAGGAGTACTACAAGGCCATTCAGCCAACATTCCCACTTCTGCCCGGGCCCCAGGGCAATGTTGCTGCTAGACTAGCGAATGCCCCACCGCTCCTGAAGGACGCATTCCTAGAGGCTCTGCACGTTGCTGTCCGACCTCCCGCAGACAGCGCGTCGGCGAGAAGAGCTGCAAGTTTGGTCTCTGCCTGCCAATTCGATAGCACAGCAACCAAGACGCTTTCGGACAGCCTCCTTTTGCTCTCGGCTCAGATTTTCATGGCCATCGAAGCCGGCAGCCATGGGCCATCTAGTGCGCGTAGTGCTGGGTCCCAGGCCGTGTGGCTTGGAGCAGCAGTCGGTCACGCGTTCTCGTTGAAGCTGCACACTTCTAACGCAGCAGAGGGCGAAGACGAAGACTCAACTGATAAACTATCCCGGCGCATCTGGTGGAGTCTTCTCATCCTCGACCGCTTCCATGCGTCAGGGACATCAAGCCCGCTCCTGATCCCCGACACCAGTGCCGTCCTCCGCCTCGACGATATCAGTGTTTTAGGCGAACAGCTATACCACCTAGCTCGTAAGTTCTCCACCGCTCCCATCGCCTACAACTTACTAACCAAACCAGGGCTCTCATCCATCCTCGGCCACGTCGCCACGGTCCTCACCTCGCCCCCCTCCCTCCTCGCCTTCCCATCCTCCGCCACCCCACTCCTCTCCACTCTCCTCACCGGCGAACTCGAGCGCTTCCGTGAATCCCTTCCCGCCGCCCTAACCACCACATCAGCCCCCCTCATGCACCTCACCTACTGGCACATTCAACTCCTCACCCTGCGCGCCACGCCCGGCACCCCACCCGGCACCCTCCTCCACCCCGCCGTTCATATCACGTCTCTCCTCGCCGCCGCACCTCCCTCGCCTTTACACATCCACTTTACCACCCTCGCCTCAGCCACCCTTCTAGAGCTGCTCGATAACGAAGGCACCCGCGAAGAAGCAGACCGCACTCTGCGCTCGCTCTTCGAAGGCCCGCCCCGCACATCTGCGCCCTGGGACAAGGCCCTGCGCGACCTAGTGGCCCGACACACGAGGGCAGCGAGCCCAGTAGCGCCGAGCGCCGCGGCCCTGACGGCTAGCCAGGGGCTGCAGCACCTTGCTGATTTAGCGACGGCGGCAGAGGCGGTGGAGCCAAAGGAGGGCGGCGCGGCTGTCGCGGCGGTGAGCTGGGATCCGGCTACTATGACTAGGGGCGGGTTCTTGGGGGTTTGGGGAGGGGAGACGAGGTAGGTTTTGTGGTGGTTGATTAGTGTGTTTTCTTGTTTGCTTGCATTTGGTGGATGCTAGGGGAACGGGGAGAAAAAGCGCTTTCCGAGGCGTTATCATATGGGAGGGAGTTTTACGGTGCCTATTCGCGGTGGCAAATGCCTTTTTTGGGGGTTTTTTTTGTCATGGCGTGGGCTGGCATTTTACCATTGCTATCTTGACGCGTGTATAATACTCGCACGGGACTGAGGGGCTAGCTTTTATGGCTTGTTGCTGCGTGTGCAGTGTTGATTATATTATGACAGTTGAGTTATTTTATGAAAACTATTATCTTGTGTATAAATGGTGAAAGAAAATACTATGTAATAGCTGGAACCTGGTTAGTACTACTTCGGGTTCCCAGGCTCTGGCTTCAAGCCATTCTTTTCAAAGCCTACACTTCAGTTTCAGTACCAACACCATTCTAATTTTGACAAGAGATCATACCAGTAGATAGCAGTGCAGCGCTGTACATGACCATAGTAATGGGCCTTAGGTCTTCCACAGTCGTATTTATAAACTCACTCCACACCTCAATCCACACATCGATGACCGAATCGGTCAATGTCACCACATCAGCATTGTGAGTATAGCATTTCGCACCCATCAAAGCACCAAATTCCCGGAAAGCAAGGCGATGCGGCACAGCTCTTGTCTTGTATCTTTCGTCGCCAAAGATTGCGTCTAGCAATTGGCGGTTAGCTGGGTCAGAGGGGTGGGGATATACCATACTTATCGCTATTAAACAATTTTCACCGAGCTGATCGGCCCACTGGTCTGTCCCTGCAAACCAATGCGCTATCCAAAGTGCCATCCCAAGATCCAGGGTATCATGAGTAGCGCCAACTGAATCACGAAGTCTCATAACTTTCTGGTAATCCGCAATCTCTGTCTCCAAAACATTGGGCTCCTTCGCCGCCGCCTGCAGCAGTCGATAGACCACGAACCCGGTCGTAGCATCAAGACGCCCCTGACTCGATACCAGAGGCCGAGACATGTCCATTGATATTTTCCACGCCATTCGCGCGGACGGAGATGTTCTGTCGATGAAAAACCTCGGGTGGATCGCACGAGCCAGGGCTATTGCCTGATCGTTGTATGTCTCCATGCCCGAGGCAATAGACAGACGATTAAGAGCAAACATCCAAAGTGTCAGATAGTGATGGTATTGCCCGTCACCATCTGGCCCACTGGCCTCTTCTTTCCCTATTCTCAATCCGCCCCCCAAAGTATTATCATCCGTCGCTCCTGGCAGACGGCTTTTACCATCTCGTGTCCATCCAAGTATATCGTGGACGCGCACGACGAGTCTCTTGGCAAGTATCAAATACTTATCCTCGTTGAGCTCTTTGTGTAGGGTAAGGAAGTTGACGACCCCGAATGCGTCGGTCCAAAGGTATCGGCCGCGGTGGCCGCCTGAGTTCGGTGGGGGGATCCAGGTGCCCAGGGCTCGGGCTTCTAGATTTCCTAGATTTCCATAGACGGCTTCCATTGCTGCGAGAAACTTCTGTATCTTTCCCGTGGCCATGGTTACGGTAGGTCTGGGAAGATCGGATGTTTAATTCCTTTATCGATATATGATGTGTCTCAGAATGAACGCCGGCACATCTCAACATTAAATATAGAACCTCCTTGTAATGACATCACACTTGCCTGATACTAGGATCGGTCCGTGCGTGCACATCCCGGGTAGGCGCAGGACTCCAAGGCCATCCTGTCAGTCATTCAGCCATCGTCAGATCAGATTTCAAGTTTGCCATATGTCTTATTATGCTACAAAGTAGGCGTTGCAACATCGTCCTTTGAGATGCAAGCCTAAAATGCGACTTGTTAACGAAGGTCCAAGGATGGATATAAAAACTCGGTGTAGCGCAGCGAACGCTGTCCCATCTATCCCAGATATTCTTGAAGCCATCTTGCTATCTGTCGATATGAAAACTCTTTTATTATCACAGAGAGTGAGCCGGGACTGGGCGAGCATCATGGCTTCGTCTCTTGTGATCCAACAGGCTCTATTCTTTCAGCCTGTTCAGGCGGTGTCATCAATCATCCCATTTGATCCGAAAGACAACGATTTCGGCGATCACGACTCCAAGACAATATATAACCCATGGCTAGTGGCAAAGTTTGGCTCTGCTTTTTTTAGGCGTGGTAACGAGAGCTACTATACTCCGATTTGCCACTCTGCAAAATACTTCTACAAGCTTCCCTGGTCTGCTAGGAACGCTGCCTATGTCAGCATCGATGCTTGGGACGAAAGTGTCAGATGGAGAAGAACCAGGCCCAGAAGTGGTTGCAGAAGAGAAAGCAATTAGGCGAAGTTTCATGCGAAGCGGTGCAAGCTGGCGACAGATGCTAGTCTCACAACCACCCCCGCCATTACTTGGTTACTGCTGGTCAGATCTGAGCCCAGCGTGGCAAACGCTATCAACAGCAATGGTAGAGCCATCCCATGGAGGTCTTCGAATGGGTGAACTGTACGATATGGTTCAATATCACTCAGGACATCGTGAGCACAGCTCCATGCGGTGGTTCCCGGTAACACCAAGGGGGTTGGGATTACGATTTGTGTTTGACACCCAAGAAGGGATTCAAGGAATGATGAAATAGACAGACTTTGCTGTTGAATTCCAACACGTTACGGGCTCTGGCATGTATGTCCGTGAGCCGTCGGATGTGGAGGCTTCTGACGCAGAATTCCGCTGCGATGATTTCAGGTATATTAATGCCGGCACTGAAGCGGTATTGGAGAAGCCCTCTTGAGTGGTGCGCATCGAGTAAATGAAATAAAATGCGTGGACGGGATAATAAAAGGTCTATAACTGGACGCTTTGTATACGTATGAATCATTGCTACCGCTCTCATGCGCCCTCGCACAAGCTCATAGACTTGACGTAGTCCACTTCGAACCTTCTCACTTCCATTGGCCAGGTCCTGCTCCAAAACTCCGTCCCTAACAACCAAAGCCCGCTCTTCTCTGAAATCAGGTCTGTAGTATCCAAAGTATATTCATTCCCTGAACCCCGAATCCAATAACAAAGTCTGTTTCTGCTCGAGATTTCTCTCTTCAGTAACCGGAGTCTGTTCTTTCTCCGGGAGGTACCTATTTGATATCCAGGTTCTGTTCCTCTCCTAGAAGTCGGCGTCAATGTTTTGTGACTGCTTGCGCGATCGCGCCAGCTAGGCCGTTCGTGTCGCCCCTTGAACCAAACTTTAATTAGCTCGCCTTCTGTAGAACATTCAATGCTGAATTTTTCGATCCTGCCGTAAACATCGCAAATCTGCACTTCTTTACCATCGGCAGGGGTGCCATCCGCATCGTCATGGTTTATCGGCACTGTCCTCGTCGTCTCAATCTCCCGAAGCATTGGCAGTTTGGCGAACTGCTGGAGATCCTCAGCTGTTGGAAATAAGCTGTCTTCGCAAATGATGATTAGAAAGCACTGGTGAGGTTCTCCGATATTCAAGTACTGTGGTGTCTTTTGCTTTAGCGACTCCGCCACCCAGGCATCTCTTCTCGTTCCCATGAACCAGACGCTGATTGACTCGCCTTCTGTGGTACCTTTAATCATATTTTTCTGATCCCGGTCAACATCACAAAAATGCACTTCTCTATCATCGGCTGGAGGGGCATCCAAATCTTTTTATCGTCGCGGCGCTGCCCTCGTAGTCTCGATATTCGGGACCGTTGGAAGACCACCGAGCTGTTGGAGCTTCTAAGCGGATGAGAATACGCTCTCTTGGCTAATGATGACTGGGAACCGTGGTGGAGGTCTATCCATGCCAGACACGTGGGCATCATGAGCGGCCTGCCAAGCTTCTGCTGGGCATATTGACTTTCGATCTTCGACTTGGCAAGACCCTTTGCAAGACTGGACATGATAAGTTTTTGACAGACCGAACAAAGGCAGACGACGAACCCTGAATGTGTCAAGCCTGGTATGTGGTACTCAGCATGTCAGATAATAGCTGGACCGCCCGCCCCACACAATGATCTCCGCCTAGGAATCTCCGCCTAAAGCAAACTGACAGCCAAGAGTTTAAGCTGCTGACTGTCAGACAAATAGCGCGAGGCTGAATTGAAGTGACCTGTTTTTATTAAGATTGTGATGGACGTGATGGACATGTCGCCAAGTAATGCCTAGCGAACCCCTTACTACTTAGAGTGAGCGCTGTGCCACAACACTGGGGAATGGCTCGGCCCAGCACCGCCAAGACAGAACAATCGGGTCAGCAATAACACCACTACAGGGGGGGATAGTAAGACAGCTCAATGATCCCCTCAATCTCCATTCCGAGATGCCGTCCCCTGCCTGTCTGTCCGCTGTCACCCTCCCTATTGGATGGTTTATTGTAGTGTAGGTAGGGCCAATTTCAGCTTCACGCCTCCAATATCCATCCCTTCGGGGTGCGTGTAGGAAATCCTGAACTTGGCATGAGCTGATACAAACCCATCATCTCCTTCTCTCCTTCCTCTCTCTTCTCTCCTTCCTCTCTCTTCTCTCCTTCTTTCCTCAACATCGTGCCCTCGCTTTTGCATTTAAATTCCTTCGTTCCTACCAATTAGTCTTATCCGCAAGCAAATAAACTCCTCCCGCCATAATGCGTTCTTCTGCCTCTGTCATCGTTCTTGCTTCGGTCATCGGCATCGCCGTCGCGCAATCGCCATCATCATGCACTGACGCCGAGTTCGTCCCCCCCCCCCTAAACGAGTTGCCTATCTAACCAGGCCGCCAGTTCATGTGTGCTCAAGTATGCCGACGGAGAGATGTCATGCGCAAAAATCATGGGCGTAAAAGCGTGCGTGTCCCGTCTCCTCTGCTGCTAATATCATGCTCATTCTCGCAGATGCTACGAAAAGTACTGTCCCCAGCTCGGCGTCCCCTTTGAGTTAAACTCGTATATCGATGCCTGTGAAAACGGCGGAACTCTGCCCGGATCGGATTCTGGATCGGGATCTGGCTCTGGCAGCGATACGGACAACAGCGAGACTGGAACTCGCACTGGCAGTGGCAGCTCAAGCACTAGCACCAGCGGCAGCGGAAGTAGCAGCGGAGGCACCTGCACCGATCGCCAGTTCGTCTATCCTTGCTCTCCGACACCCACGACTTAGCTAACACAACACAGGGCCTACACGGATTGCATTAACCCCCTCGCAAAGTTAGACCAGACATGCAAGGTGATCTTGCAAGCAGCAAAGTACACCTCCCCCTCTCCCTTGCTACCAACCTGGCCATGCTAACCCTCACAGGTGCTTCGATAACTACTGCCCTCAGCGCGCCTTCCAAATCGAGGAAGAAGTAGCCGCTTGCCAGACATCTAGCAGCGGCAGCAGCAGCGGTAGCAGCAGCAGCGGTAGCACCCGCACGAGCAGTGCCGACGACAGCGCGAGCACCGGTTTCAACAGCGGCATTCCCGGCGGCGATAGCACCCGTTCCTCTTCTGCTGCGGACAGCACCGGCACTGGTTTCGACCTTGGCTCCAGTGGCAACTCTACAACCGCTGACCCGACCAACACTTCCTCCAAAGGTAATGGCCCTGTCTCCACCAACAGCCCCTCCAAGGAGGGCGCCGCCGATAGGCTCTTCGCGCCTGCCGGTGCCATTGTTGGCTCCATGATCGCTATCATGGCTTGGCTGTAAGAGATTGATCGGATGTGATGGAGTTGGATTGGAGTGGTGGAGGCGTGTAATGTTCACAGCACATACTTGTGTTCCCTTGTATTTTTCCTTTGTTTTGGCGGAAAAGTGGCTGAAATTTGACAGCTTCGAGCCGAGTTGATAAAATAATAATTATCGCAATTTGATGTCAGGGACCGATGTGTTTCACAGGAGACTGTTTGGGGATTGTAGGTTCAGGGGTTCCCACCTATCAGACCATGGGCTGGGCCCTCATACCTGGTTACTGTACTTCTTGAATGGTACCTTCTCGCGTCGCTGACACAATCCCACCCGGCCATAGTATTATTCTACTCTTCTCCTAGGATCTCCCCACTGTACTTTCCCATTTTTTTGGTCGCATTTCAGAGCCCTTTTGCGATTGAACAAAAGTTCACATCGACCAAGGTGAATTGCGAATGGAGCACAATCGTTTGCTTGGCACCAATATATATGGAGGAAATGAGATCGTATCACCAAAACCTCCTTCGCTAAAATAACGCCGGGGGGTATTTATACATATAGCATTAACAGCCGTCCAGTACCTGAACCGTTATCCAAACAGGAACTGAACACCTGGGTCACCGACTCCAGGACTCGTCGTCTTCCGATCAATCACAGACCCCCACCACGCATGCGAATGACCCTCTTCCCAAATGTCCTCCAGCAGCGACGACACCGAATTGAACATGTTATATCGGCTCCTATTAGCCCACCACTTACAGTATTGCCGCGTAAACCCACGCATTTCCCCGTCAGTCATATCGCTACCTGCGAGGAATACGGGCAGCAGCAGCTGTTTCTGCGTTTGAGATGTCCGTCGACAGCAGCGGACGTGATCCATTGTCTTGCGGACCAGCCACGTCAGGATCAGAGGCCGAGGACACTTCCGGTCCCAGCGGAAAACTCGCTTGATGTAGATAAGCAATGCGTACCGCCAAGCCTCTGCGCAGTGGTAGCGGTCCTGCTTGGCGTGGAACCGTTCCTCGATGTCAGCTTCAGCATCCGACTCCGATGTATTTTCTACGATTGTATCGAAATTCGGACCGTATGCATCGGCGAACAGGCTGCTTTGCCATTGTTGGATTTCGCGCTCGATTTTGATCACTGGCGACAGATCGAAGGTGAGCCAAGTCATGCACGCGGCTAGCTCTCTTTGCTTCGCCAGCTCAGCTAGCTGAACTAGGTGCACGAAAAGGTCCCCGGGGCAGCCGGTGAGGTCATAGAAGGACCATTCGTCTTGGCCTTGGCTGAGCATAAGATGATCGAGGTACGACAGATCAATGATTATGCCTTGCCGAGAGATCAGTGCTAGGGTTGCATCCCACCTAGTTTGCGTTAGTTGAACAGTTTGCGCTACCTCAGCTAGGCTGGTCCCCATTTTGGCTTACCAGAATAGCATCCCAACTTGCGAACGGACGCGCGAGTTATCGAGCGCCAGAGGCCCTCCACAGGCATCTAAAACTGAACGCACACGCATTAAATGCCCACTCCACGGTCCTGTGGCGGAAAGGGTGCACTGAAACTCCAGTTAGCTCAGGCAAAATATGTCAAGTCTTATGAAATAGAATATCATACATCCAAGGTAAACATGACTAAGATTGGTTCCAAGACGTGTAATCCAATTTTGGTGACTTGGTCGCTCTTGGACGCGCTATCCAGTAGCTCTACAGCCTTCGTTCGGTGCTCAGAGGCTTCTTTGGACCAAGTGCCCGTCAGGTGGTTCTGATGCTGGCAACATAGTGCCAGTATCGCATGGAAAAGAAGTCGAGACCCCTGTAATACCTGTCGTCGACAGCGGAACGGATTGAAGGCCACATCAGACGTCAGTGGTAACACACATAGCTCCGTATCATCTTTAACCTGCAATATTAGCCCCAAAGTTCAACCAGGCCGAAGAATGGCTAGGAAGTTCGCAACTTACACATCTGAAAAAGTCGCTCATGCTGGTTTCCAATATGGTTAGGAATCAACTCGGTGGAGATCTCGGACGGAGGTTGTCGGGTCGGAAAAGCTACAAGACGAGGTGGCTCAAGTTGGTGGCTCTCAAACGGATGGGTGGAAACGGTCTCGAGTAGTTCCATGAGGCTTGTAGTAAAAACATCCTCGGATCCATGACCAATACTGTTGGAAGAAGGTTCGGCCGTCAATATCATCTGATCTTGGGATTCCTGCCCAGGAAATGTCGCGGACATCCAGTCAGGCATGAATTCCTGTGGATTGGGGATCACGGTATCCAGTAGCTCACAATCACCGAAATTTAACGGATCTACATGCAATTATCTCCGTTAGTATAGGGGAAATTTCCATTATCAGTCATGTATGTATCCTACCAAAGTCATCCAGGAGCGAGCCAGATGGATGGGCGAGATATGAATCAATGCCGATTTCTTCGGGTGATTCTGATTCCGAGGCACGACAAATTTCTTCCTCGGGGCTGGAGACTGGGCTAACTCTGCGACGCCTCTTCCTTCTGGAACTTGCGTCAACAAAGCGAAAGGCCTTTGGCGATACCTTTGGGCTCTCATTCCCCATGCTGCTGTCATAAATGTAACGCGTTTTCTGTGACGGCTGTCCGAGCCATATGCGATTATTATCCCACGACAGTGGCGTCACAAAACCGCCACATTTTACGCCAAGACCAAGGCAGGTCGAGCATTGTGGTCGTCGACGATCACATGTCCGGCCGGCAGGCGTACAGGTGTGACAATCAGTCTGCGCAAATGCCAGTGAGTTGGTCCTCTTCTCCTTCAGCATGGTGGTGGATGGTGTCGCTGTCGTGGTTTTTTGCTATTGCAGTTGCGAATTGGGATAGGAGAAGATAGGAGACCGATCTCCAAATTTGCGGGGGAAGGGGGAGTATGCGGGGGAGGGTCGCCAACGTCAAGGGAAGGGTCGCCAAGCAGGGGTCGCTCGCCAACGTCGCTCATTTCGTCGGATATCGGATATCGGATATCGGATATCGGATATCGGATATCACCCTACCTCACTGATAACGAAACAACAAGGGACAGTGTGGCGTTGTCGATAGGCCAATTCCCTCATTGTGGCTACAACTCCCTTAAATATAATAATTCGAGCCCGTATTTGAGCAGTTAATTGTCTTATCGGCGCACTATTTTCAATAGTTGTACTTCGCTGTAATCTCGCTCGCCGCCGATCCACTCCGAAACTCACACCGAAACTCACAAGAGGAACGAACGAAAGAAGATGGGAATGTAGAAGGGTCGGGTTATTCAAAATGCAATGAATTATTCGGCTTTGAAGGCTACGAAACCCAAGACTATCGACAAGCCTATAAGTCCCCATTATTTATAGCCTAGGCCTTGGCCGCGTATCGTTCTTTCGAATCTCCCGTAATACGTCCTCGACGGTCTTCACAGCCTCCATGGCCATGCCGTAGCCGGCTTGGAACCCCGTGCCACCTGCACCATAGTTGTGAACAATGACTCTCTTGTCACCGGCAACAATGAGCTCGTCTCTCTCTATGCGAGCCCCACCTTCGCGAGAAGGCCGAAGGCCAGCAAAGACCGCCAGGATCTGAGGCTCCATTTCACGAAGCTCGGAGCTCAGCCGTTTAGTGCGGTCCAAAATGGACTCCGTCTCATATGAGTAAGTTGCTCCATCACTAAGAGGTTCATTAGCGACTGTTAATTATCAGGACTTGTCTAATCTTACCCAACCCCCTTTTGCATATAGCCACCCAAAATAACATTTCCATCGGATCCCGGCCGAGGAATCACGTACGTCTCATAATCCTTGCCGTGGCGCATAACATTGGATCGGACCTGAGGCGCCTTGACTAAAACAACCTGGCCCCTGGTCGGATAGCACTTGGCATCTTCAACACCTGGCAACGTCTTTGCTGCGTTACCGATGCAATTAAACACGACCTTGGTCGTCGGGCTCGCAAACGCCGATAGAATGCTGGGGATCTTCTGTCGTAAGAATTGCACGCCATACTGTTTTAATCTGTTATAGAGGTACTGAAGGTGATTAGGCGCATTAATGGTTAATGTTGTGAAGGAAACTGCAAATTTGACCTGCTCGGGGAGCTCCTCTTGGGGTAAAATTCTGAACTGCGGCCAGTTAGCACAGCCTCGATGACCCAGCAGAATTGCAGCCTTACGTCTTCGAGGTACTCTGACATGGCCTTGATTTTATCGTAGGGAACGTTCTCGTCCCATAACTCGGTCGACGGCGTCCGGTGGACGAAAGTCTCATCAGGTCGCTCAGATGCGAGCTTGGTGAGGTGGGAGTAACCCAGCTGATCCCACTTCAACGCGTTGGCGTCACTCCCAGAAATGGCAGAGAAATTGCAACCAGCCCTGATAAGATATTAGAATCGCTGGAGTACCGTTCACTTGATAAAATGCTGACCATGGCGATGTGTATGTCATAGAAGTGTCACCTGGATGGTGCTCGGCTATGACAGTGATGGACTGTCCATATCCTCTCTCAGCGAGAACTAAAGCGACATTGAGGCCAACGATGCCCGCACTCCAGATAGTCAGTAGGGAGAAAATATTATTCAAATGCTGCTCCCAAACTTACCCCACAATAACAATGCTATCGCTCGAGTTGAATGACACCATGGCTGGTATTGGGGAAAAAACGTTCAAGCTATGAAGAGTGAAAAAAATACGATGAACAATAACTGAGGAAGAACAGTCCAATTAGCGCCTTAAGTTTAATCTAGAAATCGCTATGCTAGAGACGAATCTTTGGAGTTGTTTTAAAGATCGTACGAAATTATCAATGAGTAATAATAGGGCCCTTGACCCCGCCATGGCGGGGCGGCTTGCCTACCTAATTGGGAAATCAAACCCAATTGGGAAATCAGACCTAATTTTCTCATACCTTCTCCAAATTAACTTTTTTTTTTTCCAGAATAGGAATACCATTGTGCAAATAACTCTAAAAATTCAAAGTTCTCATAGTAGACATGCTGTTTTTGTCATCTAATATTAGACTGTTATGTTTCCTTTCGCCGTTTAAATTTTTTATTACGTATAGTCTCGGTTAGGGCAATCCGGCGCTAGCCGAAAGTTAGAGCTACCCCTCATTTTCTCCAACTCCATGAATCTTCCTACTCTTCGCGCGACCAATTTCTATATTGCATTTTGGGAAGTATTACATACTATGGAGCATTGTTATTAGGTTGGTTTTACCCCAAGAGGAAAGCAATTGAGGGAACTCCCTCGGAATTAGACTAACACTATCTCTTGGCATTTTGATTAATGTACGGAAATTGGCCAGCATTGGTGCTCGGAAACATGGTGAAGGATGGTTTGAATCACTGCATAGATGTAAGGCTATTCTTACAGCGAGTTATTAGACCTGTTTATAATTACACTGGGCTCCAACTGTTGTTTGGCAATTACACTGATTTATATTCTCAACACAAAATATTATAATGGCACAAACACTTTTTAATTCCTCATATTATAACTCCTAACTTAAAAATAATCAATGAAGCTAAATTCGATCAGCTACGGTCTTAAAAACCGAGCACATTATTTTGCTGAACCGTTCACACCATTTGTTTTGTTCTGTTCGTAGCTGATCTCGAAGCTGTATGCGGAATCGTAATGCATAGCCCAGTACCCATCCCAGATCGCCTTCGTGATAGGGCCGACCTTGCCGCCATTGATAGACTTGCCATCGAGAGTTACGATAGGCATAATGCCACCGGCAGTTGTGCACATGAATATTTCGTCGCTTTGGAAGGCCAACTCAACGGGCACATACTCAACGCGGATCTCGTAGCCGGCAGCCTTGGCGGCATCGATAACGCTCTTGCGTGTAACGCCCTGGAGAACACCGCGATCTGGGGTGAAGAGGGTGTTATCCTTGACCAGGACAATGTTGAAGCCCGATCCCTCGGTGAGATTGGCGTCTCCGTCCGTCAGGAATGGATAATCAGCTCCACGATCCTCCGCCTCTAACATGCCGCGCACAAGATCTCCCCATTGCAAGTTCTTGATCGTCGGGTCGATGGATCCAGGCGGGACTCGCCTCACAGTACGGGCGATAATGGCGCTGCCACCGGTAGGCTGGACATTGGGTTCCATTACCCAAACGTAAGGCTGGATGAACATATAGAGGTTGTTCTTTAGGTCTGCTGGCTTGTTTCCACGGACACCTTTAAGACCGCGGGTGACGATGAGCTCTACAAAGGCGTCGCGAATGCCACTCTTAGCGACCATGTCTACCAAGATTTGCTTTACCTCCTCTCGGGGTAGGGGTAGCTTTAATCTCAGTTTTGTGCAGCTGGCCTCCAGTCTTGTGATGTGGTCGTCGAGGCGGAAGAAGCGTCCATCCCAGACAGATGGCACGTCGTAGGTCAGATCGCTGTGCATGAAACCTTGGTCGAGAAGCGGGATACGAGCCTCGGCGAGCGGGACGAGCTCTCCTTCTATCCAGGCAATTCCCTTCGAAAGAGGGTTGCTGCTCGCGTTTAAAACGCTCTGTCGCGCATTGTAGCCAGCGAACACTTTCTCCATGGAAGCCATTTTGACTTTGTTAAATCGTGATATGGCTAGTAAAGTTGAAATGATGATTTTCAGGTGCTTATCGTGAACGAGGGGTCGGTGTCAGAAAGCTGTTTATTATACGATAGAAGGGCATCGCGGCCGATTTATTGCTACGAGGGCAGGTAAAAGGTCTCCACAATTGAGATCGCTCGATATAGTAATACCTAATAACGCAAGTGGCCCCATTGCTTTAGAGCAGCTTAACAGAGTGTGGCAATTTTTAATGTTTAGCCTTAATTAGTCTTTTAATTGTCATAACAAGGCTTGTACAGGCAATTCATGCCCCTCCTTTAGCGCGGATCCACTGTAGTCGCCACAGGTTATTCATACGACAAAAATGCCTAATCGGGTATGTGGGCCAGGGACCGTGGATTGTTACGCTATGAATATACTCGTTGTCGGATGCTGGCACCAGGAGAACGGATTCTCTTAACGGATAAAATTACACTAGGGTCGCATATTTACCTAACTAGGCAACTGAGAATAAGTCAAGCTTGCCTCACCTGGTATTATGAGAGAAGTTCCTTGATGAGCTCGCGAAGTGAGAAGAATGCTGGTTTGATGCGTGTGGCTGTCGACCTTTACCTGAACAGTATTTAACATTCGTATTCTGGTGGCTTTACCACTTGTGAGTAGCATTCAAATTTCAATATTATAATCTACGGTATGTGTATGTGCTGTACATAATGTGATAAATGAACATTTACCTACTGTGTTTATTTCCAGTTGGAACTGCAAGATTCTTATGACAAATGAGCCCTAATACAATGGTACATCCATCACAAAGACCAATTGGTGATATAGAAAGGTTGTTCGGTGGATGTTTACCAGACAAAATAAGAAGCTTCATGTTTCACATTATCTGAACAATTTTGCGAACTTATTTTACTTTTGTAATAGGCTAGTATCTATTCAAATTTTATGCGGGAAAAGCCATGAATGGCCAAGCGGCCGGGAGCCACAACTATGCAGCTCTCCAGGAAGAACACAACAAACCTATGCTCTTAGAAATGACCTTCCATCTCCATAGGAGTATAAACTTCCTCTAAGTATTTCTCTTCTTCAGCTGTAAGCTCTTTTCCGCGTGCTGATAAAGCATCATCAATCCTCTCGACGCTGCTAAAGCCAATAATAGGGGTCGTCACTCGCTTCATAGTCCATGCGAGCGTAACCTGGGCCATAGTCCACCCCTTTTTTTTGGCCAGTTCCTCTACTCTGTTGATGATTCCCGTGGACTCTTTGCGTAGGGGCGGGGAGCCTTCAGAGCGCGTAGTTGTTCCGCGAACTTGCAATGGGCGCGCAAGCTGTCCTTCTGCGAGAGGACCCCACTGAGAGACAGTTGTTAGAACAAGCAACGACGAGCCTACGTAGTGGAAGTAGTAAATAGTATTTACTTACAGGGATGACAGCCACGTTTGTTTCGTTGCAAAACTTAATCATCTCGCGCTCTTCTTCGCGGTACAGTAAGTTGTAACGGTTCTGTTAAGACATTAGCGCTTCAAATCACTCAACATACTGCATGTCCATAGTTTATACGTACTTGCATCGCAACGAATTTTGTCCACCCGTTCTTTTCCGCGCAGAACTGCATGGAGGCAAATTGGTATGTCCACATGGATGAAGCTCCAATGTAACGGATCTTCCCCGCAGTGACGAGGTCATGAAGAGCACGCATGGTCTCCTCAATTGGCGTATCTGGGTCGAAACGATGAATCCAGAAGAAATCTATGTAATCTGTTTCCAAACGTTTGAGGGACGCGTCCAGTGCAGTAAAAATTGCTGTCCTTGAAAGACCAAACTGGTTAACGTAATCCTTGGTCCTTCTTAATTTATCCAGGATTGGGTATGCGTGAAACTGCTGCTCTCCAACGCAGCTAAATGCCTTCGTCATCAGCACCAACTTGTGTCGTGGGAGATCGTATTTCTTGATCGCCTGGGCGATAACTCTCTCAGAATCCCCATTGGAATAGATATTTGCTGTATCCCACTACCCCGAGTTAATATTATTTTTACTTTAACAGAGAGCAGAAAACGAACGGTGGTAATTCCTCGATCATACGCCGCCTTCAAGAGCGGGAGGGCCTTTTCTGGCCCTGCCACCCAGTTTGCCCATTCCGGGTTTCCAATGCCCATACACCCAATAATTGGAACTGACACGCGGAGACCACTGTTTCCCACACGCTTATAGTCGACTTTCGTCTCCTCCAACGACTTTGCAACGCCTTCTGGAAGAGATGCCATGGTTAATGATAGAAATTGAAGGGACGAGGATTTTGGGCTAGATTTTTGCTGACAAGAATTAAAATATTAAAGCTGACCAACATCGCAGACATCATCTTTTATAAATTCCCAAGTGGGGTAGGGTAGAATGATAATAGAGACAAACTGTACCATTACTACTACTACTTACTGACTGTACATTATCGGGTTGAACAACCCGATCGGCTCGGAAACTCATTGGGGAAAGTAAGCGATCGGGTCCCAAGTGGCCTAATTGGCGCTAAGCAGGGTGTCTGTGCATAGCGCGGGGAAGTGGATACCGATAACCCGACTTCCTATTATGGTAATATTGTTGGTCCCACTTAAAGAGAGAAGAGGGGCGATATCAATATTAGCAAACAACCATGGGACAGTCGGGTAGGATATGCCTCGGGGAATAGGTGTTCATATTCTGCTGTTGATGAAGCTAAAATACCAAAGCGCATAGTTATTGGCTGGAAGACTTTCGTGGGAGGGAATCAAATAGATTGCAAATAATCGTTTTGGAATACTGGAGGTAGATTTTTGTCTGCGGCTTACAACCTATTGAAGCCTTTACACTCCGTCGATGGCAAGATAGATGGGCTAATATTCTGCCGAATTTACTAGACGTTAGTTTACTGAATTGACAGGGCGGTGTATCGTAGGCGGTGAAAGTGAATATGGGTTGCGGCCAACTGTGCTCCTGCCTGGGATGCTCCACTGTGCTATCGCGGAGAAGTTCTGGGACGACGCCGACGGGACTAAGAAAGCGGGGTCGCTCATGAACCTCCATAATAGCATCAGCGACCTTGTTTCCTTCTATACCTCGTTGTCTTTTCTGGAATAAGAAGGAGGAATTATGAGTTCCCTACCTCTTGTCTCTGGCGGTGCTGGCCACCCTCGGGTTCACCCCCAGCGGTCGCGAAATGGGTGTCTAGTTTGCAAAAAAAGAAAGGTCCGATGCAATGAGCAGAGACCCCAGTGCTACCATTGCCAGCGTCTGAATCTAGAATGTGTATGGAAAGACACCACACAACAGCGACCGCCGCCGACGAATGCGGCAGTGGGGGATCCCCCGGGGATTGATGCCGCGTCCTTGGAGGTCGACTGGCTGTCTTCTTCTGCTGACCTCTTTGATTTCGCTCAATCCGTGACGGATCCCCCGTCGGGCTTTTCTTTGATTGAAGATATCTATCTTCCCGACTTTGGTGACTCTATTGCGCCAGGACTTGCCCTGCATGAGCGATCTACCGACCTAGATGGCAAGGGTTCGCCTCCTGTACCGGCACAGTCCCCACCACAGTCCCTAGTTACCAATGTAGACGAGGAATACTCGCTACTATTACATGCGACGCCGATTTTAGATCCTGTCGAAAACGGTCCAATATGTGCTTCTCTGCGAGCACTGTTTGACAGTATGGCAACCTCATCCCCGATGGTTCGTTACGCGATGGCGGCGTTCGCCGCCATCCAGTTTTATTCCACGGGCAAACAAGTGGATTATCAGCAGTACTACGATAAAGCTGCAAATGAACTATCGGCAAGATTTCACAAATCTGGGGGAAGCCTAGCAGTCAACAGTAATGAACTTAGATACGTTCTGACCACTATCTTCTTTCTTACATACGTAAATGTTAGTCTATTGAATCCTTGTGGATCTATTGTTTACTTTCGCTGACCCTTTCTGGAGTTTTTAACTGGCCGGCTAGATTTAGCCTACTTGAATCTTGCAAAGGCGCATAAGGCGCTGCAGACATCAGGCAGGGGTGCCCTGGGCTCTTTAGGTTCGTCCAAGAGCATTCTCGCTAACCTAATTCTATTCGTGCTAACGACCGCCTCATTAGAACAGAGAATCATCTCTTGGATCCGATGGTCAGATGCCCGGGCGGCACTGACTGGTGGGGAAGGACTCTTGGTAAATGATACATCTGGAATTTATCCCTCGAGTCCTAGTCCCCCCCCGGATTCCGGACCGCACGAGGTGATATATGACATGCTATGCCAGCCCGGGATCGCCTTTTTTCAAGAAGTTCAGACCATTACCGGCCGTGTAGCTAAAATTGCCCATGGTCACCGCAGCCGGGGGAGCGTGGAGGATGAGACTGAAGTGATGGCTATTGCCGCTGGTATCCTGAAGGATCTGTCTTTCCTATATGATACGAGGCCTGCGCTTATGGATCATGCTGTATCGGGAAATATTAATAGTGATACTCTCGCTAAGCCGCTCGCATCGGTCATCATTCGCTCATACCGAACATATCTCGCCAACTTTTACGTCTGCTACATTCACCTCCATCGAGTTGCTCATCGTCATTTGGATCGTTCGAAAGCGGTGGATACAGCGCTATGCAAAATTAAGGAAATAGTACATCTCATGGTCAACAGTAACGAATCTATACCGGTTAATATGTTGTGGCCGTTATTTCTGTGGGGTAGCGAAGAGGACGACTATGATGAGTGTCAATGGCTCCTTGAGACGATTCGCAGTCTCCAACATGTTGCCAGTAATGCAAATATGACGGCGGATGTACTACAAGAGATCCAAAGAAGGCAGCGAGAGGCAGGGACGCGGGTCGACATTCGGTCTGTATGCTTAGAGTTGTTCAACGTTAACTTTGCGATAATTTAATGTTATCCATGGTTTTTAAAGTGGAAAATCTCAAACAACATGAATTCCTTTCATTTTGCTTATCATCTACCGCATAAATGATACAATATTTGATCGCTATTTAATTTTTCGAATACAGCTCTTGCTCGAGCGCGAGAAGCGGCGCGACGTACTTTTGTACACGCTCTCTCTTCGCCGGATCGTCAAATTTGGGAAACGGTCTGCGACAGTCACGGCTTTTCTCCGGATAGCCACGCTCCTGTGCAATAATCCACTTCATGCCACTGACATCGGACGTTCCAATTCCCCATTCTGGTCCAGAAACCTTCTTCTGTAGCGCAATCGCCTCAGAAAGCTTTCCAGCGTTGTAAAGATTATATATTTCAATGAGGACCTGCGAAATACGTTAATAACCGATGCTAGCTACCTTGGTGGTTGTCTGGACTTGCCTTCGGGAACAGGTTTACAACACCTGAAATAGTACCTGCTCCTCCACCCGCTAGCGCAGAGACAATCAAGTCACTCTGTCCGGACACAGCCGCGAATTGGCTCGGCGGGTTCAGTGCTGCCACTCTCGTCATTTTTGAGATGTTTCCGCAGGTCAATTTGACACCACAGATATTTGGGTGGGCGCTAAGCTTCTCCAACATTTCCGAGTCGACATCCAGCCCCGACAGCAGATTTGGGAAGTTGTAGATTATAATGGGGATTGGGGAGCGGTCGCCAACATCCTCGAAGAAGTCGACAATAGCCTTCTTGGTCATCGACCAGTGGAATGTGCTTGGAACCAACACCAAGGCAAAATCTGCGCCGTTCTCGTGTCCAGTTATAGTCTGCTCGAGAATGTCTCTGGTGCTGCCGCCTAAGCAGCCCACGGTGATGGGGAGATTTGGGTTTCCGTTCGCCTTTGCTGCCTCGCGGGTTTTCTTGACCAACTCGCCCTTTTCGGCCAGAGTAAGCGCGCACGATTCACCACTTGAGCCGGCGACAACAACTATAATAAATCAGTTCTGCTCGTCTAGTAATAGTATTATATCAGGCGTAAGCAAACTTACTGCCATGCACACCAGCCTTGACCAAGTACGCGAGATGCTTTTCTTGGGTCGCCCAATCAATCTCCTGTTGTTCGCCCTGAAGAAAGAATGTGACGGTGGGGGCGTGGATCCCCGGGGGGTATGATTTTAAGCTGGAAGCCATAGTTTAAGAATATAGTATATATGGAATGCAATATGTTCTTGATTCTTGATTAACTGCGAGCAGCACCGCATTGTATAAGTAGTCTATTTAGTAATACTTCCAGTACTGTATATGCCGCGACTTCCTTGGATCCGATGGTGGTGGTTATCACATTCCCGATGCGATCGGCTTTTAAGCGATCGGATGGGGTGGGACAGCGGGAGGAAAGTCGTCGCTTCGGTTCACACAACACAGGTCGCGTGCACGACAACATGCTGACAACCACCCCGCCCCCGCGGGGTACACCTAGTCGGTGGGCTGATTGTACTATTCACTAGTGACGCGTAATCGGTGGATGTTGACCGGTGGATGTTGACCGGTGGATGTTTCGGCATATGGCCCCTATCACCATACTTCGATGGGTCAACCGTGCATCCCTTCCTCCGATTTCTATGCCCTGTTGTGGTGGCTTATCCATTTGGCTTGGAAGAGTAATTCAATGCCCAAACGACAAAATGGCTACTAACACCAGAACAGACCATTTTACTTTTTCACTACTACACTGTAATATCTCTTTGAGCGGAATGGAATTAGACAGTGCCAAGTTTCACTCCACCATCCTTAAAATTACAGGACCCAGCCACATACAGGCTTCCTTGCAAGTACTAATTGGGCAATAAAGGGGATTTAATAAAAGTTCAGTGGTCTATATTGAATCTAATAAAGGTAAATACAGCGTATATTTTTCTCGCGCCTCCCACTCCTACGAGTTCCTGCCTCGTCCAAATCATTCCCATCAGTAAATATACATAAACTCGTCGTTTTCCCTGTCCGTTAAGTCCATGGGCAACACCTCCTCGGCCAGCAAGTCCTGAGTCTTTCCGTCTGTATGAACTTCCGTTGTCATAGACCGATCAACAATAACGCCACTCTTCCCGTTTGCGATTCTCTTCTTCACCTGTTGCTTGTTCAAGTATATCAGAAGGAAGAGCTGAAGGACGATCACCACAATCATGGCGACAAAGACACCAAGTACACCCACAATTCCGGGGCGATATTCTGGCTTCTGGTCTGCGCTAAATAGAAGCGGGCCGATAAGGGCTCCAGCAGACGAACCGGCCTGGTAAAGCGAGAGAGTAACGGATTTCTTGGTCTCTCCGGCCGTATTTCCAACAACCCACACGAGAAGTAGGGGATTTGCTGCAAACAAGAAGGCCGTGAGGTAGTACGCCACGAGCAGCGCTGGTCGATCCGATGCATTGCGGTTTAGGCCGTAAAGCATCCCAGTTCCAACCACCACAGGTAACATGAATCCAAGCAGGATAACACCCTTGAGCTTCGCCTTATTGGCTACCCAGCAGGAAGTGATGATGACTAGCGTTTGAACGGCTCCGAAAGGAATGTTCAGCAGTTATGTCTGGAACTTGTCGAATCCAAAGCCGGTAATAATGAGCGGCCCAAAGACACTTGTCAAGGCCGAACCGAGGTTCGGCAGCATGGCTAGCACAAGCCACAGCCAGGTCTTCAGGTCAAGAGCCGCTTCCCAAACGTGCGACCACTTAAACTCGTGGAAGTCTTCAACACCAGTGTTATTTGTCCGAAGGCGTTCGATGCCTTGTTGGCGTTCCTCCTCGGTAAGGAAACGGGCTGTGGCGATGTCGTTGTCCAGTTTCCAGTAGACGAAGGGAGCCGTTATGACAGTAACAAGTCCACAGAAAAGGAAAATTCTGCGTTGATATTAGCAAGGTATTCATGATGGCCGATGGATGAGGACGAGCTACATTTGCCACGAATACAACACGTTGGATACAATACGGCCAAGGCCATAAGACAATGCAGAAGACACTATCGTCGATATACCATTGGTGGAATACCAAATAGAGACTCTAAATGGTTGTTCGACACGACGGTACCACTGGCTCGTGATGATCGCAAATAGAGGCATGCAGCCGGCTTCGAAAAGGCCGAGGAAGAAACGGCAGGCGATCAGCCCAGAAAAGGTACTACACGCAGCCATAGATACTTCCGCAATACCCCAACCGAGAATCAGAATAGGCATTAATGTGCGATGCGGCACCTTCACAATCAGCCAGGCTGAGAACGGCTGCCAAGCTAACTGTGCTATTGGCGAAATCGACCCGATGAGGGAATACTGATGCCCCGTGAGGTTGGCATTCTTCGCGAGATCGAAAACCGCCCCAGTTCCAAGGACGGCCTTATCCAAAACCTGCAAGAAGTAGACCCAGGTCAGCCAAGATGACTCTATCAGTCTTTCTCCTGATTCGAGTATTCTAGAAACGTCAGCGAGTTTCTTTTACGGGGTGTGTTAATTAACTTGCGTCTTCTTCTGTCAGGGCGATTGGCATAGTCTCTACCATCTCCGCAGCTGGCTTATCTGAATGGGTCGCTGAAGGTGCAGTCGATTTCGCATCCCCTACGAATTGAATGTTTTGATCAGCCATAATGGCAAAATTTGCCCTTAGTATCCGTTAATGAATCCAATCAGCCCAACGGTACGACTGATATAATTTTGGGGTACTAAGGAGATGCCATTTTGCAAAAGAAGAATCCCGCCACCTTATATGTACCCCACAAAGACCTAGCACCACATGGCATACGTCAAGCAGTTCGGGGAAGGACCCACATCCGATAGTCAAGATAGTGGCTGCCTATCTCGCCTTCTCAAAACGGCAATATCGAGGGGTAACTACCATACTAAAAACATGGTAAAATCCGTACCCCAACAATCCGCTAGTTTTACCTGCCACAAAACAAGGCCAAGGAATGAAAGATAGAGCTGATAGAGCTGATAATATGATTACACCTCTATTTCTAGAGTAAATACAATATTTGGCCGCCTAATTAGCGGGTTTTAGGAGGCTAGAACCCTCGGGAGTGGTCCGCCTGCATCCTGAACTAACAACAGCAACTCGAAGATACGGGCTGATAAACTGTTCGGTGCCCATAAGATAAACTTAACATAGCCAGTGGAATCGATATTTGTTATCTTCTTAACTTCTGTGACGACTGTATCTGAGTTTCCATTTACATTATCGGAATTCCTTTCCGCTTTATCTTGCCGACGCCTCGCGGAGGGCGAGGGCGATAGTGGTGGAGGCTCTCAACGTGGTAGCCGACCCGTTACCCCGTATTTCGGAACGAGTTTGTCGTCGAATCCAGGTCCCCGAACATGTGGTCAAATACTGCGACGCTACTGAGCCGACCTGCAATTTAATTGGATCAAAGTCTATCTTGACCATTAGCCTGTGGAGACTACCATTTAGTGGGTTACTTAGTAGAATTTAGCGAATACCCTCTCTTTCCTAATGTAGCAAACTATATCCACCTGCGTGTGAGCATGCGAAGAGAACGTGGATACCAAAGAGTGGATATCAATATCATTCTAATTCCCAAGCCTTGTCGCTGGCAAACTCCAGAGGTAAGCATCGGCAAGGGGTTTATAAACCCTTGATATCTTTATCGTGGGATAAGAATTTAGATCTGTCGTCGCCCTTGCTATTCTACTATTTTATGCTGCTAGTGTTGGCCGCTTTTCTCAATCTGTGTCACTTCGCCTCTGTCTTCACGTGGTTAGCAACGCCTAAGTTCTCACATCATCGGTATACTCATCGAGATATCGAGCTCCCACACAGCAAGCTTTCAGCCATGTCTCGCAACTACAAAGACCCTCAAATAATCGGTTATGCTCAACCATGGATTGTTTCACCAGGAGAGCCAGTTGATATTAAAGTATGTTTCTCATTGAACGAGACATGTTTCTCAAGCTGACTCTTCAAGATTTCATCCACCGAGAGAAACTATTCTCATCGTTTAGTACGCCTCATCCAGGGCTATAGCGGTTCTACTCATGCCCCACCGGTCCAAGAGGAGGAGATTACTGAGGTCCCTTCGGGAAATCGCGATGATGGCTGCTATCAATCTGCCTGCTCGGGATCTTATGCTGTTATACCCTCCTGGTCTGAAGTGCATTGTGCAGCTGAAGAGGGTTTTGAAGTAGACTGTCATGTGCAACCATACTTGGTTGATGTTGACCATTGTCAAACAATCATATCATGCCTCGACGCAGGCTCTAAAACTGGATTTTCCGTGGTTATAAAGGATTCAAAGGTCGAGTTTCTTATAGGTACTGGCAGCGAAGTCGATGTGATCCAGAGCCAATACCCTATCAATCGCTGGCGTTGGCTCCATATCCGTATGAGCCTCGTTGGAAAGACGTTCACTTTGAACATCCGGCAATTGAACCGTCTGGCGGAGACTGCCCCTTCTGCAGAAGAAACGACCCATAACTTGTCGGCGCCTATGTCTTTGGGGTCGAATGCTTTGCTTTTTGGTGCTGGCATGTTCGAAGCTGTTGACAAACAGAGCTCCAAGCCGGCATGCTTTTTCAATGGCCGACTCGACTCCCCTTCTTTTACCGCGACAGGGCCCACGCGGCGGATAGTAGCCCAGTATGACTTTTCTTGGGGCATTTCAAGCGACTCTATTGTCGATGTTTCTGGAAACAATCGACATGGTGCCCTCATCAATGCACCAACACGAGCCGTCAAGGGATACAACTGGGATGGTTCTCAACCTGATTGGACCCAAGCGACTTACGGCTACGGAGCTATCCATTTCCACGAAGATGATCTAGACGACGCGAAATGGGAGACGAATTTCTCCATCACAATTCCATCAACAGCTCGCTCAGGTGCATATGCCGTTGAAGTCAAGTGTGAGAACGGTGTAAGCGACATGATCACTTTCTTTGTTCGTCCGAATCAAAAATCAACGGCACGGGTGGCGCTGGTCCTATCAACTTTCACATATCTCGCATATGCCAACGAACGGATGTTTGATATGTCTAGATCGTCAGCGATGACAACCCCTGATGGAGTCAGCATTGCGGATGAGCACGAATATTTCAAGGGCCTGGATCGGCGGCCGGATTTAGGACTCTCGGCCTACGATGTTCATAGAGATGGTTCCCCGACTGCATTCTCCAGTGCTCTTCGGCCCATATTAAATCTGAGGCCTGGATATGTGCATTGGGCGCTGGGCAGACCTCGCGAATTCAGCGCTGATCTTCTTATGATTGGCTTCCTGGAACGCTCTGGAATTCCGTACGATACCATCACAGACCATTGCTTACACACTGGAGGCCATCAGGCAGCTTCCCAATATACGACAATGATAACCAGCTGTCATCCCGAATATCACTCTCTCCATACCCTTGATGCTTTTAGTTGCTTTGCAAAGTCAGGCGGTAGCTTGATGTATTTGGGCGGAAATGGCTTCTACTGGGTCGCCGACATTGACTCCAAGCGTCCTCATCGTCTCGAAGTCCGGAAAGGTGATCAAGGTTGCCGGTCTGTGACGTTTCCCGCAGGTGAACGTATGCACGGTCTCACCGGGAACCTCGGAGGACTCTGGCGCAGCCGTGGCCGCGCTCCCAACTACCTCTTCGGTATCGGATCATGCGCATTCGGTACTGGCAAAGGAAAGCCTTATAGGATAAACTCAAAATATGCTCAGGATCCTGCGCTTGCATGGGTTTTTAAGGGTATCGACCCCAATGGACCCATTGGCGTGGATGGCTTCGGTGGTGGTGCCAGCGGAGACGAGATTGATCGCTTGGACTTCGACCTTGGAACACCAACCAATACGATCCTCCTAGGAAGCAGCGAGCAGCACGATGATACCTTTGGACTTTTCAATGAGGAGTCTATGTTCCCCATGGTGAACACTCTCGGTTCGAACTGTGACCGCGTCAGAAGCGACCTGACATATTACGACACGGCCGGAGGCGGCGCGGTTTTTGCTGTTGGCAGTATCAACTGGTATAGCAGTCTTGCCTGGGACACATATGACAACAATGTAGCTAGAATGACCGACAATGTGCTGAGAGAGTTTGTAAGGAGAGGAAAGGGCCAAGGGCAGCAATTGAAGGAAACGTAAATCTAGGGAAGAGGGAAGAAAATCTTAATTTAATACATCGTACCAAATATTTCGTCGTCCTTGATGTTCACCAGTGCCTACCAATTGAGGCTTAAATAGTGAGGAAAGGAGAGAACTGGGAAGGAAACGCGATGTTGGTGAGAATTCGGTTATTATAATTCTGGTTTGGCCCGTCCACGCAAACTACGCGCTTTTGACAGTTTGACGTGGACGATCCTTGGAGGCCTTCGCGATATTAAGGGGTCAGAGTGCCTGGGAGAGAGTGCCTTAAAGTTAAGATGTTAACCTCCATAGTATTCTATAGACTCTAAATCGACTGTATATAATAGCTGTCTGATGCGGTGTGTGACGTACACTTGCTATATCAATTCTAGTGGAATTTATGAGTAGTTTTTACTTCATCAATAGTTTACAAATTTTATAATTGTATTATAGTATGTTTCCTAGCTACTATGTACGGCCATCAACTGGTGTGGGCCGTCGAGCGGGGATCTAACTACCGTCCTGGACAACCACGTTAAGACCCCTCAACCCTGGAATTGCTGGAGTTTCTAACCCACAACCACTATGCACTATGCGGTTTATGTGGTTTGTGCCGATAAGGTCCAGTACAACTGCCAGAATCTTAAATTTCCGTACCAGCTTCGTGCCTCCGTCATTTGCCCAGCTTTTAAGTATCTCACTTCTTGGATCTTTATATTCAATGTCAGGAAAGGTTGATGCAATAAGTTAATTAATATATGAATATAATTGGTGGAACTTACATCACAGAACCAGTCTCAGCAGCCTCGCGATTGATCGTATAAAGCGATGGAGTTTCCCTTCATTGCTCGGGCACAGTTGCCTGTTCCAGAGTCGTTGCTTGTTAAAATTGACCGGGAAAATGAAGCTTTTTACTTTCATTACCATGGCGTTGTCGCTGACTTCCCTGGTTAGCGGCGACCTTCTTGAACCCACTGAAACCGAAAGATGGCTCTGATCCTCACATTGTGTACACAGGCGGTTATTATTATTTGATGACAACGACTTGGACTAATTTGCAAATCACTCGGGCTACCACCCTCGAAGGACTCAAGAACGGAGAAACCCCGACTCAACTGCCAGTAGATGCTGCAATATCTGGGCATCTGAGCTTCATTATTTTGATGGGCTGTGAGTCTCTCCCATTGACGCTTCCAATATAGTTAGCTATCTACTATACCACCGGCACCTCAGCCGATCTTAACGGGCAGCGTCCCAATATTCTCACAGGTTAGTACTATGTTCTGCTTAAAGCTAATATTATTGGAACTAACATTGTACTTCAAGGTGGTGCTACGCCTTTTGACGCTACAGCCATCTGCTACATTAATGAACACCTGTGGATTGATGGCTCCACCTCCGCACCACCTCTGCCAACTACTTTGTCTATTCTTGCTTTAGCAATGCCGGGCTTCAGTCGCTCTGCATTGCACCGCTTAACTCCCCAGGTTCAGTTGGCGCTACCACTGTTATATTCCAGCTTACAAAATCCTGGGAGACTGTTGGCAACCCAGTTAATGAGGGCCCAGTCGCGATGTACTACGGCGGAAAGACTTATCTGGCGTACAGTGCGAGCGACTGCTGGACCGCCGGCTACCAGCTCGGGCTCTTGACCTGGAATGGCGGTGACCCGACTCAAGCCTCAAGCTGGGCAAAGACCGGGCCATTTTTAACCTCTACAAACGGAAATTACGGCGCAGGTCATAATGGGTATGTCGGACATTTTTTAACTCCAGTCCAATATGGTTGCTAACATGTCGTAGATCTTCCAAAGCCCAGATGGGACAAAGATCTGGAACGTATACCATGCCGATGCCAACAGTGCTGGAGCTTGTGATAGAACAAGATATACAATAGCACAAAAGGTAAACTGGAATTCTGATAACACGCCAAACTTTGGATCTCCCGGAGCACTAGGGACCAAAATCACTGGGCCGTCGGGAGAATAGATTATCAGGCAGAATTATAATAGTAGATTATACAGGTGGGGAACGACTGGATCTATCGCGCTACTATTATGATAGCCCTTAACGATATAACTTATTGTTGGACTCAAACAGCCAGGGCGTGGTTTCCCGATTAGGCGACACAACGCCGTCGCTCCTGCATCAGCTGCATCACTATATAGCTTCAGAAGAAGAACATCCTTACGATGCTCTTCAATCAATCAATCAATCCAATACGATTCAATGCATCGATGCCCCAACAGTGACCATCCTCGGTCAACAGTTATGAGCCCGGCATAGCATCCGCATATGATTCACTCGGTGATTCACCTCCTGTTCAGACCGAATCGAAGAACGAATCAACCTCGTAGAAGGGCAACCAGTCCTCTACAAACCAACCAGTTCCAGAAGGCACCATAAGCCCTTACTGGACAAACCAAGGGCATATCGCCGCCCGCCGCCCATCAAAGCCAGCGATACGGTCCAATCTGGAACCCGCTGCACAACCGTACAAATGGCCGAACAGGCCCAATCCAAGCAGATCGTGATTCTGCACTCCAAAGACTGGTTCAAATGGCTGCAGAACGTCAAGCTGTACGCCAAGAGCTTGCCTACCGACGTATGGCAATACATAGATCCAAAACTCGACGAAGAACCAGCCATACCAGCGATTCCTTCTCGGCCAAAGCCATCCGACTATGCCCTAGAGGCTACAACATGGGCCCAAGTGCCCGCAACACAGCTGGAGATCTTCAAAATCAATATGATGATGTGGAAGGAAGACCAGAAGGAAGCCGTACAAATACATCAATGTCTACAGAAATGCCAGGCATGTATCAACTCAACTGTTCATAACAACAACGTTTCATTCTACAAAGATGCCAACAGCGTATGGCAAACTATCACAGCGTTGAAAGCTCGACTTTCCCCATCCGACCGAGCCCGCGAACTCGAACTGTCGAACAACTATGCCCAGTTGAAAAGGATAGGGAAGAACGAGGTAATCAGTGATGCCTGAATCAAGAAGTGGGAAGACACCTACACTGAATGCAGCGATGCTGGCTTGCCTGAAGTGAGCGGCGACCGCCCATTGTATGACTTCTTACAAGCTATCTATACAGTTGACGAATCATGGTCTACTGCTCAAGGCATAGCTTTCGAACAGATGCTGATCATGGATTCAAAATTACCAACATTGTACGTCTTGCTTGAACGATATCGAAATCACCGCAGATTGATCACCGTCGCCAAACCAAGGGCAGACATCAGCCATAACCACTCCGCCTTTACTGCTTTCCAATTTCGGGACCAGGATGGACACTGGCAATTGCCTTGCGTTTGTGGTGTCAAGCATCAATACGTCGATTGCCCATATCTCAATGATGCTATCCAAACTCCAGGGTGGCAAAAGAATGAGAAGACAGCCGCCAAAGTGGCAAATGCTCTTCGAAAATTCAAAGTAAAGCAGCAGGTCGACAAGCAGCTTGCAAACTGGAGAAAGGAGCAAGAAGAGAAGACGAAATCTAACCCCAATTCCAGCGACGCTGTAGAGCCACAAAAGAAAGGGTCATGGGCAACGGCTATAAGAAGCTCCTTCACTGGCTCAACAGATGACTTCCTACAAGACTGCACGCTGCTCGACTCTGCTAGCACCGACCATGTGATAAATCACCGAAGAAAAGAACGCTTCGTCAAGACGAGATCCGCAGGGCCTGACGACATCCTATACGCTGGTAAAGATCAGTATCAGATTGAAGCTTTCGGCAATAGCTGGATCGAAATCATGACTCCAACAGGGAGAGAGCGCCAGGATGTTGAGAACGTAGCATACGTACCAGGGTTTCTAACAAACTGCATATCACTGAGCCAGTTGAAGAAGAAGAACGTGCATTTCGATTCCCAGTTTGACCGACTACACAGCAATGGAAAAACGCTTGTTACTTTACAGCCTTCTCACGGCCATTGGATGCTCGAACACAACATACAGCTGCCCTCGACTGTATTCGCCAGCAAGAGGAGCACTGCCCAAACCCAGAGCACGAAGACTGCAGCTCACTGGCATGATGTCCTTGCACATGCGGGCCGTGAAGTTATCGACCATCTACAGAACGCAACAATGGGTTGTGAAGTCGACTTCTCAAAGCCATGCCCATCGACGATAGACTGCATCACTTGTGCTGTTTCCAAGATGACCAATCAAGTGTCACGACGTACAGATGTTGAGGAATACTCTGAAGAAGCGTGGTTCCGTGTAGAATGCGATATAATTTTTAATCAGGTTGGATACAACCGGCATGAGTACACTCTACACATCAGATGCAAAACAACACTTGTCAACCTAGTGTACACCATCCAAAAGAAGTCTGACGCTCTCCGAATCATCAAGGCTGCAATACGTCTCATAAAACAGCGATGGCAAGGCAGAGTAGTCTTCATACGACTAGATGGCGAATCAGCTCTCCAGGAAAGCTTCGATCAAGCATGCGAAGAAGAGGGTATCACCCCAGAGCGCACAGCACCAGACACCGCAGCTCAAAATGGTGGTAGCGAACGCAGCGGCCGTACGATCATTACGAAAGCACGAACAATGGTGGTTGCAGCCGGTCTTCCAGACTTCCTATGGCCAGAGGTACACAAAGCCGCTGGCTACATTCTCAACCGTACACCACACAAGCAGCTCAATTGGCAAACACCCATGGGGGTCATGAGAAAGGAGAAGCCTCGAATTGGACACCTACGACGATACGGGTGTAGGGCATACGCTATGCGCCATGGTGTGCCAAAAAAGGACAAACTCCAGCCCCGAGCTCACATTGGCTATCTTGTTGGCTACAACTCAACCAACATCTTCCGAATCTGGATTCCAAGCATCGAACGTGTGATACGCACACGGGATGTGATTTTTGATGAGGAAACCTTGTATAACCCAGCTGACATTGATTGGAGTCAACTCCATGAATCTGAGACAGTTGAGGACCTCGTTGAAGTGCTAGATCCGCTAGCAGCATCACAAAAAGAACCAGAGGATGAAGATACCATAATTGTTGACTAAGTTTTGTGAGTTGGGGGGGCTATAAAAGCCAGGTACAGGGCTGCGCGCAAATCGATGGTGCATCTCGCCTCATATTTTATATGTGATCGATACACCTAATAATTCTGGCCCTTTTATATGCGAGAGAATTTTGTGGCTGTTCGACAGGAAGGCTGAAGACTCGCTCATCAAGCGCCAACCGGTCTTCAAACAGGGTGCGATAGATAAAGGAACTAGTACAATAGACATGCTCATTACTTTCATGTTGGATTCCTGCCGACAATTTCACGCTGGGTGTACCTTGCGACGCTATACAGACTAGCTATCGTTAATGGTAGAGGGGAATCAAATCACGACACGGCGAGTAACAGGACCCAATTTTTTACATCAAATACAGCTATCATGGAGCCTTCAAAGACAAACGCCGCCTATAGAATCCTCGCTATATACTTCTTTATTTCTCTACACATAAAAGTCGCGATAATATACAAGTTAAGATTTAATGGTCGTACCCAGCGCCGCGCTGCCACGGACTACTACAAACCGTTAGCATCAGTGAGCGAACAAGAGAGGAAACAAAAGCAAAACTCACCTCGGGTTATTCTGATCCCTCATCCCCCCCAGCGGACTCGCATTGTTCGCACGGCTATACCCCTGGCTCGAGGCTAGTGACGTCCCACTTCCCCGTGCCCCAGCCCTCCCCATCAACTGTGGCGTCGATGACGGACCCATGCGCGTATTACCCGTGAGGGGTATATCGCTATTGTGCCTCGAGTCCGCCGCAAACGAGCCCTGATAAACGCGCTTCTCATCATATGGGCTCCCACGGCCGCCCGCGAAGTTGGGATTATCGTAGGAGTTCGCCGTTGAGGGAGGGAGGCCGATGTTTGCAGGGTGGTGACGGATCGAGTCCGATTCAAAGGAGTCGTCATCGAGGTCAAGCCCGGGCTTGAAGCCACCCTTCATCTCACCGCGGGCTGTGGCACCGAGGGCGTCGAGCTCCGTCGATAGAGCCGTTTGTGACTTGATGAAGGACGCGCGGTCGTCGGACATGGTTTGGTAGCGCGTGTCTGGGTTCTTGCGCGTAGCGGCGAGGATGGTGGAGACGATGACGAGGACGAGAAGGACGAAGGCGAAGGCAGCGTTGACGACGAAGAAGACGACGCCGATGACGCCTGTAACGATCGCGGGCTGGCCGAAGATGTCTGAGAAGAAGATCAGGCAGACCGCGTTGAAGAGGTTAATGGAGCAGATCGAAATGTTGACCGTGTTAGTGCTCTTGTCCATCCAGGGCTTTAAGACGCTCGCAGCGACGAGCACGCCGGCTTCGATAATTAGGAGCCCGATGGCTTGCGCAGTGCCGCTGCGCTGGCCAAGCGCAATGAACATGCCTTTAATGAGGATGTAGATCAGGGTTGGGATGATGTAGTAGTAGGCCGTTGCGCGGAACTGGATGTATAGGAAGCCCCATCTGTTCAGCGACTTTGGGTCAGAGAAGAGCATGTACGCGGGGTTCTTGTGCATCGTTTTCGAGCGCCGCCCGATCAGGAGGACCTTGGAAGCTGCCCAGGCCAGAATACCTGTCATCCCGAAGAAGAAGATGACGGCTAGGGTGACCTCAGCAGGTGAATCAGCCTTGGTGAATTCCCAGAGACAGAGGATCGTCATCTGGGGATATCCAATAAGGACCATGCGGTACATAATCCCCTTCAGGACGACCTTCCAGCCATTGTGGAAGTCCTCGAACTTGTCTCTCTTCATCCACTTAGACTTGACAGCGAGCTCACAGAAGCCCTTAAAGGCCACAACGCCTATGGTTGTGGCAGCAAGGAGGAAGCAGAAGAACATGAGACCAGTAAGGAACACATTCGTCGCCTCCATACTGGCGCGGAACGCGACTCGGTCAATGCCCCTGACAGTATATGTCCGGGTAATGGGGTTAGCGATATTCTGGTTAGTTGCTCGCTTTAAGACGGAAACGCCGACGGAGTTCGCCTCTGCAGCCAACGTTAGTGAGCGCTTCAGGACGTGGACAGATGTTGTCGTGAGGGAGTTGAGGATCGTAGCTGGCGTTCCTCCAGTCGACTTCTGGTACCACGATGCAATACTCTGCATGAATTCCACACCGATGATACCCATGGTCCACTGGAAGTTCTGGGTCCACGACTGAACCATTGGCGGGAGTGGGACGGATGACATTCCGACAATAGCAATGGCCTGAAAGTATCCGAAGAGGGAGAGCGCATATGCGGCAATGTGCGCAGCGGTGTTGGAGTGACCCAATCCCGCAATCACAGCCGATATCACGAGAGCCAAACCAGCAACACCAGCAGTGGCCCAGCTGACACCGTTTTGATGAACAGTTTTACCATTCGATAGTTGCGCCTCGACGCAGGCCGAGATCACGCCCGGGTTCGTCTTCGACTCAAAGTTGATCTTGACGATCGCGTCCAGATCGGGCACGGTGTACGCGATAAACGGGATATTCTTCACAACATCCTCACTAACGGTGTAATGTGTAGTGAAGGGCATCGGGCCGGGCTGCATCGTGCACAAGCCAAGCAGCTCCTTGGTATTGCACGGGTCGATGGGGGTTTTTATGATGACATAGCCGTACGCGGCGACCTCGACCACGAGAGTGAAGTTTCCGGTGAGCGAGGAGGTGCCGTCCACGTCGAAAGCGATGGTGCGGTTGTCAGGCGTGAAGGCGACATTGAAAAGCTTGGCTGTGAAGTTCGAGTTGTCGATGCATTCGCTGAGGGATGTGGATGCGAGGAGCCGCTCCGCCGATGCTGTGCTGGAGATCAAGGAGATGACGGCGATGAGGGTGGTGAGCGGGGAGAGCTTTGCGAAGCGCATGATGGGCGATTCTGTCGGGGCAAACGAGTGTGTGTAATAGTTGCTGACGCGGTGTCGTTTGACAATCGGGAGGACTCAAGAAAGCGGGTCAACAAGACGTCGTGGTCGTGGTCGTCGTCGCCGTCGTCGCCGCCGTCGTGAAGATAAGTCTCTTTACGCACACTTGACTACCATAGTAGCCTCTTCATTCCCTGGCTATACCGTGCATCGTTGTTCGGGCTTCTTCGTGATTGTTGTATTGCATGGATGACGATGGATTTAGAGAAGACTCGCTACATGGTGTAACCGGCTACTTTTCTCACCCCACCAAAATCCAGGACTAAACCACCAAATCACCAACTTAGAAAATCGCAAATAATTCAATTACTAAAGTGCCAATTCATCTAAATCGCTATCATACAGCTCTTCTTCGCTCCCTTCATCCATTTCCTCAATTGTAGCTTTGTTTATAAGTCGTGGAACACCACCACTTATAAACATCTAGGCCTCTGTGAAGCTGTTGCTGTTGCTAGTTCTGTGTCTGCACTTTCGACTACGGAGTTCTTCTGTAGATATGTGGAATTGACCTTTTAAAACTGCTCTTTTACCCTTATTTTGTACTCTGCGCTTTTGAATAATTGAACGTAAGTTATCTGCCTCTCTTTGTTAAAGGATATTACATGTATTAAGCCATTCCAAGGCCCTTTCTTATATGCGTTAAACCACCCCTTTAACACCTGCTTTGTAACCCTGTTCATCCTCTATGCCTCAACTCTACGACCTAACTTAACTATTAAGTTAGGATGCCTTTAAATAAATCGTAGAACCTAGTCTTGCCTAAGCGGTAATTTTGGTATTTAAAGTTGTTAAGTACGAAGTTGAGTTTGAAGTTGTTAAGTTTGTACCTAGCTTTATATGCCCTTATTTCTGGATTCCATGTGGCTAGATCCTGGTTTCAGTGTCTGAATCGGAGCGGGGTGGGGTTCGTATTGGTGCTTGGCGCAATTTTAGCTGGTCCCTATGAAGGATCGGCCTTCTGACAGGGAGGGGAAAGCTGTTGAACTAGCAAAAGTGAATCAAATCCACTTCTGCTGTAACTACAGTAGTTCTTATTTGTATTACAACAAAAGGACGCCAGTAGGTCAATCACCTGCATTGTAAATACATCACGTGATATGGTTTTCTTTATTGTTGTAATATGGTCACATGACTGCTACACCACCCACTACACCTGAGAGGAGCTTCACTGCACCACAGTGTATATTAACAATATATAATAACCACTTCACTAACCTAGTCCTACCTTACTCAACTATATCTAACGTATTGATAACATATCCCTGGAACTTCCTCGCTGAAACCTTGCTCTCAAAGAGGATATCCAACTCCATGTACGTCCTGCCCTTGGTCTCGGGCAACCTGAAATAAGCCCAAACAAGGCAACACAAGCTCATTGATGCAGCAGGGAACGCCGCAATACCCTTGAGATTCCCCTGTTTCGGATTAAGCATGTATGGTGCCACAACCGCGCTTATAATAACCATTATATAGCAGCTGTTCCGCGCTAATCCGAGAGTCTTGCTGCGCAGGCGACTCGACGATATTTCACTCGCGATGACGAATGGGATCGGCCCAACACTGAGGCCGTAGGTGCCAAACCAGACGAGCAGGAGGACACACTGCGCCCATGCAATGCTGCCTGTGCTTGGTGCGAGAGCGAGGAATCCCACGATCCACATGATCACGGTCATTACTGAGAGGCCGCAGAGGAAGATCTTTCGTCGCCCGATATAGGCTTGCAGGAACCAAGAGATGGCTGTCCCGACAAAGGCGATGCTATAAGTGCCGAGCGCGAGCTTATACGAGTCGCCTGGCGACAGGCCGGCAAGTGTAAAGAAGTAAGTGATATAGGCTTGTATGGCGAAGCCAGAGAAGACCTGTGTGGTCCAGGCCAGGCAGGCTATCTCTGTGCGGCGGAAGTCCGCGCCCTTGAAGCAGTCGAGGTAGCTGCTACCGGCGCTCACTTCCTTTTCGTGTTGGTTGGTATAGATGATCATGTCTAGATTCCGCTTAACATGGATGTTATCTTCATCGTTGAATTCAGACAGGCGCGATAGAGCGTGCTCGGCATCTTTGAAACGTCCCTGGCGTACTAGCCACCAGGGAGAGTCGGGCGCAAACCAGAGGATGAAGAAGAGTGGAACAGGCCAGACCCATTGCACGGCAAAGGGGATCCTGTACGACCATTCCGTGGGGTTTGATATCAAGCCATTAAGGACACCGGCGGCGATTATATGGCCAATAACCCAGCAGAGGTTAACGAATGTGGTGAGGTAGCCCCGAAGGACTGTGGGACAGACTTCTGCAGCGTATGACGGCGCGAGGATGCCAAAGAAGCCCCATGGGAGTCCACATAAGACTTCGCCGACGAACAGGACCTCGACGTTTGGCGCGAAGAAAGTGATGAAGATGAAGGCCGTCATTAATGCGTACGAGGCGAGCAACAATTTTTTGTGCCCAAATCTATCGACCAAGATTCCATTGGCGAAGATGCCAATCATGATACCGATGTTCGCGCCCGCGGTAAGGCCCACCTGCCATGGCGCGGGGATGGAATATTTGCCATCCCGCAGTTGTTCGCCGTACTTCTTCTGGAAGGTTGGATAGGCGTAGAAGGAGCCGATGATCTGGATGTCATAGCTCTCCATGACTGTGGCCATGGACACGATGACGGACCAGGCCACGGCTTTCCGATAGATTTTGATGGCCTGCCAAAAGGTGAGGTCGTGCTCGGCCTCGGTGGCAAGACGTGCATTTTCGCCCACGACCTTGCTAGAGGACCCGAGTGCTGTGTCTCCATGGTCCGTCAGGACTTCCGTCTTCTCCTTTGTGGTGTCCATATCTGTCGCCAGCTGCAAGTGCTTATTTTTAAAAGATGAGAAAGGGCGGGGACCGCGTGGTAATTAAGCCCCGAAGCTGTCAAACTTCGAGATGATCAATATCAAACTAGTCCATGTCCATGGCGCCATATGGAGGAGCCTCGCACAGCCATGTGGAAACAGATACTGTACACGTTACATTAGCATTGCTTCTGTGCCGCAAATGTAACTATACTATATAGGGGCTCGTAGGTCCATTAGGCACTTCTACTCTTACCACCAATAACAAATCAACCATCTATCTCAATACAGCAACAGAATTACGGCTCGACGAATCAATCCAGATGCTGCACAGGGGGCTCCACAGTTGCCGTGCTTGTCGGCTATCGGCTCCCGACGCCTTCCGACTTCGGGGTGCATCCCAGCCGATTTCGGCAATAACATCATTCGAAGCCGTGGGTGATATCAGTGTGTCCCCATTATTTCACCACACAACACACACCCACAACTTGCATTGATTTTTTATAAATCACATCTCGTAACTACTTACATTTTAACTGTAATATTCCGGCTAAACAATGTTTTGTACTTTGAATGCCACGTCTTATTCTAAAGATCCATACCTACCTACATGCCCCACATAATATTTACTTTACAGGCATAGTAGTAAACATCACCCAATAAACTCCAATCTTTTCTTTTTGATTCAGCTCCTACTTATCTTTTTACTATTTCGCAGTTGCTGTGCCGTCTGTTGCAAAGTCTCAGCCCGCAATATGTGGGCTTTGATAGTCTAGGCTAACAACATCAAAAGCAACGTTAACAGCAACGTGACAGTCTGGAGACCCCGCTCTTGATAGCCCCATTTTTGACGCTAATATGCACCACGCGGCTGTCATATATCGCATACGGCGCCCCCCGCAAAGGTTGTACGTACAGCATAGTATATAGTACATGCTCTGCTTCTCATTTTCGTCCTCTACATTCACCTGTACGGCCAAGCTCAATCTCAAGATGGCGACCCGTCCCAACATTCTTTTTATCATGGCCGATGACCATGCGTCAAAGGCAATAGGATGCTATGGCGCGAACATCAACAGCACTCCTAATATGGACCGCATTGCTGAAGAAGGAATGAGGTTCAACCACTGCTATGTCACCAACTCGATCTGCACCCCAAGCAGAGCTTCAATTTTAACTGGCACCTACAACCACGTCAATGGCGTGGCCACCCTTGCAAGCAAGATAAACAAGCACATACCTAATGTCGCCAAGCATCTACGCACGGGTGGCTATCAGACTGCTATGATCGGAAAATGGCATTTGGGTGAAGGAAGTGATCACGAACCTACTGGATTTGACTTCTGGTCGGTTGTGTCTGGGCAGGGCGCGTATCACGATCCGGAGATGATTGAGATGGGCAAGACGCGGCATGAGAAAGGCTATGCTACAGACATCATTACAGACAAGTCCCTGGAGTGGCTGAAAAAACTTGATCAAGCAAAGCCATTTTTCTTAATGTGCCACCACAAAGCACCACATCGGTCTTGGGAGTGCGATCCAAAGCACGCAGATCTCTACACGGAAGACGTCAAGGTTCCAGAGACCTTTGATGATGACTACAAGAACCGCGCGCGAGCAGCAGCGGAGGCTAAAATTAGGGTGGACACGGATCTAACGTACTTTGACCTTGGGCTGGCTCAGCCTGATGGAGGATCTGAGGTTGGCGAATTGGTCAGCCTTACATCTACGTTAAGAAAGATCCCTAACCCTGAGGATGTAACAAAACTACGTCTCATCGACAAGCAGAGCGGTGAGGTGTTCACGTTTAAGACAAACGCCGAGCTTCGGCATTTCAAATATCAACGCTACATCAAGCGTTACCTACGCACCATTGCCTCGATAGATGATAACGTTGGGAGGATGCTGAAGTACCTCGACGATGAAAACCTAACGAATGACACCGTCGTCATTTATACATCCGACCAAGGGTTCTTCCTTGGCGATCACGGCTGGTTCGACAAACGATTCATGTACGAAGAATCTTTCCAGATGCCATTCATGATTCGATACCCACGAGAGATCGCCAAGGGCAGTGTATGCGACGACATTGTCTGCAATGTCGATTTCGCTTCCACATTCCTAGATCTGGCTGAGCTGCAACAGCCGTCCTACATGCAGGGCCGCTCGTTCCGTAAGATCTTGAACGGTAGCACACCAGACGATTGGCAACAGATCGCGTATCACCGTTACTGGATGCACCGAGACGCTGAGCACAACGCGTATGCGCATTATGGCATTCGTGATCAACAGTATAAGTTGATATACTGGTATAACGAGGGTTATGACCTGCCTGGCACGTCTGCTGGAGGACAGCCAAGGGAATGGGAGCTTTTCGATTGTGAGAAGGATCCTCTGGAACTGTTTAACGTTTTTGGAGAATCTCAGTATACGGAGGTTGCACAGAGGATGATTGCTCAATTAGATGATAAGATGAGGGAGATTGGGGATGAACCGGAGCATATACCTGGTCAGTTCCTTCAAAAATAGTTCGCAGACGATGTGGAGGGACCTTGTAGTAAGAATATGCTATTGTATAGTAGGCCTTTGCCGCTGGTGTAAATAGAGTAGCTTCACAAAACATATTCATGATTATTGTTGGGAGTAGGGACGTGCGCTATGGAATACGGTGGCCTTTTGGCCGTGAAAATGATCGTTCTGGAATACCGACCGTCGAAGTCTCAGGACGGGTTTCGGGTTGGGTCGTGATTAGGCTGCGCACTGGGTACTCATGAGTCGAGTAGTAGAATTTCTACTCACCCAGCTGAGTTACTCGCTCATATCCCGAGTATTGTTGAATGAGGATTACTCACTTGCCGGGTACCTAGTATAGGTCTTGGCAACCCAGTTATATCACGTGTTTGATTAGTCATTGAAAAGGGGGTGTGATCGTGACTTCACATTGATATCGATATCGTAAAACGCCATAACTCAATAACTCCATTCCCATGTCGTTGATATCCTATTCCACACTATAACCTTTGCCTTTAGGTACCAGGTTACCAGAAGGTTGCCAGAACTTATCTAACCTTCATTCCTGGGTGAGAGACATTTCCATCGATTAAGCCTACAGCTCCATGATTAAACATCATATCCCGCAAACGCCGAACCAATACCATATCCTTTGCCTGAATTGTCACTCTCTTCGCATGAATAGCAAGGAGATTTGTCACTATAACTGTTAGTATGTCCCTGTCACTATGTTCAAGTATCATACTCTCAAATTCTCGAATGAGGAAGCATTCGGCAGCTTCCTGGAGAGCTAGGATAGCAGATTGCTGGAAGCGAAGATTGGACTTGAAGTCTTGTGCGATTTCCCTAACAAGACGCTGGAATGAGAGCTTTGGAATAATCAGGCGAGTATCAAGTTGCTGTCTTCTGATATCGCGGAGAGCCTTGGTGCCTATATGTTTATTAGAGAGTTCTGGTAATCCTCTGGTAATCCTCTTACCAGACTTTGCATGGCGCATGGCCTTCTGAGCATGATTGTTGCAAGCTTGAGATGAGCGAACTGGAGCTTTTCTTGCTGTGCGCACAGCCTTTTCCTTTCCCTTTCCCTTTCCACCAAGCCTAGAGCCAGCCTGTAATCCAAGTGGCATCCTTGGTGCTGTGCCGCCAGTTGATCTCCTAGCAGTTTGCTTAATACGAGCCATTTGCTAACATTAAGATGAGTTAGTGAAGTATACACAAGACAAAGAAGTAGATCAAAAGATATATGTACTTACAGTGAGTTTGTAGCAAGGATGTTGTAGAAAGAGTAAAGAAAGAGGTAGAGGTTGAAAGGTATGTGTTTTATTTGAAGGTACGCGTTGTAGTGTTGTTTAGAACAGTAATTATTTGCAGGTGAATATTCCTTGACGAATATAATTGTTTGCAACTTTAAAAAAACAACAACCTTACAACCAACCACCTTCCTTGGTTACGTTCCGATCTACACATTCTTCTTCTCTTTTGCGCTTTACCTCTTCACTAGGACCTCAAGTAAGTTTATTATCTTGATTCTACAGTCAGAACTTCTGATGATCTTCTGCTAATCACGTGTTTAGCATGGCGAAACGCAAGGCACCTGAAGAACTCTCCACTAATTTGAATACTATCAAAGCTCGCAACCGCGTCTCCAACCTTACTGAAGATGAGAAGGCTGTTCATTTAGCACTCAAGGCTGACCATGGCGATCTGAGCTACTACTTAAAGAAGTTATACAAGTCTGCAAAGTATATCGCTGCCTCTGCTGAAGACAAGACACGTCTACAGAATGAATTGAAGGTTGAGCGTATTCGTGTTCGGTAAGTTCCTTCTGGTAATCTCTGGTAGCCTTAATCTAACTATAAACAGGACTGAAAAGGGCACCCATGCATCTTGCATTGCGAATCAGAAAGTCAAGAATACTAGCGCCCCTTCTTCTTCTCCACAAGCCCCACCATCTACTCCGCCACAACTTCTGTCTGAGCTTGCTGCATTTGAGGGTATCACCAGTATCCCAATCGATGACGATCATAACAGCGAATGGGAGGATACTGAGGTTGAAGACGATTTAGAGTTGGAGCTTATGTTACGGCGCGACGATATTTTAAATGACGAGGCTGTTCTACCAGATGAGCTTTCTGATGAAGAGATCGCTAGCATCCAGGCTCTCTTAACTCAAGCACGCATTGATGTTGGTACCTCATAGTCTGGTAATCTTCTGGTAATCTTCTGGTAATACTAACGGTTGATAGGCCCATGAAGAGTCCAATTTCCGCAAGTGGCAACATTTCTGGGATAGCTGTATCCGCTCATATACGAGAAAGGCTGGAAAGCTGAGAAAGAAGCCTGAGCATCTCTTTGAATATATGCCATGGATTGATGTAGAAGAAGGGTACGTCTCTGATCATTCTAGCAATCTTCTAGAGATACTAATGTTTATTATAGCACTTTTCACAACGTTATCCCACCACATAAATATTTCTGTTTGTACGAGCAGGCAGTTTGGACAAACTTTACAGCTTGGAAGTTTGGAAAGTGGGCCCAATTACCAGGACCTGCGCAGTGGTACCCAAAGTCTTACAATCTTGTCGACAACGGATGGTTACAAGTCTCCACTCATAGTTCTAGCTTCAAAGAGGCGTTCTTACTTGTCTACTCTAAGAAATTTGATAAGGAAAAGTGGGCTAAGGTATCAGCTGCACAGGATATGTTGTTTCTGGAGTTAGAGTAGAGGAGAGAAATGGAGTATTTGATTTTCCGACGCGAATAGGGGCTATAGAGATTTAAGTATTTCATCGTAGCCAGACTTCTGGTAATCTTCTGATAATCAAACAATTTGCTACTTGCCAAATGTCATCGCAATATTCAGAGTTGTTTGACTCTGACAATCCTATTTCTAATATATTCTCAGACTCTCTTCCCTCTTCTCAACGACTACCTTCATTAAATCAAATCCCTGCGGGCCTCGAATATACTGGCAAATTAAACCAATTCATCAAATGGACTAAGGATACACACGATGTATTCATTGAGTGGTGGAAGCTATCACGATGGTATGAACAACACTCAGATCATACTACAAAACTCCTTACGAAGATTGCATGGGATTCAACCAACCGGAGTTCTCAATACTGGAGAATTTATCACCAAGGAGCAGACCGGCTTTCTGGAGAACCATGTGTCATTTGTACCTATTGTTCGAAGGCCCTTACGCATCCTGCAATCAAGTCTGCTGGCCCAAAGTCTATGGCAACACATCTTGCATCAGACATTTGCAAAAAGAAGTCACGGATGGGTAAGGATAGTCTCTATCAAATGCGAATCAATCAGATGCGACCTCAACAGGTAAGGATTACCAGATTATTACCAGAATTATATAGGCTAATATCTATAATAGGATCATATTCTCACACAAGAGGCATTTTACGAACAAGTTCTATACACAGTTATCTCAACTCATAGCTCGTTCCGCTCAGTCGAGGATCCTGAATGGAAAAGGCTTGCTATCTTACAGAATCCTCACTATCCACTACCCTCAGCAACAACTATTCGAAACCTCTTAACAACAAAGCTCACACAAATCGAAGAAGAGATGCTACAAGATGTTGTTCCTGGTTCAAAGATTGCATTATCGCTCGACTGTTGGTCAAGTGTTACTCGACTTTCATTTATGGGTGTTATTGCATCATTTATCGACCGTCATTGGAAAATGCAAGAGGTCTTGATTGGGTTTGAACCTATATATACAGAGCATACTGGTGCTGAGTTATGTGGAATACTTGAAAAAGTTATCACAAGGCAGCATTTAGAAGGACGAATTATATCCATTACGACTGATAATGCGTCAAACAACACTTCAATGATGAGAGATGTGGAAATAATGCTTGATAGTATTGCAGACAACGAGCATTTCATTGGAGGAAAAGTACAACACATACCCTGCCTAGCTCACGTTATTCAACTTGCCCTTAGTGCTCTCCTTGGTCGAATCCGGATTACGCCAACAAATCAAGAGATCTTAATGAACTGGGAAGAAGAGAATCAGATGGAGGGCCTTGCAAAGTTGCAGAAGGACAAGGGTATTGGATTTACACTTGGAAAGGTATATATTCTCTTGTTAGTTCTGGTAAACTTCTGGTAGTCTTTTCTAATATCTCATAGCTCCGGAAGCTCACTATCTTTGTTAATTCAAGTCAAACTCGAAGGAACAGGTTTATGACTTTGCAAAAGGCAAACATGAACCGGGGTCAATCATCTCAGAGGCTTCTTCGACTTATTCAAGATGTATCAACTCGATGGGATTCGACATGCCATATGCTTCTGCGAGCACAGCAACTCAAGTCAACAATCAATCAATATACTCGAGGCGATCATGGTGCTCACATGTTCAGACTTAGCGAGCTAGAATGGAAGCACATCGAATACATCATTGATCTTACAAGGCCATTCAACTTCTTTACAACAAACATTGGATCGTCAGCCGGACCTACTGTCTGCTATACACTTGGAGTATATCAAAAACTCTTATCAACGCTTGAAGGAACTCGGCACCGGCTACGGCATAAGACATATCCATGGGCAGCAAAGATGACTTTAGCAATCGATGCTGCAGAGAAGAAGATTAGGAAGTATTATAACAAGCTATACACAAATACTGGATCTATCTTCGCATTTGCTAGTATCTTAAATCCTAGTGTGAAGCTCTCACACTTTAACAAAAAGGTTTGCAAGCTTGACTTTTCAATACGAAATTGGGAGACAGAGTTTGAACAACAGTTTAGGACTCTTTATAAAGAGCAGTACTCTACAGTGCGAGTTGCGAGTCAATCAGGATTACGAGATGCAGATATGGATCCATTAGCCTTAGTATTGCAGCAAAGTCAGACATTAAATGGGACTCGGGGCCAGCGAGAGGAATATGTGAATGAGGCTGATCTCTATCTTGATGCTCGTAAGTTTCTGGTAATCTTCTGATAATCTTATTCTAACTTGTATAGCACATATCTACACAAAGATATTGCTATTTTGGCAACAAAAGGAAGAGCAATTTCCTGGTCTATCAGCAATGGCTCGTGATATACTTTGTATTCCTGCTGCTGAGTCTGGAGTTGAGCGAGTCTTTAGTGCCGCAAGGGACGTATGTGGCCACCGACGTGGTCAACTTAATCCTGAGACGATTAAGAGTATTATGCTTATATATTACTCTCGACAATACAAGAATTGTCAAGGTCATCGTGACAAGCTTGCAGATATGATGGACGTCGTTGATATGACTGAGGAGCAAGTCGAAGAAGAGTATGAGGCACAACGACAACGGATGTGCAATTCTATCGAGTTACAATATATCAGCGATGAAGAAGAACCACGATCAAATACACATATCCGAGAGACATATTCAAAGGTACAATATCCTCCGTTTAATCCTCAGCGGCCACAGCAACAGCAAGACTTATCACAAGCTGCACATGAAGAACGACAAATGCGCTACCAACAAGGTGAAGAAAGAGATAGGGCTGACCGTCTTAACGAGACCTTATACGACATCCCAGATGACGATATCCCAGATAATGAAGATATAAGAGAAGATGGTAATAATGAGGAGCCTATACTTCCAACTATTCATGACGATGAAGATAAGGATATGCCGTCCTCGCCACCAACGCCTATCCAACGCCCTCGGAAGACTGGAAGAGATCTACTTGATATCTTTCAAGCTACTCGTCAAGACCCTATAAATACTTTAGGTATTAGTAGGTCTGGCCGGCCTCATCAAGCAAGGTGGAAAGATGTTCTTGAGCATATATAATATAGTGTTCTGATAATCTTCTGATAATCGTGGTACTTAGATAGAGGAATATACGTGATTCGTTCTCACAGCTTATTAGAGATGGTAGAGTGATGCTGATAAATGTAATACTTTAAGTTAACTTACAACTGTAACCATAAAACAGTATTAATCGTATGAGGGACTGTTCACGTAATGCATATATCTTACACGTGACAGCCGAGTACTCACTGGGTTTTTACAGAGTAACTGAGTATTGGCCTCACTCACCGAGTCGAGTGAAAGGTTCAGCTACTCACCCAGCTGAGTAACCCACTGAGTGAGTGAGCCGAGTATTGGGCGAGTAGTGCGCAGCCTAGTCGTGATGCACACTCTGCTTCACCAACAGAACCTGGTGTATACTGGGTTTCAGCCCCATATTCTGCTTCCTTACGAAGCCTACAAATACTGTACGTAGGCCCATTAGACAGTGTAAAAAAATTCAATCGATCTATTTATTCTATATACTGTATTACCTGAAGCCTCCTGTTCCGTTGTGCCGTTGTGAGAATTTTTGGTTACCGGAGAATACCACCCGATTTTGGGTGTGGATCCCCGGTTCCCATAATCACTTCGAACAATTATCACATGATGTTAGAATCACGTGGCCTCTGTTGGAGGTAATTGCGGAGTACGGAGAACCACACACAGAATCGTGTGGTAATCTCTGGTCACTGTATGAATCTCTTACGGGCAGCAGAACAGAGGCTTCAACAATAGAATAATATAATCAATTGAATTACTCACTAAACTACGGGTCTACGTACGCTATTTGTAGGCCTGGGGGAAACCCCCAAAACCCCGAGGGTTTGGGTTCCTACACCCAAACTGAAGTGATACACAGAGCTGGGAAAGACAGTCCCATGGAGAAAAGTGCCATTTTGGGCGCAAAAGACTACCGTATTCCCATGGGATGTCCGTTTCCCCCAACAGCCTCGGCAACTATATGAGGACAACTAGATAGCTGTCCTCGATGCTAAAGCAACAGTTATCCAGGAGCAGAAGGAGCACTAAGGTGCTATAGGGGCGAGGGGTGAGGCTTCTTTCCTCACTTAGGCAGCAATGCTTCTTATAATGAAGGAGAAGCAGGTTATCAACCTACCATTACCCTCACCACAGAACCTGCTCCTAGCGCTCTAAGCATAGCAATTAGTAAGTGGTGATAGAGTTTAAGATGCTGTTATCATTAAGGATAGTGACAGTCTTAGCCAGACTCCATTATTACCACTTACTAGTGCCTCTTGTTGTGGATGTCATAGTTGAGCTCTACGGGTGACAGTTTTCTAGAGTAATATGCAACTGGTTTGAGCTTCTGTCTTTGTCTAGTTGACTTAGACATGCTCTAATCGCGAAATAAGAAGAGTCCGTCTCTAGGACTATCTTCTTTGCAGGGTCGAATGTGGCTAAGATAGGTGCTTCTGTGAACTTTGTCTTAAGTTCTTAGAATGCAGCTTCTGCCTTGTCTACCCATTTGAACGTGAGGTCTTTCCTTGTAAGCTCTGCAAATGGTTGAGCAACTTTGGAATATCCTATAATAAACCTTCGGTAGAAGTTGGCAAAAATCATTCCTTAGCTAGCTTAGGTGTTGCATTTTCCTTCTAACGTTCGATGGTTTATGAAGTCAGCGAGGTAATTAGAGATCCATTCTAAGGCTGGTCCTTGTAGGAGGGCCACGGCCTATAGGATCTGTTCCACTTCTTAGGTGAAGTGTTTGGCGTTAAACATCATCTATAGCTCTGTCTAGATGAGGAAACTCTTAAGCTTCTTGCGATCCCCATGAAAGGTATTAGGGAATGCAATCTGAAGCTTGTCTGAGGGGTGAGCCTATGTGGCTTTGATGATAGTTTTAGTGGCTACCTTCCCTTTTGTTTCAACATTTGATCTAGTATCATCTCTAGCCATGTTGCTTTGTGTGTAAGCTGGTACCTCGTAGAAGTGGTGCTCAAAGTGTAACGCTAACTTCTAAACGATAGGAGAAACAGAGGTTTCTTGCATAAGGTTGACTTGACAGAGGAGGCAGGGGATTAAACACAAAGGCTTTCTAAGTAACACATTATAGTATAAGTAACACATTATAGTATTGTAAAGAATACTATATTAAGTTGAGCACGAAGCTCCTATCTAAGGGAATACTATCTATTTATATAGTGGCGTCGTGCCAAAGGGATATCAGAGATATTATGGATAACAAATAT